AAAAAAANNCTCGCCCGTGAAATACGTTATCCTATAATATAATATATTATTTATTTTAGTATTATAATAACAAAATAGGATTATTTTCCCCAAATATTTATTCTAAAAATGGAAAGAACTGTTACTAAGCAAACTCAATCGCAGCTTCCTTGGGAATTGCTAGTCATATATATGGAAAGAACGATTACCAAACAAACTCACTCGCAACTTCCCTGCGGCAGCCGCAAGAAAATGTCATTCCCATCCTCATCCTCAACTCCACAGCCACAGCCTTGCCCCTCCCTCCCTCAGCCTCGTCTCCATCCCCTCGCCCCACTCAACCAATCACAACCCTCCCCCATGTCGCAATCGATCCCCTGCCCCCTCCAGCCAATCAGCACGCCCACCCTCCTCTGCCAGGCTGTTAGGCCTCACTGTTCGATGCGAATCGATATATATATCAATTCTCCCATTTGCGATTCCTCTTTCCTTGATATCATTCCGTGATGTGAGCGTGCTGAGCGTGTTTTTGAGACGCGTTGTGGTGCTGGTGTTGTGTTGTGGCGTTTGATCGGAAGGGAGCGGCGACGGTGAGTGATTGACGAGGAAAGGAAGGGGAATGGGGAGAGGGAAGTACTGTTTTTCTTATATGTTACGTTATCACTTTGGAAGGCTCAGAGAGGGAGCTGGGATTTATTTGCTGTTTTTATTCCTTATATTCTTATTTTTTTCGTGTGGTTATTCGATTTGATCGCTCTCTGGGTCCTGGTCTCTGGCCACTGGAAGTACTTCCTTACTGCGACACTTTGTCTCTATGGCATTGTCCAGTCTTCACAGGATATGACGGTAATGTATATCCTACATCTGCTCATCCAATGTCCTGGAGATACAGATACAACTCAGCATACATCTGCATATCTTCAGGACATTTGGAGAAGGCACAAACACAAAACACAAACACTGATGGACTGACATGCAGCTACAGTTTGGTTGTGCCCTACATTTCCCCTCCTTCCTCATCAAAACGACACAACGGATCCCTCCCGACCACCGTACGACTCAAAAAGCGGATACCGTCGGAAACAAATCCGCCGTCCACCGATAGCTGACCAATGACGAACTTCCAGACCTGCCGATTTCTGGCCAACCCTCACTCCTCATTGGCCAATTTTTTTTTTGCTCACTGACAGTGGCAACGAACGGTCCAGTCTTGTCACGCCTCGCCCCGCTTGACTAAGGGCCAGACGAGGAAGCCGTGAAGGTTACAGCACAATCTCTTGCCTGTCGCAGCGACAATCCGTTTCTCCTCAGCTGTTACGTGATAGCTCCCTGATGGCGGAACTGCGCCCACGTCGTCCTTGTGACCGCTGAATCAACACAACATATTGGGCAGACAAACGACGACCATATCGCTCTTCAACCACGCCGATACGGCTTCACATACACAACGCACATATCGGTCGGGAAATGGCGACGAGGAAGGTCTTTCGCCAATTCTGGCGGCCCGTATACAAACTATGTACCGGTGAGCTAGCCGCGACACCCATCCGGCGTACTATCCAGACGAGCGCGAGGAATGCGCACCCCTTTCCGGGCAAGAAACACATACGGCCACCTCCCAAACGGAATGGCCAGATACTTGCTCTCACCGGTGGGGGTGTTCTGACCATCATTCTCGGCTCACAACTCGCATTTCCATCCCGCGAGAAGAGTGCCTCGGGACCATCACCACCATCCCACAAGACCACCGCTAAACCACAACCCCATTCCGAGCAGGAAATCCAACCCGAGCTCAAGGAAGGCGTACAATATTACCGCCTTGATGAAATCCGTAGCCACGATGGCGCCTCGGCCCGCCCATGGGTCACCCGCGGCACCTCCGTCTACGATATCACAGACTGGATCCCCGCACATCCTGGCGGCGACGTGATCCTGCGCGCCTGCGGGGGTAGTCTAGACCCGTACTGGGACATCTTCTCGATCCACAAACGCAAGGACGTTTATGAGATCCTCGAGGAGTACAAGATCGGGGAAATCTCACCCCACGACCTCGTTGACGGCAAGCTCCCCGCCGCAACAGTCCCCGACCCCTTCATCGCCGACCCAGAACGTGACCCCCGCCTCAAAACACTCACCGCGCGCCCGCGCAACGCCGAAACCCCCTCCGAAGGCCTCTCCCCCTTCCTCACCCCCACCCCCCTCTTCTACGTCCGGAACCACATGTGGGTTCCCCCAGTCGAACCCAACGAGCACAGCCTAACCATCACCCTTCCCTCCGGCGACGAGAAAACCTACACCCTGGAAGATCTCAAATCCCGCTTCCGCACCCACACCGTAACCGCAACCCTCCAATGCTCCGGTAACCGCCGCGCAGACATGACCCGCGCCGTCCCCGACAAAGGCACCAACGGCCTCCAATGGGAAGCCGGCGCTATCTCCTGCGCAGAATGGACGGGCGTCAAACTCCGCGACGTCCTCGCCGATGCCGGGTTAGATCTCGCCTCCCCCGGCCCGGACGCCAAACACGCACAATTCGAAGGCGCCGAAGCATACGGCGCCAGCATCCCCCTCAGCAAAGTCCTCGACTCCCAAGGCGACGTCCTCCTCGCCTTCGGCATGAACGGCGCCCCCCTACCCGCTGACCACGGCTTCCCCCTGCGCGTGATCGTGCCCGGCAACGTCGCGGCGCGGAGCGTGAAGTGGCTGAAGAAAATCACCGTCAGCGACGAGGAGAGCACTACGCAGTGGCAGCGACGGGACTATAAATGTTTCGGCCCCAACGTCGCTAAGCCCGACTGGAGCAAGGCGCCCAGTATCCAAGAGATGCCCGTCACCAGCGCCATCACGGGGATCCAGCGCCCTGAAGCAGGTGGGAAGGTCAATGTAGAGGGCTACGCGTATAGTGGTGGCGGTCGCGAGATCGTGCGCGTAGACGTGTCGATTGATGCCGGCAAGACGTGGGCGCAGGCGGAGCTGATGGGCGATGAGGGGAAGGGGAGTAAGAGCTGGTGGTGGAAACGGTGGAGGTTTGAGATTCCGGATGAGGGAGATGAGGGGGGGGAGGTGCTGGTGAAGGCTACGGATGAGAGTTATAATACCCAGCCGGAGGATTATAGGGGGATTTGGAATCAGAGGGGGAATTTGAGCTGTGCGTGGCATGGGGTGCATGTTGGGCCGGGGGAGGGGGCGAAGAGGGGGAAGGAGGTGAAGGGGTAGGTGGGGGTGTAGAGTATTAGTACCAAGGCATAGCATGGCATACCCATTTTTTATTAATTATCTTTTATCTTCACCTTCCATATTCGTCATGATTTATGATGCCGCGCTTAGTTATGGCATCGGCTCTTGATCGCCAACATGGATAAACTCAAGAAGGATTTTTGAGGGCAACACTCCACCCATAAAAAGGAACGCCCGGAATCGAACGAAGGCGACAAGTATCGTTCGCGAAACAAAAAACTCCAATCGCTCCTGGTTCCTATACTAAGCCCGGCAACCCTGTCTGGCTGCATTGTCCCCACGGGCGCCGTGTGCAGGCTCTCCTCCGACGGTGGATTCTCACCTAGCACGTGTTCTTGTCACCGATTACGGATTCTTGTCACCGATTACGGATTCTTGTCACCGATTACGGATTCTTGTCACCGATTACGGATTCTTGTCACCGATTACGGATTCTCGCCGATTATTCGATCTCGCCGATTATGGATTCCTGTAACCGAAATTCTTACCACCGCCCAGTGAAGCAGGAAGGTATACCTTGATCACTGGCGAGCACGGAAAGAACCCTGTGTTTTGTTTATGTATTTCTTCGGCGTTGGGCAACCTTTACGATTTCGACCTCAATGTGGTTGTTCTTTGCCTACTGGACTTCAGCAGTGTGTTTTTCGTGTAATAAGTAATATCTCATCGCCTTCATCCGTCTGGGATCGCGCTTCCTATTTCTCAATCTCTGCGATCGAGGGGAGGAAGATATCAAAGTCGAGACGAGGAGGACGAAGATATCCGCATATGCTCTCCAAAAATGTTTAGCGGTACGAATGTCACTTGGATGATGTCAAGAACGTCTATTCTATCAATCCCACGAGAACTGATAGTCAACCTCAAACACCAGAGCCCCCTTCATTCCCATCCCAACCTCCCGTTACCTGATATATAATAAACAACAACCCAAGACCAAACTACTCCGAGCGAGCTAGAAATCCCTCACAATACCCGGAGAGTAGGGTAAGTGAGGAGAAGTGATGAGAACAGAGCGGCGGTGAGAATAAACTGGCGGCGGTGACAACAGTAGGTCGACGATAACAGTTGTCCAAGAACAACAGGAAACCAAGCATCGAGAACAATGTATAAACCTCACACTCACCCTTACAGTTCACTACAATGATTTCTCCTGCCTTCTTTCCTGATATAAGCATCGGAGCATGTCCAGCTATCTTTCGACTGATATCGGGTTGCCATTTATGGACTCATTAGAGCTCATTAGACTTCTACATCATATTTATAGTTATAAAGTCCCCCCAAAATAGCAACCCAAAGCCAGCCCCCGATGCGAAATCCCCATTCAGGAAGCTAGGCTTCAAAAGTATCTCTGTTCATAGATGATACAGACATACTTACCCAAGCGGCCACAGGACAACAACAAGTAGTCAAGAGCAGGTAACATATGACTGAACCCAGCAAATACAATTTTTTTGAAGCTCAAATATAAGAATAGTGGGCCATGCCAGGTCTGCAGCCGACACTCGCCTTCCATTGCCACAATGACTGGTTCACAGGAAATGACCAACGCCAGCTGGACTACGTCAGCTTGGAAGATCTGTGGCCTTTCCCCACGTTCTACTCTGAAGGTGTACGTTCTAGGATGGCTGGACAGAAAGAAGGAACGGTGACAGGAACTGGCGACGGTGACAGCAGCGGCGACAGCATGCCGACAAGAATAATCCCCCCACAGGAGAAATAATGACTAATGAGGACGGCTGTATACAGCGCATATCAGCCCCCCCGTGTTTAATTTGTTGTGAACCTATCTAAGGGTGCCATTGTTGGTAGCTTTCCTGGTTTTGCGTCGATAATCTTGTGTGCAACCGGGCCCTAATGTAGTAGCCATCTGTCATCTCGGGATCCCAACATCTTGTGGCGGATCAACTACCTCTTCTGGGGTTGTTGGAAGATGCCTTTGGGGAAGCGGGGATTCAATGCCACATTCATAGATAATACGAACGCACTTATACGTGCGGGTGATGGCAACAAAGTTGCAAAGAAACGAATGAGACCAAATCTCGTGAAAGAGATATACACAAGTGCGAACGTGAGAATCTTAACATGGATTCTAAAAACGGCCTTTCAGCTTCAGACGCAGCTTGAGATGGCCAGGTCAAAGACTGGGATATCATGACAACAAGAAAAAAACGGTGACATAAGCTACCCACAGCAACAACAAGCACGACGGCAACGGTGACAGCTAGCAAGACAGTGACGGCGACAACAACAGTGACAACATCACCCAATGTCAGTCATAACGCCAGCAAGCACTGGCTTGCCGAGAAGGGGTTCAGACAGCACCAGTGACGTTGCTGTCATCCGGGCATGGGTGCCTTGTCTGCTTGCATTTTGACCCATCCTTGTATAACAAAATTGCCCCAGAGGTGAGATGAATGCCGTCTTAAATCAATCGGAACACGATAACTGTTCAAGCCATCCGCAGTAAACAGATACAATATCCGCCCTCCGTCCCATATCCGCCCCATCCCCGCACTCCCACCCCATAATCCATAACCTTAATCTAGAAAACCTTATACTCACAACCCCCATTGCAGCCTCCCCCACATAACCCCACATAACGGCGCGAGATTAGATTCCCTATCCTCCCGTCACCTCTCCACTTCTCTTCCGTCTTAGCCAGGAACCCGTGCATGGGATGGGACAATCAAGATAACTCCGAGATGGGACCTGGTGGGAAGCGGGCCACACGCCCTCGTGGTTATGACAGCGGGATATGGGTTTAAGGTATATTATCAGCGGGGAGGTAAGGGAAGAGGCTCGAGGGCTTGGTATTCAGTCTTGTATTTGGTTGTGTTCTGTTGTGTTGTGTTATACTTTACTTCCCGTACCCCTCTTAGGAGGGGTTTTTTTGGGTTCTCATATGTGCATCCCCCACCCCCCAAACCTACCAAACCCAATCACGACGCAACAAACCACAGTACCAGCCAAGTCTTCAAGCCCAAAATCCAACGCGTGCCCCATATAACCTCTCTTCCAATCCCTTCGTTAGTTCGTCTCGCTTTCCGCCTTTTGTTTACCATATCCCCCTCCGTCCGTCGCTTAGAGTTATCCCCCTCGCTCTACGCCACACACACAATCCCCTACGCACGCCACAACCTGCCCTACCCTACCTGCAGATAATGCATGAACACAAGCCCCAATGGCCCGGGAGAATGATGTGGATAAAACGCGGGGTAAACTATGACTACCGGACCTTTTGTGGGGTAAACCATCCTCTCTATCAATCCCTCCATCCCCCAACCCCCCTGGCTGGCTGGCTAAATATCTCCTCAATGCAGTACCGCACCTGTGGCGCTGGGTAAAAAGGGGGTTGCCAGCTGGGTAAAGAAGGAGTGGCGCTGGGTAAACGCATCCTGGTGGGTTGGATAAAAGGTTAACCTCGGCGGAGCGCACCGATCGGTCTATCAATCTGTTCTATTCGGTAGGAACTAACTATGGTGTGCGATCCCTCGTACCTGAGCGGAGGTATTTTCTTTCCTCCCTCCGAATTCCAGATACTACGATGCTGTCACTTTACTTCATTTCACGATATGGTAGAGAGATATGGTTCGTAAGTGTATGGTAGAAACTCGGCACCACCCGGCCATCATTTCATTCGCTCCCATCCGCTTTCAATATCAGATCTGTTCAGAATTACATACTCGTACCCCCCAACCAGTATGTCATGTCAAATATATACACCCGCCAAAAGCCAAAAAATAGACATTTCAAACACCTTCCCCCCCCAAGAACCCCGCCCGCCCCATATTGACAAATCCCATCCCCCCCCCCTGCCTGGCTATCAAATCCCGTAGAATCCCATCACCACCGCCCCCCCGGTACCTATTTTTATCAACACCCACCCCTCCTTCCCTTTCCGGCTCATCTCCCATCGCCCGAACTCTCGCCCCAACACTCCCCCGAAAAGACGAATATCCCACCACACCCCGCGGGCGATAACACACCGAGCCACGCACACAGATAGACGCCACATCTCTTCTTTCGCGGCGGTATCAGGTCCTCCATTTTCATCCCAGCAAGAAACGCTTCTCCGTCTCGTATAGCTTCGTATCGGCTCGCACCCGCATCAAGCTCAGCCCTGTGCTCATTTCGCCACGTCAGATCAGGAGCCGGGGAGTGAAGGAGGATCGGGAAGATCCCCCACATTCGCTCCGCTCCCGCCTCCCGCCTCCCTGGTCCCCCAGGAACGAGAAAAATCTGGGGAGGGAGGGGTGTAATATCGGTGGTAATGCCGGTGGGTGGCGAACGCCAAGTTTCGTTCATTTGTGTCGATCCTCGGTTGAAAATCCTGCTTTCCCCTCCTCACATCCTGCTTCCCATCATCGTTCGTTCGGGCACTCCCCCTTCCCTAGGCAAGGTAACTCCTCACTAACCCATCCCTCCCCCCTCCACCCCTCCAAGAAAGAAATCCAGTTCGCTCGGCCCGCCCCCACTATACTCATTCTCAGCCAACTGCTCCAGCAGCGTCAAAAACGGATCCTTCTCCTCCCCCTCCTGTCCCTGTCCTCCCATCCCTCCACCCCCTGCATTCCCAAGTCCACCCGCCACCCCGCAGCCGCTTCCCGCCGAAGGGGTTTGCGCGTCATACGCAAGGGGTGACTGTGCGGATGTGTGTTGATTTTGGTGAGACGAGGTGGGCGGGTTGAGACCATGGTTGTTGTTGTGTGACCCAAACATGTCGGTGCCGGGGGGTGGTGTGGAGAGCGGATACATCCCCATTGCTCCACCAAACTGGGCAGAGTTGCCGCCATTGCCGTTGCCATTTCCATTATGGAGATGCTCGGGGTACCCACCATTCCCGGCGCCGAGGGACATCGACGTCCTCGGGTGCCGAGAAGACGTACCTGCGCCGTTGCCGTTGCTGGTGATAGGGAAGGAAGAGGGGTTAGAGAAGTCGAGGTGCGGGAAGGTATCTGTTGTTGCTGAGGTCGGGTTATTCCCGTTTGTGGAGTCGTGTAGGCGAGTAGGTAATTCATTCCCCTCCCCCGCCTCGCGCTTCCTCTTCCCCGTCGCAGCGTTACCTGGATACCCAGATGTGCCGTCGGGGAAGTGTGAAGATGAAGCGGGCATAGCATGCAGGTTATGCGCGCGATACTCCTCATCAGCCGGATGCCTCAGCGCCACCTCCGCAAAGGAGACGTGCGCGCCGTCGAAGGAGGCGCCGAGGGCGGCGTAGCGGTCGAAGAAATCTTCTAGATGGAAGACGGGGGAGTAGCGCATAGGTGAGGATGCCAGGTTCTTCAGCAGCTCCGCGTGCGCCGCGTACAGCGCTTGTAGGGTGTCGCGCTGGTGCTGGACGAGGGCCCAGGTGTACCGGAGTTTGGAGAGCTGGTGCATGGATCGCGATAGAAGGTCGGGGGAGGAGGAGAACACCTCGTCGGAATGCGAGGTCTTGTAGTGAGAGCCGTGGACGTGCACGGTGCCGGCGCTGCAGACGCAGTAGCCTACGAAGGCGGGCCATTCTGTTGATCCTGCCTGTCGTCCCAGTTCGACGAGCTCGGCGATGGCGTTGGCGTGCAAGAAACAGAGGTTGGTCGCTTCGATCTGCCAGCTCTGGTGCTGGCCTGTCCCGGCTAGCTCTGCGAGGTCGATGGGGAGGAAGGGGCGGTAGATGAGCACGTGGATGAGGTGGTATATGAGTTTCGCGAGGATGAGGATCGTGCTATCGGGTTGATGGAATAGTGGTGTTGTGGAGGCGAAGACGTCCGCGGTCCCCGAGGCCCAGATATCTAGGTCCTGTCGGATCTTGGAGAGGTTCGAGAGACTGTGCCAGGGGAAGTGGCTGTCGCCCTTGACGCCGCCGGCGGCGAGGTAGCGCGACGTGTTACCCAGGATCCGCACGATGTCGATGAGGAGTCCCGTGCCGCCTTGCGACGTCTTGCCGCTGCCGGCGTGGTATTGGAGGTTACTCCCGTCTTGGAAGAATTCGCCTTCTACAGGCGCAGATTGGGGGTTTGGTGACCATGAGGGTAGACGGAGGATTAATGAGCTGTCGGGAATCATAGATGGACGCTTCGATCCACACGACGCGAATCGGTCCATGAGGTAACATGACCAGAAGAGACGCCGCCTTAGACTTCGTTCGCCGGAGGATAATTTTAACCTAGGGTCCGCCTCGCGGTGTAGTTCGAGAGCCATAGCCATTCCGATTCCGGATCCTAGTAACACACACACATTAGCACGCAACTACGCCAAGCCATGCGGACCGACTCACCTAGGAGCATATACGCCTTCTTCCCACTCCCCAAGGCGACAAAGGATAACGATAGCAGCAGCAGCGCTTGCAGCGTCTCGATACTCGGCTCGTCGATGTTGACCTCCGCGCGCGCTCGCGTCGCGTACTCCTCGCTCAGCCGCACCGCAGCATGGTATCCGTTGGGATGCACGGCATACCTGGCACCCACGGCATAGAGGGCGAGCAACAGTCCATTCGGGGCGGTGCCTGCCTGGACACGCGAGCGGATCACGCCCTCGTCGAGGATGAAGTAGGGTTTTCCATGCGCACGCCCGAAGTAGGCATCGAGAAGGACATCGTCTGCGACTGCGGGACTCTGCACACTAGGGGTGGGTGTGTAGATAGCGCTCTCAATGGTGGGCTCGGGTATATTTTCGGTCTTGAGATTAGGGCGCTGCTGCTGGGCGTGTTCGGGGAAGGTATCGGTGCCAGCTGAGGAAGAGGTGTCGGGCGGGACGGAGGGAGGGTCGCTCGGAGAGTCCTTGGAGCCGTTGAGTTGTTTCTCGTCTTTGAGGCGGCGCTCGAGGCCGTCTACGCGCTTGAGGAGTGCTTCGAGGACGTCGGTCTTGGGACCGCGCTTTTTGGGCACGGCGTCTGCGAGGAGGGTCGTCAGCAACGTGCAGCCAAGGAGTTTCTTATCATGGCAGCTGCAAGGCACTATCTTGTCTGAGACATGCCTTGCAGCTTGCACCATGCGGATTATATCTCACCATATACACAGGGACACTGGAAGACCTGGCAGGCCTCACAAGTCGGCCGCAGCCGGTTGCACTTGATCTACAGACGACGGATTAGCACGCGGAAAGCTGGTACGCGGTCGTCTTCGTCTCGCGAATCTCCCAGGCATAGACATCGACTCACCTTCCTCTTGCGACAGCTCTTGCAATTCATACTCTCGCGGGGCTCATTGCTCAGTCTCCTGGCAGCAGCCGAGACCGGGAGACGCTCAATGCCCACAGCGGGTCTGAAGGCGGAGGTCGCCATTCTCATCGCCCAGCGGCAGCGGCACCAACAGGAGCGGCAGCGCAGCAGCAGCGCCTGGGGGCTGCTGGGAGCCCTTCTGCGATCGCGCCAATGGCCGGGGCGGGATTTGTTGGGCGTACGGCGCGACGGAGATTCTTTCTACGTCATGCGGTGAGGGTGGTAAGGCGGGCGTGGAGCATGTTGTGAGGGGATGAGAGGGAGAGGAAATTTCTCCGGACGGCGAGAGGTTGCGGAGAATATGAGGTGGTGGTGATATTTGGGATGGGGATGGGGAGGAGTTGATGGGGAACTGTGGATTTTTGGGGCCGAGGCGACAAAGAGGGATGGGATGAGGGATGTTGGTGGTTGTAAGTACGGGTTATGCGGTACAGTATGCAGTATACATACAGTAGCGTCGAATTTTAGAAGGGGAAGGGAGGGGGGAGGGAGGGGGGAAGTGTGGGGTGTGGAGGTTTTGTGGAGGTAGGAGTGGAGGAGGTTAGGGTGGAAGTTGGTTAGGGTGATTAGGGTAGGGAACGACAGGAGAGGCGGTTAGCGGAGGCGTAGAAAAGGAAGGGAAGGGGAAGGGGTTATGCGTGACAGCAGCGTGGTTTTGACAACTAATTAGATATGTAGTTACTAGGAGAGGAAGTTAGATGTACGGTAGGCTAGTATAGACGTATGGTAGTTCAGCACAGAGGGTGAGACGAAGCATGTACTTACTGGTACTAGCAGTAGAGTTTTCTATAACCCGCCCACGCACGACGCACGAGTACCGTACCGACAATTCCTTCTAAGCACGGCCGGCCGGCTCACGACTCGATGCTTAGTCTACCACCAAGCGCTTCCACGGTAAACGGGTCAGGTAGAGCACTATAACCCTCCGTCTAGCACTATATCTCTCCCTCTGGCACTTTAGAAATGTGCGGTAAAGTGAGGGGATGGTAGGGGGGGGAACCCTGCTAGGACGGTCAGAATGGGAGGAAAGACGGGGAAGAGAAGGACCAAAGTCGTGGTACACTGGGGAAGAGAGAGGGGAGGACGGGGGAGGTAGCGGGGAGGTAGCCGATGAGGGAAAAGGGTGGTGAGTGAGAGTTGTAGGGGGAGTGTAGTAGACCGAGTATGACGAGTAGTAAGTGTGTAGTGTAGAGAGTAAGAGCGATTGTATGAATACAATACTAGCAACAGCCTCATCTAGCTGGCAGACGACTGCCTACTCCTCCAGCCTCTCTATGCATAAAATACCTCCCAACTACCTCCCTCCCATCCCCATCCACCACCTCCAAGTACCTCTACCCCCCGTGATCGTCGCATCACCCAGTAAACCCCCGAGAAACCAGTCCTACATAGACGCAAAGATCAAAGAGACTCCGGTGGGGTTTGCGAGGAGTGTGGGTGGAGAGGGTGCAGGGCTATTTTAGTGGTAGGAGGGACATGACAGGGCTAGAGACAGGTCTAGGTCTGGCGCGGTGGTGTGGTGTCTGACATTCATTTTTCACGTGGTTGATTAATGTGTTGATCCCCCGGTGCCCGCCGTAGATATCCCGATGGGCAGGCACGGGCTAGGTACAGGTTTGGTTGCTCCTGCCCTGTTCTGTGTTCTAGATACACATATAAACCAAGACCACAACCCACTCACAACATCTGACATGACATCGAACATCTCTAGTGTAAACAATACACGTCACCCCCTCTCACCCTCCTCAATTTCCTATCCCTCCTCTCCCGTCTTCTCTGTCCACCTCTTCATCTCTCTTTCTCACCCCTCTCCTCTCCCCCTATATCAAATCCCCTATATACCTCCATTCGTCCCACCACCAGAAAACCACGTGCGAACTACCCTGCAGAACGAACCCTCCTCCCCTGTTTTGAGTGCTACACCACTACACCATGGAGCCTCACCCTCCGCCCTATCCCTAATTAATTCGCCCGACCGAGCCGTTAGAGTGCGTGGGTGGTGAGCGGCGGTAGTGGAGAGGTGGGCTCTGTGGGCTCTACGGTACTCTCTGCGGAACTCGGATCTGTTACCGTGCGCTTGCTCGTCTGGACTACTACTGGTGCCGTGTCTGTGTGGTTTATCCGTCTGCTGTGGAGTCCCGAGTATAACCCGCGGAGATGATTATCACTACACTAACTGTTAGGGCATCGGATGAGGGTATAGACAGCTAACAGACTCTCCAACTCATTACTATCGAATTGTAGAATATATGTAGATACACTCCTGAAAGAAACTACAATCTATTTCGGCCCCTCGCCCGAAACCTCCCCCCTCACCACTCTATCCCCAGCCACGCGGCTCGGGCTAGCACCGCGCGAGCGTCACCTTCCTCTCCTAATTTTCCACTCCACGGCAATACCTTCCCTTCTTCCCTTCCTTCTTTCCTTCTGTCCACCCATACGGACTAGACACCAGTACTTGCGGCGACAGCGCTCAGAATAGTCAGTAGCGCCCCAGTACCGTGAGTACCGTGCGAGTACCGCTGAGTCGGCCGTTGGATGGTGCGTCTTGTCGGGCTTGTCGTGTCTTGTCTTTGTTCACGGACAGCTGCGGACCGGCTGGAGCAGTGGAGAAAGGAGAGTGAGTGCGTTTCGTGCCGTCTGCGGTGGAGTAGGTCCTCGTGTGGGCGTATACAGGGCGTAGCAGTTTCTCACGACTAGCACATGCCAGCCGCCCAGTCCCACGCTCAAAAATCTCTCAGTAGCATAGAGTAGCACAGAAATAACATCATCACCCTTACCCCTCCGGACACTCACCCGCACCGCCGGCACCGAACTGCACAGCACTGTACTGCGTGATGGATCTAAGGACCGACTCGGACCGCCGTGGCGTCTCGACATACACCACCACAGCGTGCCACACCAGTTTATTACCCTCCTAATGCAAGACATCTGCATACCTACCGTCCTCACATCTAGAACCCGCCGTCGTACCCTATACGCGTTTACAACGCCCGACAGGGGTGGGTGCGGCACGTTCATAGATTACAGGGAACAGGATATACCGGGGTTAACACCTCGGGCAGCGGGACAATGTACGTGCGAGCGGCTCGATACGGAGGGGTCCTGGTGCGAGTACGAGTTAACTGGCTGCGATTACGAGGGGGGGCCAGTCGAGAAGGTCTGCCGCAAGGTGACCTGTTCTGGGAAGGGGTGCGTGCGCTGTGTGCGGTGCACGAGGAAATTCTCCTTACAGTACGGTATAGTAATGCAGTAGAATGGTATTAGAGGGTATGGAAGGGGTTTTAGTCGCGGAGATATATGCCGATCTGGGGTGCATACAACTAGAAGCCATGTGCTCCTGAAGCCTCACGACGCGGGGTGCCCGGTTTCTTGATGTACAGTATGCATACCTACAGCTTAGTGGGCGAGGATTTCTCATCCTACAGTCCTGCCCTGCACACACCGTCCAACCACTCACCTCACACAGTAATTACTGTATGCACAAAAAATGCAAGGCTCGCCCGATGATCACCACCATCAAAGCGTACGAGATCCCCACATCCACTTCCGCCTTTTTCCTTGCGTCGGGGTTCTCGAATAGACACCCTTGAGCGGTGGATAGTGGGTTTATATTGAGGACTGCCGATCGTGAGACACGTGTGGGTTGGGTGCCGGAGGTGGGCGGGGAGGGTGCTGGGCGGTAAGATGGTGAGGGATGCAGGGGAATCTGAAAGAGGGGAGGAGGGGGAGGGAAGGAATTGGAAGGGGAAAGGAGGGGAGAAGGAAGGAGGGGGGTTGGAATGGGAGGGATGGGTTGGAAGGAGAAGAAGGGGAAGAAGGGAAAGTGAAGGGGAGGGGAAAGGGAAAGGAAGAGAGATCGAATGTTCTACCGCGGCACCTAGGTGCGTGGTATAGTAGCAGTAGATATCTATATCAGAGAGGGCTAAACATTCAACCGCCTCCGGGCCTTGAGTTGTGCGTCCGCGGAGGTGTCTCCAGTGGGCGGGGCAGTCTGGGCGTGAGCTGGGCTGAGTTGAATCTACTACGCTGTAGGAGTGTGCTGCAATTTTGGTACGGTACTGGGTAAGTAAGATGGCGTTCTACAACGGCGACGTCTACCATGGTGGCGCCGCCACGGCGTGTAGGCTGATCGACCGACGGACACCATCCGCCAGAGGTGATTGATAGGATTGGGATTGTCTCACCGCGTTGGGCGCGGGATCGCGGGGGAGTGGATGGGATTAGCGGCGAAAGGGGGCGCGGGATAGGCAACGGTGTGGATGGAGATGTGCGTAGGATGCTGACGGCGGGCCCGGCGATGGATAGAGGCAGAGTAAGCAGATCACTCACAGGACTGATAGTCACACTGGACTCACTTTCCAAACCACTCAGCCAACTAAAACCCTCTTCACAAAAACGCTGTCACCAGATAAATCCCAATCACAGGCCTAACACCACATAACCGCTGGCCCTTGCCACGAAATCGACACACCAACACAAACACAAACACCAACACCACCACAGCATAGAACACACCACACACAACAGGACATCCAGCAGGGCGGCAAGAAAAATCATATTATCTAGATAAGACCGCACACCCACCTCCTACTTGTACCAATTCGATCGATATACCACCACCCCGCCAGCACCACACATCTAATGATTGCCCCAACCAGCCGAAAGATGATGAAAACTACAGACATAAAAAAAAATAGGGACGAGAATGAGACGAGGGATGGATGTGGGAGACAATGCCGCGACGGCTGTGTATTGTTGAGTCGGGGGAAGCTGGTCTGCTCATGGCGGAGGTGTGGTTCGACGGCGGTGAGGGGCGGGAATGGCGGGGGAGGCGGAGTGACAGAACGCCGAGTATGCGGTAAGTAGACCCCGTCCTTTCGCCCATCTATCCGCCGTCCACCACATCACCGTCCCGCGCGCGTGTTGGTGACATACTGTAACCCCCATCCCCCTCTCCCCCTTCACCCCTACGACAAACTCCTCCCACTCGCCAACCTCACAAAGCTATACGGAACATTCTGCCCCACCAACAACCTCAACACCTCCACCGTCGCAAACGCCCCCGTATCCGCAACCCCATAACAAGTCCACCCACACCCCTCCGCCACCGCCCTTGGATCCCCCTTCCTCGGCCCACTCGCCAAATCCACAAAGATCCTGCCACTCCCGCTCTCCTTCCCCGCCATCCTCCGCGTCCCAGGCCACGCACCAAAGTGCCTCAGCAGCGGCTGCACGAGATGGCTTCGTGAAGGCGGGAGCGCCGAGACGACAACAACAGGCATCTCAACCCTCTGCACGCTCTCCACCCCCGTGAACGCCTCACTCCCCTGCCACAGCCCCGCTGAGCCAGGCGCACCATCAACGGCGCGGAAACCGACTGTGTAAATCGTTCCCACGTTCAGCGAGCGCAGCGCAAACACCGCAGTCGACGCATCGTCCGCTGAGGAAGCGACAACAATAGCTGCGCGCCCGCGGTAGGCAGCTGGTGCGAAGTCCCGGGTGAGCGTCGCGCGGATGCCTTTCCACATCGCGTTGTCGCCGATGAGCTGCGACCCGGCGGCCGTGGTGTGCGCGGTGATGGTATCGATTGCGCCGATAGCTCTCGCGGCGTCGGAGAGCTGCGGGATGTAGGCTTGCGCGGCGGCGATGGGAGGGTTGAGGTAGGCGCCACCGAAGTCGGGTTGTGAGCAGAAGGACTCGACATTACCCTTTGGACCGCGGTCGACGGCTGATAGGCGGTGGGTTAGTCCCAGCTCGTTGAAGCATTTCTCGAAGAAGGCGGTTTGGGCGCTGGGGCGGGAGGTGATGGCGAAGATTGTCTTGCGGGGGAGCTGCGACATGGTGGCTAGGGAGCTGTTGATCTCGGCGGCGGACATTTGGCCCGGGGCCGCGACGATGGGGAGGAGGGGGTGCGTGATGGGCGAGAAGACGGTGTTGAATGCGCGGGAGATCTGGCCGAGGCGGCCCATGTTGACGGCGGAGAGGGCGGGGCCGGAGGGGTTGTTGGCGCGGATCTGGGAGCGGAAGTATTCGAGCTCGTAGTTCTCGGAGACGTCGTTGATGACCGTGATCATCTTGACGATGTCGCCGTAGCGGCGGCTGTCGCGGAAGATCTCCTGAGCGCGCTCAGACGGCCAACGGAAGGTCCCGGAGAAGTCGTGGAAGGCGCTGATGATCTTGCTGTTGCCGCGCTTCTCGTAGAGGCTCCGGCGGATTTCTTCCGGGAGCCAGATCTCGACGTCGATGTACTCGACACCCCATTGCACGGCGCGGTATAGGTATTCGTAGAATAGTTGCGGGTTCTCCATCGGGAACTTGCCGTTCTCCTTTGTGCACCTCGTCGTGAATATTATGGGTAGCTCCGTACGCTGCCTCAGTAGCATGACCTGCTCCCCGACATAGCTGATGCTCGGCACCGAGCTGAACGTCCCGTCCGATAATGGCTCCTTCAATAGATCTACACGTAGCTCGACGGCGTCCGATCCCACGGTCAGGATGTCGAGATTCGGCAGCGCCGTCCGCACGTCGGGGAACGTCGTCGAGATGAAATATGTTCTAGGTTTCGTGATGAGCGCCTCGTGGTGGTTGATCTGTCCAAGCGTAAAGGAGATGAAGCGTGATAGGTCTCTCCTGAAAAACGGCTTCTCCGCGTATAGAAACTCGTAGTCGCATTCGCTCGACAGCTCCGCGTCCGGGGGCATCCCCAGATTCACACAGTGCGCATGTATGGCTACAATCCTGCTTCTATCCCTCTCATGTATGTCCACCTTTGCATCATCAGCCCGCAGCCCGATCACAATGCCATGTCCCGCGTCCGCGACGGACCTGAAGCTGGTGGCGAGCCTGAACGGCTTCCCGAGGACGTCGGCGAAGACGGACACGATGCCTTCCTGCCCTGGGCCGTGGACGATTATCACGGTCCTCGTGTCGCCGCCTCCCGCCTTCTCCCCGTTGGCGACTCCATTTGCGCTGGCGGGAGGCACTGGTGTCGGTTGCACGACTGCCTGAAGCGGCTTCGTCGCCATGGGAGTGGGTTGTAGATCTGTAAACGTCCCCAAGACGCTGGCCATGTATCAGCAAGCGGGAGGTGACACGCCGTCAGAAGAATGTCGAGAGGTTATTTTGGGATTCGCGCGGCAAAATCGAGCATTGCAATCGCCGCTCCAAAGTTGCTCCTGAGACTTTAGCCGGGTACAGTCGGGGGCCAATGGACCGATGGCTCGTGGCGGTTTTTTAGAGTTTGTAGTGTACAGTTGCGGTCAACACCGAGAAGGTTTGGGGGAGGAATTATCCGATGCGAAGACTCGATTGTTGAAGATGCGCAACGTCGTGCCGCATGATCTAGATGGAGACACAGGCTGATGCCTTTGCGGAACTAGTTGCGCGTGCGTGCTGGTAATCACGGCTTATCTCAATGAGCGCAAGCCAAGACAGGGAAGGAGAAGAGGAATTTTGCCGGACGCCTTGCAAGACTCGGAGTAGTTGGTGGAAGACTGTCCATCTGAGGAGAGATTCCCGAGATTTCTTATCCAGAGTATCGGCAAATAGACAAGTTAGTCTTTGGAATAGCGAGTGAGGAGAGGACGGAAAGTCGCAAGCTGAAAAGTCCGGGGATCTAGGAGGGGGGAGGAGACTATGGGGTTGCGGCTAGTAGCCGTCGCTGGATCAATATTCCTCCAATCAGAACAGCGGCAATTGCATATACCAAGGAGGGAAGGATGAGATTCCGTGGAGATATAGATAGGAAAAGTTTCAAGGTGGGAGGGGAAAGGGGAGTTTAGAGGAGGAAGATAGGAGAAATATAGATGAATTTAGAGGTTTTATGAGGATGATATTGAGGATATAGAGGATATAGAGTATGATAAAGATGAGATTTTGGGAGTTATATTGTATGTATGTACATAGTTGTTGCAGCGGCAGGCGGGTAAAGGACGGTAGACGCGGATAATTAGTGACATCACGTGATATGGGGTACGTACGTATTTCTGCACTTGGTACTTCGTATTGGAGAGAACAGAAATGTGGAGACGCTAGTGGCGTTGGGGTTAGTACAACACCTGCCGTACAGAAAGGGGAGTGGGGGTTCTGTGGGGGTCTCGGAGAGTCCGGATAATTACAAAGTCACGTGATCAGATATTTGTGGAGCTGGAGGCGAATAGGATACATCGAACTATCACGTGCATATTACCGTGCATATCACCGCAACCTAACATTCAGCAAGAACACATTACAAAGCGGACAATTGATGTTCTAGAAGCGGATGAAAGGGATTCGATCGCGATTGTGCATGAGGTGATAGGGATCATATGTACGATAATTGGTGGTTTTTGTGAGCTCGTACGATGCGATTTCTGGATAAATGCACAAGTCTCACGTGATTCGGTGTTTATCTGAGTTCAACGAGAGATATGCCCGACGGACAAATATCATTGCCCTGCCAAGTTCTGAAACTGGATAATTGAGAATGTCTTAGGTAACTGACGGACAATTATTCTTTCTCCTGAGAGTCTCACGTTCTACAAGTTAAACACTTCCGTTTGCACATTTCCTCTGTGGCGTCCTCCAGTTTCGCTGCAAACAAACCCGAAGGTCCGTTATATCACGTGATACGCCGAGTCAAGTGCCGCCAATCCCGACCGGATTCGTCGGCGCAGGGTGGTGGGGTCGTGGCCACAATGCCGCCGAGACACACAGAGATTCTCCGTTGCCTATGGGTCTTCTATGGAGATATATGGGGTCTGCCGCCTATCCCCATCTCCTTCTCCAACTGTTTCTCCAACTCAACTCGCCGAATCTCCGAAAAGTCAAGTTCCTGAATATCTCCGCCTCCATCTCTCCATCATCTCCATCATCCCCATGAATCTCCAACTTCTCCTCACCTCACCCCATCTTCATCCCCCACGCGTCCCCAGGTCCAACCCCTCTGGTTTTGCCCCAACCGTCATGATGCTTTCAGCCTCTGCCGCTTCTGACGACCACTGACGTCGTATCTCCAAAGTACAGGTTATGGAAGTTTCCACAGCCGCAAATGCACCCCGTGCCACCCCGTCCCTTCCGCCACCGACACTTGACAAAACCAGGTTCGGCTGACTAAGTGGTGTGCCGACCCAATGGGTTGCCGCGTTGCGCATCCACGCCGAGCCGAGCGAGGTTTCTGGGTCTACCATGATGTCATACCCACCGAGTTCTCACTTTTTCTGATATCCCCCACTCGAATCCGCCCCATCCGACATCTGCATTTAAAAAGAAAATCTGACTCGTTCCACTCTCCCATGACTTCTTATAATCCCCCTTTAGACCTCACATTCTCCTTTCTAAACAATTTTTATTCAATTTTATAGCAACGAAACAAACTTGTCGAAACCCCACAATCATGGGACTCCTCGACAAAGTGAAAGGCCATAAGGCCTCGGGCAATGGGCTCGACACGTCCGGAAGGACGTCTTCGGATCCCGGTATCAAAGAGCAGGAAGGCGGAATCGCCGATATCAATTTCGATCAAAACACAGACGACACAGAGACCATCATGAACAACCCGAACCTCGACGATGGGAAGGTACCACGCGTAACCTTCAGGACAGCTATAATGGCTATCATCGCTGCCATGGGAGGTTTCATTTTCGGTTACGATACCGGACAAATCTCTGGATTCTTGGAGATGCAAGTCTTCTTGGAACGCTTTGGAGAGACGAACGCAGACGGGAAACTCTTTTTCTCAAATGTACGATCGGGTCTTATTGTCGCTCTTCTCAGTATCGGAACTGCCATTGGAGCCTTGCTTGCTGCACCGCTCGCGGATAGAATTGGCCGCCGAGGCTCAATTCCTTGGTGGTGTCTCATCTTCTGCGTCGGCGTTACCATCCAGATTGCTGTTGGCGATGGACAATGGGTTGGTGTCGCAATGGGAAGATGGGTCGCTGGTCTTGGTGTTGGATCCCTCTCCGTTCTTGTCCCACTATACATGTCGGAGTCGACCCCCAAGCAAGTTCGTGGAGCCGTTGTGTGTTCCTACCAACTGTTCATCACCATCGGTATCTTCACATCCAACTGTATAAATTACGGCACAGAATCGCGCACGGATACCGGCTCCTACAGAATTCCAATGGCCATTGGCTACCTCTGGGCACTCATCCTCTGCATCGGCATGCTCATGCTTCCCGAGTCGCCCCGTTATGATATCCGCAAAGGTTTCAACAAGCGCGCTTTCAACACGATGCAGAAGTTCTACGGCGTTCCCGTCAACCATCGCGCCATCGCTCTCGAGACTGCTGAGATTAACGCCAACATCCGCGCATCTCAAGGATCACACGCCTGGTACGAGGTCTTCACCGGTCCTCGTATGGGCTACCGTACTATGCTCGCCATGGCCCTGCAGATGTTCCAGCAACTGACCGGTGCCAACTACTTCTTCTACTACGGCACCACGATCTTCGCTGGTGTCGGACTTTCGAACTCTTTTGTCACGGCCATGATCCTTGGTGGCGTCAACGTTGGCGCTACCTTCTTCGGTCTCTACTTCGTTGAGCACTTCGGACGCCGCAAGTGTCTTATCACTGGTGGCTTGTGGATGTTCATGTGCTTCATGATTTTCGCCTCCATCGGACACTTCAAGTTCCAGCCTGCAATCGAGGGCAGCAACGACGCCAAGACCTACGGTACCGTCCTGATCGTCTTCGCGTGCCTGTTCATCTGCGGTTTCGCCTCGACCTGGGGACCCATGATCTGGGCCGTCAACTCCGAGATGTTCCCATACCGTTACCGTGCTAACGCCATGGCCCTCGCCACCGCCTCCAACTGGATCTGGAACTTCCTCCTCGGTTTCTTCTCTCCTTTCATCACCGGCGCCATCGACTTCAGCTACGGCTATGTGTTCGCCGGATGCAACTTGGTCGGTGTGGCCATCGTGTACTTCTTCCTCATCGAGTCGGCGACCCGCACTATCGAGGAGGTCGACACCATGTATCTCATCCACGTGCCGCCGCTCAAGTCGAGCAAGTGGACGAGCGAGATGATCGAGCGCGAGCTCGCCAGCAGTGATAACATGCACCTGGCGCACGGCGGGCGCAACGTCGAGAAGCGCAACCGCGATGAGGAGGCGAATGCTCAGCAGGTTGAGGGCAACGGTGTCCTGGGGGGCAAGCTTGCTGGCGACGATTCGCTGCCTCAACATCCTCTGCCGGCTAATGATCTGCCGGCGCATCTTCAACAATAGATGCGTTACGTGTCACGCGATATATGGGATTGTACAAAAAGAAATAATAGACATAAACTCTCCACGGAGACAGATGTTATATTACTACGATGTATCAATGCGACATACAATAGCGGCGCTGGTGCGACGGGCGACCACCTCTTGCACCAACGACCGCGCCACATGTACTCATGGTTTGTAGAATCATTGTTGTAACCTTTTACTGGGATCGGGCTGCATAGTTTTGTTTGATATCCTGGGCTGGAGTTTATTTGGGTACAGGACATTTTAGCTATTTTCTACATACTTTAGATATAGAATATTATTATTCACCATTATTCGCTGATTCTTACTTTGGTTGTGTGTCAGTTTAGCGCACCCTTGCGGGGCTGTGAAGGGTTCTGGGATTCTGGGGTTGATGATGCCATTGTGACGGAGATATCGGAAGATTGGCGTTTTGACTTCTTTGGTAACACGGTCGACCCGTGGTAACTGGAGGTGCTAGGAGAACCAAATTCATGTCAAGGGTGTAGTCAGGATACTGGTAAGATAGGAACAGGTTTGACTTCTGGGGTAGGGAGCCCGTTTAAGTTCGATTATTGACACCTCGTAATATAATGATCATAGATTCTTCCTGTCTACCACACATCGTCCGCCCCTCCCGACAGAACCCCTATTCGCCCCCAAACTCCATCTTTCCCTCCACCGCCCCTTCCGCCCCAAACGCCACCACAACAAGTCTTGCTCCCTCCGTCCTACTCACCTCCTGCGGGAGGGAAGAAGAGAAATGGCGGGCCTGAGGACGCGGTGGCATGGTGATGGGCAAGGTCCGCGTTAGAAGTTAGGTTGAGAGAAGGCGGCGTGGAGTAGATGTAAGAGATCGTGGTGGTAGGGCCTATGACTTGGCTTGACGGTGAGGTGATTGGTAGGAAGGACGATGTTTTGGCGTCGGAGGAGTTTGTTGTGATGTAAACGTTGGGGATAGGGGATTCAGTTGCCATCTTGGGCGGTTTTATTTGTTAGAATGGGATGTTGCTGATATGAAATAAAGCGAGCGGAAGGTCATTATTTATATTTCTTGAGTACCAAGCTAATCTTCGGTATTTTGGATGCAATTTATTCTTCATGTCCTCTCTAAACTGCCCTTCGTCGAGGTAATCTAGACTATCATGTCAATGGGCTATCTAAATCGTCTCATCTCCGTGTCTGATGCGGGCGTTGAGGTGGATTGGGTTTATGGACTCATGGTCCCGCTAGACCTATTCCAGGGTTATTTGCGCGAGAGATCTAGGCTGCGCACACCGACTACAGGGATTTATCAGCTTTAGGATCATGAGTAGTTGTTCCCAGAACATGGTATTATGTGCGAGCTTATTTAGTCATCGTAACGTTGTTATATAAAATCTTCACCTCCAGTTCCGGGCTTTCCGGTCTGTTTATTATTCCCGCCACTCTTCTTGATTTCAAATGCCCATACTGCGCCATGGGAGCACTGAGTAAGGGATGCGAATCCTGCAAACGAAAGAAGGTCAAATGTGACGAGACACGTCCACTGTGTAATCGGTGCCGTAAGGCAGGCATCGAGTGCCCTGGTTACAACCGACGGCTTAGATTTGTGGATGACTCCCCGCATCGAACGCTCCATAGCTACCGCTCATGTACAGTTTCACGAATTCGCAGAAGCAACAAGGAATTCTCACTTGGCATCTCCTTCGAGTCGAATTAGTCGCCCCCCGCGTCTTAATCCCGCCACTTTAGTTACAAACACGTTACCATTGACGGCATTTAAGGATGATATATTCATCTCCTATTTATATTCCAAATTATTCGACTCGAATGCTCTCGGTGATCGGTGTGGGTTGCCGGCAGACTGGGTTCTCGAGCTAGCCAATAACCCTCAGAAGTCACGCTATAAGTCATGGGATGCTTTGGCCGCTATTGTGTTTGGGCAAGCTCACCAGTGCAAAGATGTGATACTAACTTCAAAGGAGCTGTATCAGCAAGCATTGTCAGAGCTCAGATGTGTACTTTCAAATGCTAGCGATCGTTGCACGGATAGTACAGTAGCGTCTATGACAGCTCTTTGCAAGTATGATGTAAGCTGCATTGCCATTTACTGCGTTATGGAATAGTATTAACAAGCACAGAGACTACTGTCTGCGACGGGTGGATATTGGGTGCTACACGTAGATGGCCTTAAAGCCCTTTTAGAGTCGAGAGGCCCATGGCAGCAAAAGTCTTACGCGAGCAAGACCATCTTTCTAGAGCATCGAATTATGCTAGTAAGAGACGTCGCATTTTGATTGCTTAACCCAGCTAACGGCTTGCAGGTTACGGAAGCAATTATTACCAGCCGGAGCACATTTCTTCGTTGCCCACTTTGGAAAACGGTTCCGTGGGAAGACGACCCGGCATCGAAATCACCCATTGATTATCTGGTTGATATCGGGGCTGATATTACGGAATATATTGCTCAGGCAAAGATATTTAACAGCAAATGCAACCAGGGGGCTGAAAACACCAATCTTAAATTTCAGGTTGCTAGTTCTCTTGAAGAATTAAATACATGGTGGCACCACTGGGAAGCGGAGCAGACTGAGCCTGCCTCAGAACTAACATCACATCAGGATACCAACGAGTCAATTTTTCATACGCTTCTGGAGTATGACACGTTGTGGACAGCATTTACGGTTTGCTACTATGATGCAATTCGAATTTTGCTATTACAGTTGTGGTATATTCTCCGGCCATTCCCTGGCCCAAAAATCATTCTAGATGAGCCAAACCGAACAGCATTGCTCGGCATAACATCCAACAGCAAACGACTTGCTCGTGAGATTCTGCGGTCTCTAAAATATTGCTATCGAAAATCACAGCGCTTCATATACACTTCCAGCTTCTTGTTTATCCAAGACGTAGCATACGGGTGTTTTTACCAGGGCTCGAAAGAGGCTGCGTGGGCTGGGCGACACAGCTGGGCTGAGCTTGGGAGTTTTGATAATATCGAGGAGGCAAATATTTTGAGAAAACTGCTACCTCTGGGCAATCTAAAAGTTAGAAACTAGAAATCTATACAAATCACAAAGTACAGCACATGAACCCGCAACTACATTCTATCATGACCAGTTCCCCCTAATAATATCAAACCGCCTCCAAAGATATCTTGGAGAAGTCGGCGGGATCCAAGACAGGCTCCATCTTGCCAAAGGAGTAGACTCCGAACATAACGCCGGTAAAGGCACCTCCAATAGGCGGCGATCTGGTCAACAACTTGCTTTGCACTGATGCTAGCAATTTTGAGTCGTCTTTCCCTTCCTCATTGTAACTTAGCGTATATTGAAGGCCATCTCCTTGGATAGCCAAGGTTACTTGTCCTTCTGGGCCGAGAGGATACATAGATTCCTGTCACACGTTTAGCAATCGTCACTGCTGGCAAAGGGGCAACTTACGGTCAATACACCAATCTTGTCTGTTGGAGATCTTAACAGCAAGACTCTCTTTCCAGCATCCGGTCCTTCAGACGCAATGGTTACTCCGATGCTGGCATAAGAAAACAAACTATACCAAACAACAATACCAGCCTCGTACCCTGCCTTGCTCGGTTGGAAGTTGAGTACGGCCTGGAAACGCTGCTGGAAAGTAGTTTGTTTCCGGAGAAGCAGCGTTGGGGCTTCAGCGCTGGAGAGGGGATAGCAACTACCATATAGGCGGAGATGGCCAGGCCTTTCAGATAGAGACCACTCCTGCTTCAAGGGTGTGTCTTGAATTTGTCAGAAAAAGGTACTGAGTGGTCAAATAAGATGTGAAGCTTACGTTTTTGGTACCAGCCTAGTTCGAGAGTCGACTTTTCCAGGTCTGCGTTCCATACATTTGCGGGAGCAAGCTGTCCTGTGTGCCTCCCTTCCGTCGCAATTGTGATATTCTTACCACCATTGAATATAGGCCAGTCATTCTCCCAGATGACCTTCACCAAAAATGTCTCTCTTCCTATGACGCACGGTTTTAGCAGATATCCGGAATCCACGGTTGCTCACCCACATACCTAATGGAGAGTCCAGCCATTCCTTTTCACACAACCGTGGCCTAACACCAAGGAACACAGCCCACCAATCCCCTTTGGCATCCTCAAACACATCTGCGTGCCCGGTACTCTGCACCTCCTCTTCGGTCCCGTTATACCACAGCGGGTTCACTGGCCCAAGCTCCCACGGACCTAGAGGCCCAACCTCACTCCTCAACACCCACTCTTGATGGCCAGCCTCGGTTCCTCCTTCTGCTGTGAACAGGTAATAATACTTGCCACGCTTGATGATGTGCGACCCCTCGGCAATACCGTGCGGACTAGCTCTGATCACCTTCGGTGCCGTCAAGGTCCGCCCTGTGATGAGATCTATTTCAGAGACGTGGATAGCAAAGTCCTTTAGTTTGCTGCCCACGGGCCTGTTGGCAATGCGAACAGTGGTAGAGAGGTACACCTTATCATCGTCATCCCAGAACAACTTCAAAAATTAGCCTGAGATGCGGAAATGTGGGGACAAAAACATACATCTTGATCAAAGCCTGGGTTATCGAAATACACGGGATCGGACCAGGAGTTGTCATCCCAGATATTATCAGTGAACACGTAGAATCCTCTCGGGAAGATTCGCTCCTAAACCATGGTCTCGTCAGTAGCCGCAACGTGTTTTCGAATATATGAAGAGGGACGCACATCATCCTTTGGCCGATACCGGTCCCATTTGCAGGTCGTAAGGTAAACTCTCCCTTTGTGGTATCTAATAGTCGGCGCCCAGATTCCTCCAGACGGCTCAACAGTCCTCAAATTGAGTTGACTGCTCCTGGTCAGACCATGGCCAATCAATTTCCAATTCAATAAGTCTTTGCTGTGATAGATTGGCAATCCGGGAAAGTATTCAAAGGTGGAGGTGACCAGGAAATAGTCCTCCCCAATCCGAATGACCGAAGGGTCCGGGTTGAAGCCGGATATGACAGGGTTATTAAAAGTTGCCGCCATTGTGCAGTCTTCCTCAGCTATTACTCGGCTTGTAGAGTTAATAACGTCCACTCTAAAGTTGCGAATGAAACAACCCTCTGTATGACTTTTGGTATCAGGTGCAAGACAGTATTATCATTTCCTGTTATAATATACCCCAAGCCCTTTATCTAAGCTGTCAAAATAACGTATCATGTGTAAGTCCACTTCTAGAGGCGGTTTAATAATTCTCCGTTAGTTGGAGAAAGACGAAAGGCCACCCGAAAGTGACGATTGTGAACCCGCTGTGACCTTGGGAAGTGGCGGGACACTGCGGGGCGACGCGGGGTTGCCAAGTGAAGGTATTTTGTATTTAGCCTGAAGTGTTAGTGTCGCTGAGATTCACAACTTTACCACAACGACATCGTTCAAAACGGAAGATATGGTCGTTTAGGTCTCATTTTTTGTTCTTTTTCACCCGAAGACTTCCGCTATGTGGTATACATGTCGGTTCATATTATAATTATACATCTACAGCCAACCAATCGCCGTATATACTCCCAACTTTAATGCCACAGTACGCCATCGTCGCAGGCAAACTTGAGCCACGACCCTTGAATATCTTGATCCCCGAAATTCTGCATAGTAAAGTCCATCCCAAAACCAAGAGGGTCCTCAAAAATGTCAAGAGCATTATGAGAACCGGCTTCTACAGGCAGTGAAGCATTTGTCTCTGCCATTCTTGCGCTCATCAGGTTATAACAGAGCAGGGAGCTTTTCTTCGCAGCATCTAGGACCACTGGTTCTGGATCAACGCCCTTCTCTGTGGAATCCAGGAGAGACAGAGTAATAACAATGAGCAGGCGTACCATGACGTTGTTTTCTTCCAAGGTAACACGATCCACAGAGAGGTCCAATAAATCCAGTAAGCATTGCTTCAGAGAATCTCTGTTATCCTTTGTTTGCTGTACCATTGCCGGGCCGTCTTCCTTAAGTTGTGTATGTAGTTCATGGAATATTATCGTGCTTGTATATGTAATGATGCTTTTAAAGCCGCCGCCCACAATCTTGAGCTGTGCGTAATCGTCCCGAAACATATTATCCACCGATTGATTTGCCAGAAGAGGTTCTGATGAGGGGTACTTGAGTATGGTCACGGCTGATTCAAGGCATATTTTCCTAGAATAGTAGAAGCGTGGATCTTTCATTCCTTTGGCGGCGAAAGGGCGATGGAGAAGTAGCAAGGCGAGGCGTAAGGGAAGATCGACCATGTTGATGTTAAGCTGTGTGACTCTGTCTTGTGATTGTAGCGACTGATTGACTCTTAAGATAAATGTTCTGTTATCTCTCAATGCTTTCATCAGCTCAGCTCCAACTCGAAGAACATCATCGTATAAAGGCTTATTGCCAATACTATTTGAACATCGAATGAATTCTAGTCGGGGCCCAATGGATTGAAGAAGCATAATCTGCAACGACGTTTGTGTAAGTGTACTGTTTGGTTTGGGGGTTACGGGGTTATTTGTGGCCTCGCTAATATCGACATCGTCAATATTAGCTGGTGGTGCAGTATCCCACTCCTGCTCAGTCTGCCAGATGTTAGCGACTATTATGTATGTGCAAGCTTCTTAAACTTACAATCAAGAAAGGCATCCCCGAACCAATTGAAGACTGAATATTCAGCTCGATTATCGTTGCCCACAATCTTCTGCGCATTTCCCCCTGTAGTATTCCTATCTTTGGCAAACTTGCCGGGTCACGATGGAAACCCATTTGCATCGCCGTTCGTAGGAGCGTACCAGCCGCTATCCAGACGACATCGCCTGATATCGAGCAATATTGGCGTGCTATAATCAATAGACATTGAATTTGGATTGTTGACATGTGAAGTTTCGCCTTCTCAAAAGGAGTAGATTGCCAGGATTGTGCGGCAAAGATCCATTTCTTTGATTCAACTCGGTAATGTGTAGAGTCAGGACCCTGATAAAAGCACCCGCCTATTGACATGACAAGCAAAAGCTTGACGATAAATACGGGATTTGATACGTCGGGCTGATCCCAATACTGCCGGTATTCCTTCATAAATGATGGAATGTGAAGGATTCGGTATATGGATTCAGAGGTTCTGAAGTATGCATTTACCAACTGATCCGCAACTCCCTTTACGGGAACAGCATCTCTGAAGCATGGATTCTAAATAGGAGTGGTAAGTTAACATACATTATACCCTAGGTGTTGTATGAGTGGCGTTGGAGGCAGTCAAGAGTGAAAGGAGGAGGTTGCAACTTACTGCGAGCCATTGAGAATACGGAATTGCCTTCATACTTTTGGCGAGGGCCTTGCATTTTTCCATACTCTCCGTAATATCATCGACTTGCTCCGAGGAAGCATCGGAACAGCCCGAGGGATGTCTGGTAGACTTGGCAAATAGATAAGCTATGTCGTCAAACTGCGAAGGTCAGCTTAACTTCTAGACTTGGCAAATGATAACATACAGCTCCGTGCGAATACATCCAGTGAGTGCCTCCCAAAAATCGCGTCTTCGATATGATGCCACCTAGCCTTTTGGGAGCTGCATTTGGAACTGGAGGTGGTGGGTTAGTAGTTCCCTCTGACTTGGCAATAGCCAACTGTGCTTCAAGGTTACGGATGCGATCGAGCAGGTCTTTGTTACGGAGTGCTTCCTCCTGGTGGGATTCACCCGGCTCCACAACCGGCGAGCCATATGAGCTGGGGCGGGTGGTAGTAGAGAGATGGGTAGAGGTGGGTGACACGCCAACTAAAGATGCATGCGTGCTTGAGCTACTCGGGATACTCCGTGCTCGATTTGGAAGCCCCGTTGACGATTGTCTGGGGAAGGAAGCCGGCGGGAAGGCGCCGCGTGTGCGACGAGACACAGCTGGAAGGATGGCGCTATAGGTACAAGAAGCAATTTTTGACTGCACACATTGGCCACAAGGCTGATTACGGTCGCATTTGACCTTCCGCCGTCGGCATGGCTCACATGAAAGAGCTGGCCTTCTTCGCTTTTTCACAGATGACGCGGGACTGAGAGGTGCGGACATGGCGGGGATAAGGTCCTGGATTTGTGTTAGATGCAACCTCGAAATTTCTCGATAAACGGTGGAATCCAGCAGCACTTACGGATGTAGCGGTCTTACACTAAGGGTACTCTTCAGGAAGGAGTGCTTTTGCCGCAAATTGTGTGACAAATGTGAATTTCCCGATGATGAGGGATTGTCGGTGTTTAAAGGCAGTCCCTTCGGTCTTTTGGGGTTGTTTGGATGGCTAAGTCCGAGACAGGAAGATAATAAGCCGTGCGTTTATCTCCGTCCCCTGTGTTCTCAAACATCCTCGAAAAGTTTTAGCTATTCTACCCAACCAATATGTGGTGCTTTAAGAATTTAAGATTTGTATTGAATCTCCAACCATCTTTGTAGCGACTAGATTTACCTTGAGGCAGATGGATGACTTGAACGAGCTTACGACGCGGTATACCCGTTTTCGGTTCGGGGATAACGGCAAATTACACAACATGGCAGTGATCAATAATATAAGCAGTGAAAGGTTCCTCCAGTACTACTGTTCCACAAGCTCCAGTCAAAAGCAAACTGTTTCATTATATTGGGAGGTTCGGGCCTGCCCTTGTGTTAAAAGACCTGTCGTTCGGGCGTTCCTGCCGTCTGTTTAAGTCAAAACATACTAATGTTATAAAATTCTATTTACTTTAGTCTACATCGTCTACTATCGTTTCAATTACCACCCAAACGCCCATAATATCAAGCAAAACATGGCACCTATGAAAATCCTCGTCAGCGGTGGAGGCATTGCCGGCAATGCAGTAGCCTTTTGGCTGTCAAAGCTCGGTCACGAAGTCACCGTTGTCGAACGGTTCTCAAGCCTACGAATCACAGGACTCCAGATCGACCTCCGCCTCCACGGGATTGAGGTCTTGAAACGCATGGGTCTCGATGAGGCTTTCCGTGCCAACGCCGCTCCAGAGCAGGGCATTCAGGTAGTCGACAAGTCGGGCAGACGGCGCGGCTACTTCCCAGCGAATACGTCTGGCAAAGGAACTCAGAATTTCACTAGCGAGTATGAGATTATGAGAGGGGATCTTTGTCGTATTATGCACGATGTTACCAAGGATCGAGTCGAGTATATCTTCGGAACGTCGATCGAAAGCTTCGAGGAGACGGATGGCGCCGTTGAGGTTAGGTTTGCGGACGGCAAGACGGGAAGGTATGATCTCTTGATTGGTGCCGATGGCCAGGGATCGCGAACACGCAGGATGATGCTCGGACCCGGTGCCGCGGATCCGTTCGTCCCCATTGGCGATGGGGAATACATCGCATACTTCACTATCCCTCGGCCGATGCGTGAAGGGGAGGGGTACATGGCCACTTTCTACCTCGCTACCAGAAATAGATGGGTGTTGACTCGACGGAGCAATTCGAAGGAGATACAGGTCTACCTGGCCTGCAAGCTTGATGCAGGGAAACTCAGAACTGCTTATCAGGAAGGTGTCGAAGAGGAGAAGGCGGCCTTGGCAGAGGTTTTCAAAGGCGCTGGGTGGCAGCTGGATGAGATCTTGGAGTCTCTCAAAGACACCGACAACTTCTATGGCGATGAACTAGGTATTGTCAAGATGGAGTCTTGGTCGCGCGGCCGTGTAACTCTTCTTGGAGATGCCGGGTTTTGCCCGTCAGTAAATACGGGAATGGGCACTACCAGTGCCATGGTGGGTGCTTATATCTTGGCTGGCGAGATTGGGAGACACTGTGGTGGAGATGCCAGTAAAGGAGGTGATACCAAAGATGGTATTGCGGCCGCGCTCAAGGCCTACGAGCAAAAGTTTCGCCCATTCATGAACCACGTACAAAAAGGAGTGGAGGAAAAGTCGAGCTTGGACTCATTCACGTCAACATCGTTTGGAATTGCCGTCATCAATTGTCTCGTGGGGATAGCCTCTTTATTCAAGGTGAATATTGGGAAGTGGAGCCTGAAGGAGACTCTCGAGGGATGGGAACTCCCGGAGTATGAAGAGTTGGCACGGGATTAGGTCATTAATGTAAATAGATTATAAGATACCATTGTATATAAAGACCATACTCTACTCACTTTGCTCCGCAATAGACTGAAAGGAAGGTGATCAACCCTTACGGGACCTTGAAAAGATTCACAACATGGAAACATCTACATCAAACCTAACCCCAGACCCCAGAACGCCTCCTCGATGCTTCCACTTCGACGCTTCCACTTTAGGCGGAGGGGTTGATCCAAGGCCTGCAAAGAGTAGCAGCACAGTACCCATTGCAGCAGGGGCCAATAAACTGGTTGTTACTATCGTAGCACTTGCCTATTCATGGTTAGCTTGTCATTGCCAACACCGCCGGCACATAAAAGGCAACATACCATAAGTCCCGACGCAAGTTCCGTAACAGCTCACGCCAGTGATAGGTTGGGGCGGGCCAATGATAACCTGCTGCACACCGGTGGCGCTCATGCCGCCAACGAGGGTCTGCTGGCCAGCAGTGTGGAAGGTGCAGTCACTCAGGGCGAGGTAGTCTGGTGCGTCGATGATGGAGACCGCGAAGTCGTGATCTGAAAGGTATGTTAGAGAGAATGGGATGAGTGAAGAAGCCACAGGGGAGGCGCACTGGTCGGGTGAATGGTCCCGTCAGCAGGGAAGGCCATCTCATAAGAGGCCGGGCCGCCATGGAAGGTGAGGTGCACAGTTTGAACTGTGTCGCGCTTGTCGAGCTGCTCCGCGGCAGGAAGAGCAAGGGCAGTGCCGCTCAGGATGAGGGCGATAGTTGGAAGTGTGAATCTCATGTTTGACTATTTAGGTAGATGTGAAAGCGATGGAAAGCAAAGCTGAGCTTGAAGGTGTCATATCGAGGGATATACATCATGATTTTATAGCCGCGGAAAGGGCTGAGAGTTCGTAAAAGGCTGACAGCTCCCTGCATTCAGCCTCTGGGGAAAAAGGCAACCACGGGTATCACAGAACTGGAAAGGCGGTATGAAATACGAGCTTGACTCTATGAATAACCTGCCAACAGCGCCACCGTATTTGACTGTCAAATCGGAAAGCACTGTTCTTGGGCGATCACGTTCCTCTATGCTGGTTGACCTACCAGAGAATCTTGGAAAACGTCCGTTCGGGCGTGTTCGTTCAGACATTCGTTGTCACGACGTTGAATACGAGCCCTATGGAGATCTTATACCGCGTAGGATTCGCGGGGAGAGATGCGACTCGTCATCTGATCACGGGCATTGGGCTGTGAGGGCTGAGAACCCAAGTAGTGGCGTAGGCGGTGACATAAACAGGACTGGTCTGTACAGTAAGCAGATAGGCATTACGGCTCGGGAGAATTGTTTGCCCGACGCACTTTCAACGACCACCGTCCATCCCGTCCCTTCGTTGGTTGGCAAATCCATTTCATTTCAATGAACGCATCCCACAAATCCAAATGTCAGAGCTGAACCTCAGGGCTAAATTTGATGCTGAATTGATCCCTGGGGGCTAATGTCAGCGAGCCTTGACAGTGCAAATGACTCGTATACGTATATGTTGTTTTAATCTGGCTGAAGACCAATCCCAGGTAGAACGGCAGGAGCTACATTCCCTTCCCTTGAGGAGCCTGATCTGATGCGTGACACATTGCAGGTAGGAGATGACTTTATACACGCCAGTGTGTCTGTCCAGACTCATATCTCTATCTCAGAATATGAGGCGCATACTATTACGCTGTTTACTATTCTCCTCTTCTTCCCCAGATTTATTGTTTGTCCGCGCGTCCCTTAAGTCTACAACTTTGGTCGGGGTCCAAATATGACATCTATGTCTGAGTTCGGCACCAGCCGAGGTAAAGTAGCTCCAATGACGGCACACATAGCTTTCCCAACAGAAAGTGGCGTGAGGAAAAGAGAAAACATTTCGCCTTCTACTCTACCAGTCGCGAGGCTATTCGCGTCTTGTTTCTTTCATTGTTGCCGGGGAGCAGTGTCTTTCGTGAAGGTTGGATCCAGACCGAGGGACAACACGTTTGGATCGCTCGAACACAAAAAGAGACGCTGTGTGGACCGCATATGACATTCCGCCTTGGTGATGGCATCTGAGGTTACCAAAGGGCTTAAGGGGAGTACTTGTAACAATAGGAAGTCTATACGCGTGAGCGTATCTATATACGCACTCCAATACGCCCACCATTAGTCGTATAACATGCGGATGCGTTGTTGAAGCATCCATTAGTTATTCGAGAAATTCGCCTCTCCAGTCTCTGTCGACAGCATGCCTGGTTCTGATCGGCGCGAAGCCGTGCAAGTCGCGACGACCGTCACGATCGTCATTGCCTTTGTGTTCGTGGCACTACGGATGATAAGCCGGATATTTATCACGAGGCGTACAACCTTGGATGACTACGTGATGATACTCGCCTGGATAATTGCATTTGGAGGTTCTTTTACTATTCTACTTGCGGCACGAAAGGGGTTTGGCTTGATGGATGCAGAACTCAAACCAGAGTGGATAACGACTTTGAAGAAATGCGGGTATATCTACAGTATTATTTATGTGTGTATATTCCTACTTATAATAGCATGGACCTCTAGCAGTGCAGAGCAGGAATGGAGTGGAATATGAGGGAAAGGGATCGAACTAACAATTATCAGAACCCAGCACTTATGGCTACCAAGACGAGCATCCTAATATTCTACCTACGCCTTTCGAGGACGAATAAGCTGTTCCGGATTGGAACGTACGCAACAATGGGAGTGGTAAATGTGGTAGGCCTAATATTGACATTTATCAATGTTTTCCAGTGCCACCCACTCGACAAGATCTTCTCGGACTCTTTTGTTGATCCGACACAGAAGTGTATACCGTTAGTCACACTTTTTCTCGCCTCGTCGCCGGCTAATATCTTCACTGATCTTGCGATATTGGTACTTCCAATACCTGTTCTCACCGGTATGCATCTACCTATGAGACAGAAAACAATACTAGTCTTAACGTTCGGACTCGGAATATTTGTCACCATTGTCGACGTGATCCGAATCTATTACCTCCAGCAAGCCCTAGGACCTACAACTGCTAATTCCAGCTCACCACAAGGAACGCCCGGACTTGGTGCAAGTCCCAACTTTGTATTCAATGTATCGTACGGTCTAATGTGGTCGATTGTGGAGGTGAATGTCGGCATTATATGTGGTTGCATCCCGCTACTGAAGCCATTGGTATCCAAGACAATGCCGAAGCTCATTAACCCTCCTGGGTTTCATGGTAGCCAGACATCGTCTCAAGTCTCAGCGACCCTGACAAGACCGGCGGAAATGCCCACGGATCGGGCCCCTGCCAGGCAGAACAACATAGAAGGGTTCACGCCCTTAAACTTTAGAATGCCGGGGACCCCTTTGCCGGAAATGTCGATGACGCCAGGTCCGAGTCTCGGGACGCCTATTCTACAGAATTCACATCGAACATCAGTATCATCCACCGGCGGAGTGGGCGAGGCGCCCTCGCAGTTGGCCTCACGACGAGTCTCGCTTTCGCCAGTCCATGAAGGCGGGTCGTCCATGCAGCAAACATCTCAAGAGCCTTCATTGCAGCCCTCACAAGATCCACTTGATTCACCCGTCCTAGAGAGCAGTACCCCCATAGAGCAAACCGAGTCTTCAACTTCACCTTCAACCGAGCATGAGAACTTTTCTCCCAGGCGAAGGTACCCGCAACAGACAGCTCTTTCACAACAGAATGATGCCGACCACCAAGTACAGAACGATGCACAGCCAGCACAAGAAGGAATGTTCTCGCCAGAACAACAACAACATCAAGAAATGGACATGCTCAACTTTCTCACCTCGCCTGGGATGCCTCCAAGAACTGAATCCGGGCCTGACCGACCGAACCAAATCCATTTTGGTTTTGTTAAAATCCGTCAGCCAAGATCTATGCTGCGCACTTCTGCAAAAGACTCGTGGAAATACTGTGCTTGGGTCTCAGTTTCTTTCTTCCTATTAGGATTTTCTTACGGGCTACTCAACACACTCAACGTCCAAATATCTCTGATCGCACGTTATACGCGAGCACTGACCGTATCTCTGCACACAATGTATTTTGCCGGATATTTCTTCGGCCCCTTAACGGTTGGGTTGTACTGCCTGAGAAGGGGTGGGTTTAAGGTGACATTCATGGTCGGTCTTTGCATCCTTGGAACTGGGACTCTCGTTTTCTGGCCTTCCTCCATCCTTCTTACATATCCGGGCTTTATCATTTCCAATTTTATCATTGGATTTGGCTTGTCTGTTTTCGAGACCACCGCGAATGCCTTTGTCCTCCTCTGCGGCCCGCCACGCTACGGCGAGTCTCGCCTTCTAGCAGTTCAATTCGTTCAGAGTATCGGTGCAATTGTCAGCCAGCTCCTGGTTGAGAAGGCTTTTTTTCCCTCTAATGAAGTTCACAATAACGTCCTTAGTATACGGTGGACATATCTTACTATTTCCTTCATCACAGTCATCATCGCCCTTGTTTTTCACTACACGCCACTACCAGAGGCGAGCGATGAGGACCTCCAAGACTCTCTCCAGCCCCAGCTTTTACCACTTAATCGCGTTATTAACGACGATCCTAGTAATCGCATTTTTGGCTTTCGAGTTGTCTATATAAGCCTCGCCTTCGCCTGCTTCACCATGTTCTGCTATATGTTCTCCCAGGAGAGTTTCAATGTTTGGTTCAACAATTCACTCCTCTCCTCCACCAACGTAATAGACGGTACCCACCGGCGCCAGTTACTATCCCCGAATTTTGTTCTCTATGGGCATTGTGCATTCTCAGGGTCGTTGCTATTGGCCTCGGCATTGTGTCTCTACGTGCGGCCGCGCATCATCCTACTCGGAGCCCTCTTAGGCAGTGCAACATTTAGGTTGGCGTTCATTCTGATTCCAGCTGAGCTGGAGAAGAAAAACAGTTCGAAGATTGCGGGACTGGCCGTAGCAGAATATTTCTGTGAGGCCCCCATATATGCAATTATTGTGGGGCTGGCGCTGAGGGGCCTCGGCGCGAAAACAAAGCTCGGTAGTGCGTTGGTTATTACTATGAACATAGGAGGGGCGGCGGGACCATGGGTCGTTCTTGGGGTTATTAAGGGGATGGGGAATACTCGGAGGCCATTTGTTGTTGGGGTTGCTTTCTTGTTCTTCGTATCACTTTATCCACTGTATCTGTCTGTGGTGCCGAAGGCTAGGGCGATTGTAGATTGGCCTGATGACGGCGAAGCTGGAAGCGAGAGGAGGGTGAGCCAGTCTGACTCGATGGCGGCCGTGGAGGCTGCGAATGCGGGAGTGTATAGTAGTAGGCATCATGGGATGCATTGGCCTGCTCTTGTGGAGAAAGAGTTTGCGCATATTAGGAGAGCGAGTTCCACGAGCGGGAAGGCCGTGAGCAAATGGGCTGGCAGTGTCAGGGACTGGACGAGGAGAGTCAGCGGGTTGTAGAAGGAGGCTGTCCCACGAGAGTTTGCGTGATGTTACTATATGTAAAATGGGGGATTGGAGTTGGGGGGTACAATATTCGCATATATGGTGCAGCTTTGGCGTTTTCTAAATGGTATATGGCACATGTAAAATAATTGGAATCGGGGAAATACTGTATATATAGAAAAGGCTATTAAGAAGCTAAAGTGTATATTAACTAATAATCATATCAATAAAAAATATTCCATAACATACAGAGTCTAATTCTTGCCGTCTTTCTGCGCCAACACGACCATCCCCTACTAAAACATTGCTCACGGTGTCTACGCACAGCTAGCATTATGACACTCAAGCCAAAGGCCATTACTTATATTACACTCGCTCAGGAGCGAGAATATTTAATATCTATCTACAGTATATATAGGTTCTCAACGCCTTGATATCTATTCCCACGTCCAGACATAGCTTACACACACAACCGGCTTACTCCCTAACCTCCTTAATCGGCCCCAAATACGTCGTCTTGCCATAAGCATACCAGGCCACCGCACTGAAAATAAACGTTCCCCCGTACACAACACTCGTATAATTCATATTCACAGCCGTCACTGGAACAAACGCGGGAAAGAACATCCAAATCGACACAAACAACGCGTACACCAGAGAGAATATGTTAAGGGGCATACCCCATCTCCCGAGGTGCCACGGGCCAAAGGGGATTTCATCCCCTGAGAGCCGACGTACCACGAGAAGTGCAATTGGGACGATGTAGGTGGAGTACAAGGCCACGGTTGCAAGGCCGGTGATGGCATAGAAGGCGGCCGTGGAGGCGATATTGATTAAGCCAAGGACGAGTAGGGTGGCGGCGGTGAGGATAATAGATCGGATGGGGATGTGGCGCGTGCTGTGAACCTGGGACGTGTTAGTTTCAGCGAAGCGCAGGAAAATTGATACTTACGTGCGCAAAGTAGGTCGAGTAAGGCAATCCGTTGTCTCGGCAGAATGCCCAAGTCATACGCGAGGCGGCGGAGAGAAGACCCCAGGTGGATGTTACGGCCGAAAAGACAATGCCACACACCATCAGGGTTGCGGCCAACTTCGAACTCGTCGCGAAGTAGAATATTTCGATAATTGGGAATCCCGTGGGGGTCGAGAGGGCGGCGTTGATATCCCCCATGCTGAATAAGAGCGCAATTAGGAAGCCGAAACCGAGAGAGCCATTGAGCACTATACTTGTGATCATGGCGCGCGGAACGACGGTTGTTGCGTTTTCAATTTCCTCGCTCATGTGCCACGCACCGTCAAAACCTGACTCGGATATGAGACATTGTAACATTAACACAGGAATTTCGACTTACCAGTAAATGGAAAGGCGCTTGTGAGAAGGCCAACACACCAAGACACGCCATCGCTACTCCAACCTCCTTTGTTCTCAAAATCCGTGAAGACCCACTCAGCTGAATGTTGCGGTGCAAGACACACCATCGGGATTAAAAGGAGAAACCAGAGCCCTATATGCATCAAGAGAATGATGCTTTCTAGGTGAGGTAGAATCTTGATGCCAAAGATGTTCACGACGACTGCTGAAGTGACAATCGCAGTATAGAGCAGAGTGCCATGCCATCGCTCGTATACATATGTGTCGTCGTTTAGGACTAGGAGACCTTGAATCAAAGTCCCGCCGAGGAAGGCTGGTGCCGCCGTAGCAGCTAGCCATGCAAGGACTGAGGCCCATCCTGCGGTGTGTTAGAATGTTGTACGGCACGACTTTCATGGATGTCTTACCAGTGTACCACCCCAACAATATGGAGTACTTGCGCGGTGCCAGCTGCGCAACCCAGTGATACTGCCCTCCAGACGTTGGACTCCTGTTGTGCAAAATTGATTAGAGACAATTGGCCAAACTTTTAAGACATGGCTGGCTTACATTGATGCCATCTCACCCAGCGACGCACAAGTCGCGAGCGTACCGAAGAAACAGAGAATGAAGCCATATACCAGCGACACGGGACCGCCATTGAGGAGTCCTCCTTGCAGTAAGCTGTGCTTGGATTAGCCTTTAGCTTGCAGTTGTATGAGGATTACCAACGCTGATAATGGTTCCCATGTAGCCATCAATGTGCTTGAGAACCCCTGGATGCGCGGTCAGCGCTGTGGCTATCGACTCTGGTATCACTCTGAGGCTGTTCGCACCACCATGGATATGAAGCCAAAGTTCCGCTACTGCTATTAGCTGTATGTCCCCACCAGTTCATAGCGCCGGAAGCTTACCTTCAGCGCCTGCTTCTTCCCCAAGTTTGCAAGAACCGCTCGGTCACGGCTGCCATAAGAGTACTCCTCGTCATCGTTCTTGACCTCGCCCGAGCCGTTCCTGCTGGGCCGGCGCCCTGTCATCTCGAATTCCATAGTCATGTTTGAAATATAGAGATGTCGATGTCTTTGAAATAGCAGATGGCCTCAAACACTAATATGCTTGAGGTGCCATGAGAAATGGGCTCCCTTTGGGGGATATTTGAAGATGAGAGTTGAGCGGGCAAAATCCGGCACGCGGGGAGCCGGCATTCGAGACAAAACATGATAGAACAGGCACCATACAGTGCATTGGCAGATGCAGGTTCCATTAAAGTGCTCTGCCCCATTGCACTGTGCATCCTACCCAGTAGCACAGGTGCAGAGGGCCGCCGGGTGTGATTGAGAAACACTCCTGGATGTGATCAGTACTTTTTCTATTTGGGTAATTTGTCACTACTGGCTGATTACACCGAGCCCCCGAAACGAACCCCCGACCAGGGACCTTTTTTGGGGGCTATCAGATTCACAGCGCGCCAAAAGAAATCATGCCATGTCGCATGGGAGTGGGTGGTTGCAGCGGACAAGGGTGCCCTATAATACCCAGCACATGCGGAATCCCAGAATGGGCGGCCAGGGGCGAGGGGGAGTGACTGGCCTGGTCGCCGACCCCTCTGATATTGATAATGACGGACTCAGTGTTATGTTCATTACTTACTTGGTGCTGGCATCGCCCTCATTACTGTATTTTTATTCTTCACTGTGGCATCTGGAAATTTTCACCGTGTATGCTTAATTGTTAATTCGTTTTCACGATGAGCGAAGAGTCAGATCCAAACCCGCTGGCGGCCTTGTCACCTCCGCATTGGGTGATTAGCGATACTGATCATGGTGGATATGTGGTTATAGCAAACTGGACGATGATGTGTTTTATGGTTATCACAGTCATTGTCCGCCTGCTCAGGAAGTTATCCATCAGGTCATGGAGCCTTGATGATAATCTGATTGCAGCTGCTGGTGTAAAGAAGCCCTCTACTCAAGTTTGCCTCCCCAGACCAAACTGACAACAACATAGGCATTTGGACTGATACAATGCGGCATACTTCATAAAGCAGTCCTAGCTGGTCTTGGACGCCACGAATCAAGCCTACTCGACGGCGAGATAGATATGTACAACAAATATAACTACACATACCAGATTCTATTTATCATAACGACCGTCCTGGCCAAGATGTCGCTGCTCCTTTTCATCACAAGATTGACACCAAACGTGGCCACAATTAGAGTGGGAAGGATCATTCTATGCCTCATTGCTACATGGGGAGTTGCGACTGTCATTGCATTTGCATTCCAGTGCTCCTTGCCACAACCATGGAACAACATCTCTGGTGTCTGCAAAAACCAGGCTGCACTATACTACGCTGCCGGAATCATTGATATCATCACAGACATCGCCCTTACCATTCTGCCAGTTGTCATCCTCTGGGGTGTCCAGATCCAGCGAAGAAAGAGGGCGATAGTGATGCTGGTGTTCATGGCCAGAATGCTGTGGGTTATTTAGGCGCCTAGCTTGAGGGAGCAACAGCTAACCAGACTCCACAGTGTATGCCTTGCAGAGATCCCGCGATTGATCTATTTGTCGCGATACATTGGATCTACTGACAAACCCTGGTACGGCGCCAATGTGGCAATTTGGACACAGTAAGAAACCCCCCCACCAAAGATCCACCCCTATTTCGCTGACACCAGTCCTCCACGTAGGGCAGTTACGCACCTCAGCATTGTCACAGCTTGTATTCCCAGCCTACAGCACCTTTTGGCGAGCATGCAATCCGGCGTCTTCAACACGGCCCTCCCAGCTGGCTTTGAGGGTGGGCTCTCCTACACGCTTGAGTCTACTGGTAGTGGAGGCATGTCACGCGAACTATACGGCTCAAAGAGGGTCGGGACAACGCGCACAACGGTCGAGTCTGGCACACAGCCACCGCGATCGGAGAGCAAGACGCGCCTGGTAGTGGATGGGGGCATTTACAAAACAACGGAGTTCGTGCTGAACAACGTAGACAACGATCAAGATAGCGGAGCGCGGAAGCGGGGCCCGCCGGCGGGACGCACCGGCTGAACACAGCCCGCTGTCATTTTGCAGGCTAAGTGTGGTAGTGGACGGTACAGTGGCTAGTCTAGTGTTTATTGCTAGAAGTAACGCAGAGTGGTCTGGTTGGATCGGTATCAATAGCGCGGAGACCAAGGATTAGATACCCGTAGCAAATAACGTCTTCATAACTCTTCATACTTCATCCCCTGTGGCGCATTAGCGGCGTGGGCGCATACTATGGCGTTTGCCTTAGCTGGCCGTTATATATCTACGCACGTTTTCCACAAGCCAATCCCGCCAAATGTCTCACTTCCTCAATGTGGCGAAGCTTGCGGTTCTTTGATTGATTCTCCGTGTGTTATGGTTTGGTTTGCGGTGGGTACACCCACGTACGCCCGGCGCCGGATATCTTGGCATATTCTATCACATTTTAACATTGGATCTTATACGATATGCGGCGTTATATAGCCACAATCTCTGAGATATGCAGGCATTATTAAAGCACAGGCAGTGGATTAATGTCAATCAAATGCACGTCGCGTTTCAAATACAACCTTCATATGTACGTACGTGAAATATTGGATGTGGAAGACCTCGCTTGGCATTACGCCGATGCAGGATCGCTCGTAGCACCCTGTAGCACCTGGTAGCACTCCATCACGCCTGATTGCACATGGTACTCTGACATATATATTGGCCGAGATCATTTGGGACAATGCTTGCTTCACACACGGAACGGAAACGGCAAGGTCAATGGACCAATGAAAGAGATCTGCAACAATGGATTCCCTTGTTGTTTGCATACCTTACTATATCGGGCTCGGACATAGTAGCATCGAGAACGCCGCCGCTATTTGCGATCCATATGTATACAACCCACAACTGCGGGTCTGTACCTGTCCGCCCGGATCACTTTCCTACCCTTCCTTCTCTTCCTTGCCTTCCGTCTCATCGCCGCCTTCCCCTTCTCTCTACTCCCTTGCAATCTTGTCCCTAAACATGACAGCGCCGCCCTTGACCCCAGCGATCGGCCCCACATCCGCTCTTCCGGCCTCCTTGAATCCAAACTTTGCATAGTAAGGATCCTTCTCCCATGCAGCAATCACCGACGTGCAAATCCCTTCTCCCTCAGCCTGGCTGATCCCCCACTTGACAAGCGAGCTGCCGTGCTTCTTGCCCTCAAAGTCAGGGTGCGTACAGAGGATGTCAAGGTGCCATGCCTCCTCGCGATCTCCAGACCAGAGGTGCGCAGCATAGGGCACAGCGTCCTTGAAGGCCTTGATGTGCTCCGGGTCCGCAGAACGATCTGGCCAGAAGTAGGACACGACGCTGCCCATAACCGTAGCATAGAAGTTCTTGATGCCTGTTCAAACTATTAGCACCCTGTAGACCCTTCGGTGCGTGGTTCCAGCGAACTTACGTAGATACAACGGGTTCGCGCGAGCCGCAGCCCCGGGTCCAATGCGCTCCCAGCATGCCCATGCAACAACGGAGCCAGTCAAGGCATCCACAGCAACATACTGTTCGTACTCGGGCTTGGTGGCGTACATGGCAATGCGCCTCTCCCACTGGGTGATGTAGTCCTCAGGATATTGGCGACGACGGGGGAACATGAAGCGCCCATAGACGTCGTCCTCCATGAACGCAGCGGCGGCAACCTCAGCCATGCGGGGGTAGTCCGCTGGGACAGCAGCGCGGATAGACATCTTGAGTAGCTTGTTTTTGTGAAACTTTGGCTGTTGCTCTGAGACCTCCTTTTCGCTGGAAATGCTCGTTTCGGGGCGTGCAATGCGAAAGTGATAAATGAGGCCTCCGTGGTGGACCTCCAGAGTGGCCGAGATGGCAATTGTTATTGGCAAACTTGCGGAAGTTCGGACTTGGACACCTTGTAAAATATGCCCCTGTAGTAAGGTGTGTGCCAGGTAAGGGTTGTGGAAGGTCGTCCATACTCAGCTGGCGTGGAATTTGGGGGAGGGGGGTTAGGCCTGGAACCGAACAAACGTGGTAAACAGGCGTGACACGACACCGCGAAGAAATGTGGCACACAAGCAGGGGCTTGACACTTGCGACTGCTACGTTAAGACATAATTAGGATCAATACGCATTGTTGGATCAAGGATATTCCTGCAGGCGCTATATGCGGATAATGTGCCGGTTCCTAGAATCATTGATCTATGGACAAAATTGAAAGCGAACCTCTTTCATACACCATCAACAACTTCACAGAACGTCCTGATCTCTCCGAGGGATTAGAAGAACGAAGCCTACATCTTATAGACCCCAATTGAGATGCCTATCATGTCTGATAAGGAGGATGTCAAAGAGAGACAAGTTGGGGCTGTTGGTGAGTCTCTCCGAGCCCGGATTAATTCATGAGACATTCCGTCAGGGAGAAATAGAACAGTCGCTGACCCCCACTCTATAGACTCAGAGCTGAGCCAGGACAACAGTATCCGTAAGTGACAAGTCCTTTCTGAATCTCCTCAAGGAGTGGTTGCTGAGGCCAATTGGCACAGCAGATGCACTTCCATGTGATGTGATAGCCAGCATAATTGTGCTCAACTGACGTTCCATCACAGCCAGCTCTCGCGATGGGGAAGTCGACGTCTTCGCCGAAGTTGCGCATCCACCGCGGACGATTGGTGCCCTGGAGGTGCTCTCTGCTGGATTCAATGTCTGCAATAGTTGGGCCGGTGTGGCCGCGTCCATGTTCCTCGCCATCTTCCAGGGAGGGCCAGTGACGATCATCTATGGCTGCATCGTCATTCTCTTTCTGATGGGCGCGACGGCATTGAGCTTGGCGGAGCTGAGTGCCAGATATCCAACTGCTGGAGGGCAGTACCATTGGACTGCGATACTCGCACCGAAAAAGTATGCGAGAGGAATGGTATGTTTTTGAACCATGTGTAGCTTGACTGAGCCTGACGAGAAACAGAGCTACACGGTTGGCACCATCAACATGTTTGGATGGGTCGCCATCTGCGCTGGTATTTGCATCATCATGCCCCAGATCATCATGGGGATTGTTGTCTTCTACAACAATGATTTTGTGATTTTGCAGTGGCATTCGTTTTTGATATACCAAGTCCTCAACGTCTCAGTGCTTGTTTACAACCTCTTTATTTTACCCAAGGCAGCATGGACACATAATATTGGCTGTTGGTATATCTGCTTCCGCTTTTGAGTCTTACTAACGACCTTACCAGTCGCATTGTCCCTGCTCTGCTTTATCATCTTTTTCATTACATGTCTCGCCATCGCCGGCCCCAAGCAGCCAAACGAATATGTGTGGAACACCTTCGTCAATGATTCCGGCTGGCCCGACGGAATAGTCTTCCTTACTGGCCTAGTAAACCCCAATTTTATGTACTCCGGTCTTGATGGAGCCATTCATCTTGCGGAGGACTGCATCAACGCTTCGACGGCCGTCCCGCAAGCCCTCATGGCCACCATTGTCATCGGCTTTGTGACGACCTTCGCATTTGTAGTCGCCATGTTCTATTGCATTTCTGACTTCGATGCGGTCCTTATGACTCCAACTGCTGTCCCCATCTATGAGATTTGGAACCAGGCGACTAAGTCCGAGACCGCCGCTACGATCTTCATCGTCCTTCTCCTCCTCACCGGCATCTTTGCTCTCAACGCCAGTCAGCAGACCGCCTCTCGCCTGACGTTCTCCTTTGCTCGCGATGATGCTCTCATCTTCTCCAAATACATAGGCCAGATGCATCAAGGCCTTGGTGTCCCACCATACGCACTTTTCTTTAACTCTTTTGTTGTCTTTATTATCGGATGCATCTATCTCGGCTCCACCACGGCTTTCAGCGCCATCATCGGCACCGGCCTTGTCCTGCAACAGCTCACATTCGCCATTCCAGCCGCTTTACTCATGATACGTGGCCGGGCGCCGCAGTATCTCCCATCGAGCGGGCGCTGGAACTTGGGGAAGTTTGGATGGTTTGTCAACGGCGTAACAGTGGCGTGGAGCGCCCTCCAACTCGTGCTGTACAATCTCCCTCTCGCGCTGCCCGTGTCGGGTTCAACTATGAGTAAGTCCCTCCCCATCTTCCACGGTAAATTTAAATGACCTGGGCCTTGCTGATTCTTTGTGCAGATTATACCTGTGCGGTTCTTGGCTGCATGGCTATATTCGCGCTGGTGAACTGGTTTGCCTACGCGCGCACGCGTTATGCTGGGCCAAAGATCGACTTGACCAAGTTTCAGTAAATATGGGCAAATATGCCCATAGCCATTAGTCTCTGTTCTATTCCATTGAGGGTGTTGAAGTTGTAAAAAAGAACGTTGTAAACCAGACAAAGAAGCTTAATTTGGAAGATACAGTACCATATATACATCTAGCTGTCGCAATATACCATGAATGACTCAGTCTTTGATAGGTTTTCTCGTAATATGTGACTCTAACATTGATTGCTATGGCAATAAAAGGCAAATTCACTGCGTTGTCACAGCTGGTGCTGGAAGCTGAGCTATGGTATGGTATGTCCCATGGCGCCTGCCGCAACAATATGCTTTAGAGCCGCTCTGCTTCCCTTTAGTACCCACGCGGCGATTATCTTCACTAGATGTGCCTTGTTATATTTGCTGATGCTATGCTCGCGACTCCGTTGATTTGACCTGGCTTGGATCTCCTGTCCGCATTCAAGCCGGCTGGGCCCGTATATCCAACATATTTATATTGGAATACCACACCCCTTTCCCGCGCTCTGAAGTATTGAATTGCATGTTCGTGGAATATATGTGACTACGATATTCTGGCAAAGGACCTGGGTCCTTCGCAAATAGTTACAATTGGCTGTTCGATGTCGCCTAATCTAGCAAATGAGACTCCAAGGCATTCATCACATAGACCGACAACCAGAAACCTGGGCCGCGTCCCTCCCAAATAGCTAACCACGGTTCAAACTTCTAACACAATATGGCAGGCCACTATCCTAACAACCTTTATACTCCATATACATGTACTATATGCCGGGGGGAAACAACAGATCGGATTTTGGGGCCATCTCATACTCATGGAAAAGGCTACGCGGCTATCAACGACGATCCACGAGCCAGCCCTCACGCCAGAAGGTCATATCTGCCACTTTGGTATCATGAAGCCTGTTATTATAATTTAGCCAGTAGTTTCATCGGTGCAGAGGTCCCAAAGGAGGGGGAAATCAAGGATTTTTACGAGGCAACTAAGCCTACATATCCGCCCCCTAGGTATAAAAGAGGAATCCGTGAATCCGTGAGGGAGGGGCTTCTTTTTGGTAAGTATACTAAAGTTGTACTGAGGGGCTGCTTCAGCCAAGCTTTGTTGAGGAGGCTACCTGAGGAGATCATACGTACGATCTTGCGTTACCTAGGGGAATGTCGGTGGTTGATAGTGCTCGGCGAAACTCGTCGACTGTTTGACCAGTGGCAGCGTGGCTGTGAGGACATATGTGAAATAGTCACTACGTCGAAGCCTGTCTTCTTGACAAGAATAGAATTCCGAGGCATTTCTTATATTTCAAAAATCAGCAATGTGCCATTTGGGAAGCCCTCGGACGAAGGGGTCCCTGGGGAATTGCTTGGAGTGCCACCCAATACGCGGAGACTTATTGTGTCCAAAGACCACATGGGAATCCGCAATATACGACCTGTTGTGGACGGTGTAGAGCCATCGGAAGATGGATCTGCTTGGTATGAAGTACTTGGCGAACCTAATGCATCATTGAATGCTGAAATTGAGGTCTTATATAATGTGAGACTCCTCTCTGCTAGGTCTCTGGGAAACTCCCCTAAAGTTAACCCAGGGGTTATTTCTTCGAAGAGTCCGGTCAACTATAACTGATCAAAACCGTGAAAGAGGGACGTGGACCATTCCATGTCCGCCTTTGGTCTCGCCGTATAATGTGGATTGCATTGAAGAGGCAAATCAGGGGTCTAGCTGGCTTCACTATACGCAGCTCGATGCTGATGTCAAGGGCCTTACCGTTTGCCGCTGGGATAATCGTAATATTGGATTCCATTTCTTCACAGGTTTAACAGTGGATTATAGGCGTTTCGTCTCCCATATGAAGCAACAGTACTCGGACTCTTTTCTCACTTGGATGTACTTTCCCATCAATCCTGGCGAATCTATAACCGACGTATGGACCCGCAAGGATGGGGTTATTGATGAAAATATCCGATCCTCTGGCCCATCAGTTGTTGTAGGTGTTCCTTTTCGGATGTATTATCAAGACTAAATTTGCTATTATAGCTCGAAACATCTCTATGCAGAACGATGACTTTCGGGGCATATATACCTTATAAAGAAACGCCCTCTAGTCAGCCTACTTCTCAAATGAGGCCCCATCAGTCTCGTTCTCTTCTTAGAAGTGGCGACGGCGCCATCTCGGGGATATTCCACAACGGTTTCGATCCGATATCACCATTTATCACGGAGTTTGGAGTTATATGCGATTCTCACCGCGCGAGGAAGCCAACCAACCAAATACCAAGTTCGGAAGTGTATTTGTACCCGACCCCTTGGGCCAACTCTCTAGTATGGACCTATGAGTATGAGGATGCTCATGATTAATGGTACTTGACAAAGGCTCCACTGGAAGGCCTCACTGGGGTACAATTCTGTCAAGACAGGGGACAGCGAAAACGTCCGTGTATTGGACTCATCCTACACTACAGCGACGGGCATACAGAATCTCTGGGGCAATTCCGCTGGGACTTAACAGTTTCCGATATAATCAGCACTCCTATTAGGATCGAGATATGCAGCGATGAGGATCGGCGCTTCAATAACCCTTATATCAGGGCTGTGGAAACAATACCGCCATTCGATACTTGGGGAGACGAAAGAAAGTGGCAAAATATTCCGAATCATGGGGTCATCGTTTGGTGGAACAATCCTAGGCTAGGCGAAGAGATCGCGCTTTATAAGTCTTAGTTTCAATAGGTATTGTGAGGCGAAGGGGCGAAGCTTCGTGGTGCACAGGCGATGGACGTTCCAAATTATCGTAGGTAGGTTATTGTTAATATGATTATTCAACGGGTATAAGATGCTGTTCAATCCCACGTGTCCATGCGCCAGGCCGCTCTCTACGGTGTCTCCCCATTCTCCTTGCCCTTCCCTTTCTTCTCCGTCGCTGCCGGCTCACTATCCGCGGTTTCCCCCGCTCTTTTAGCAGGGCCATTATCAACTCCTGGCATTTGCGCCTCCTTTATCACATCCCGAGGTGCACTTGTATCCAATCCCGTCCACGCCGGATCCCAGCCCTGTTCCTCGTCTACCGCGCCTTTCGCCATCCCTTCCTCCGTAACGCCCTTGATATCACTCCAGTACTCCAGCCGTTTAACTTCCCCATCCGCGGCCTCGACCGCATTAAGTAGATGATTAAGCCTCTCCTTCCTTTTACCGTCTTCCGCGTTTGCAGCCTCACCCTTCTCTTCTACTTCTTTCTGCTCTTTTGAAGTCTCATCCAATGCCGTAGTCAGATGCGCAAGCAGAGTCCGTCGTGACGCCTGAAAGATAAACATGCCCATAACATCATGCATCCTCTCCGCAAGGTCCTTTAAGTCCGCCTTGCCCCCCTTCACAAACGCCTCTACAACCTCACTCTTCTCTCGATCGATCCTGCACGCCTTCAGCGCCGCAAGCACCTGTTCAATATCTTTTATTTCTTCTACCTCCCCCCGCACCATATCACGCCTCGAGCTGCGCCGACTCACGCTGGCACTCGCGCTGCTCAACCTATCCGGATGCACCGCGAAATACTCCGCGGTCAGTCTGTGCGGGTCCTCCGTGTCCGTTTCGTGGTGCACGCGCACGCGCTTCCGGATCCACGCGCGGCGGCGAACAAAAGAGTTGTACCAGGTCGGGCCGTGCCAGCTACAACGTTTGCTGAACATGAAGCTGTACTCCCAGCCCTCGTCGTCAAGGATCTCGTTATCAGGATCGCGGTTGATGACCCAGTCGGCCCAGGCCCAGGTCCAGCCTGGATCAGGCACCTGGGCGTTTTTTATATTTGTTGCGGATGGTTTGAAGGCGATATTGGTCCACGGTGCGGCGTCGAACATGCCAAGGGCGCGAAAGCTGAATAAAGGGTGTCCACAGAGGAAGCCTCCACGTTCGTTCTCGTAGAGCACATCGATTGCCGACTCAGGCGTGCAGATGCTGGGTGATCGGTCTATGGTCACCGACGGCACTACCTTGTGCTTCGGGCGGCCAGACCTGCTATTCTCTCCATCGCTCCCTGACACTATAACGCGCACTCCTGCGCTCTTCGTCGGGGTCACATCCAGGCTGCTATCATCGTCTGTGATGAGCTGGCCTGCACGCTCTCCGGTTCGTTCTTCGGTCCATTTCTTGCTCCACCGTTTATGCTCGATCCCGCCCCTGATCCTCGCGGAGCCCTTGCCGTGGTCGAAGCTATGGCGGCGAGAGAGTGGGGTTTGTGATGTTTGCGGGGTGACGGAAGACTCGTCGTCGCTGCGGGGGATTTCGACAGAGCGGCTGCCTACTGGAGATAGATTAGTCTGGTCGACGAGGTGTATTTCATGGTCGTAGTCCTCGTCGCGTAAGGCAATCGGGCGGCGGCTGGAGGCGTGTGAGACCGCGTTGAATAAGGTGGTCATTGTGGGGTTTCGTTGGAAGATAGCTTATGCTCGCTGCATCTCGAAGCTCACGGGACAGCTAGAAAGCTGTTTGAGATGTGAATCTGCACCATATACGTGAGATAGGGGGGAAGGCAAAGCTGTGGCCGTGGGTGGCCGTCGTTTTGGCCTTGTCTTGAGGTTCCAAGTCGCACACCGAGATAACAATGATGGCGAACAAGCTACCGATTGGGCCAAATCACAGAACTTCCAAAAGAACGAATAATTAACAAATATGCATAACACAATAATTACTCCGTATACCAAAGAGTGACGAGACGCGACTCTCCTAAAACAAATACAAGCGTCCAAGTTACCAATGTCCCAGTTGTTCAGCTACCTACCAGGCAGATTCCCCACCAGGAAACCTTGGAAGGACCTTGCTAACTAACAACTTACTAGAGTAACTTTAGCATCTATCCAAGCTCCAATCCAAAATCCAACAATCACGTGCAACCAACAAATCGATGACGTAGCAATTGTTGCTCACTTGGAGATCCCAAGGTCATAGGCAAATGTAGCAATGCATTTCACAAGGATGGACGAATCATATAACGAGATTGACCCAGCTTGTAACAGGACCCCTCATCACTCTCCGCAAACATCTGTCGCCTTCGGCTTTCGCTCCCTCCATTGACTTCTTCTCTTTAAAAACAACTCTGAATCTTGACCTCAATTGTCGAGCGACTGTTCCATTATCATATCAACACTAATATAACCTCCTCCTCCAACCACCAACAACCACATCAACAATGGCCCAGCCAAAGTCCCGCGTCCCTCTCGCTGTCGGCCTTACCGCCGCAGCAGGTGTCGGTTACTACCTTTACCAGTCCGGTGGTAATGCGAAAGTAGCAGAGAAGAAGTTTGAGGGTAAGCCAGCCAGATATCCATTCCTACGTCTACCAGCTTTGCAAACGGGCGACAATATGACGGCCTGCTAACACCACCCCAGCGGATCTCTCATCTGCCTCCGCGCGCGTGAAGGGCGAGCTCCCCGGCCGTGGCAAGGAAGCCGAGAAGACAGCCGCTGCATGGGCCACCGAGAAGGGCCAGCAGATCGACGACGCCGTATGTCCTCCCCTACAGCCTTAACCCCACTGCAATATACTGACAAGACCAGGCTGAGAAGGCGCGCAAGGAGCTTAACAAGACTGGGGAGTCGTTGGATTCCTACCGCAAAGAGGTGGGCAAGGAGGCCATGGCCAAGGTCGACAAGTTCGATGCCACAATCGAGAAGGAGGCTGCGAAGGCGAAGAGCGGTATCTCTGGCTGGTTTGGGGGAAGCAGCAAGTAATCTCGTCGCTTGGGAATAGGAGTAACCTTTTAAGGACTGTATATGATTTGGTATATATCCGCAATCACATTTAAAACCTCGTGGTGACTTTGTGTGTGACGTAGTGACAGCTGAAAAATCATCGTGACATGAATATCATTTGATTCTCATATCTTCTTCTATCATCTCAGATACCCCCCACTAGCCGAATCACCAGGCCCATTAAACTCCAACATATATATGCAGCAACGCTGATAAAAAACCGCTCCGAACTTGCATTAGCCATTAACTCCAAGATATTGTCTCTTTTACCTCATCCCATCAAACTCCATTCATATCCACATCCGCCATCTCCGCCTCCTTCAGCTCCCTCTTCCGCTCTCCCAGCTCCCACTTCCACAGATCCTCAAATGCGGTAGGCTTCGTCTTCACATCAGTGTCCTTCAACCCAAGTTTCCGGACAACCTTGAATGCGCCGGTGCCGACACTCATCGTCTGTCCCATAATGATACACTCCGAAACACCTTCAATAGAATCCTTCTTCATCCCCGCTGCCGCATCAAACAAGTGATCGGGCGTCTTCTCGAACGACGCAAGCTGCAGTACCGAATCTCTCATCTTGCTGAGACCAAAGCGCGTAATTCCCAAAATCTCACCCTTGTATGTCATCACATCAGCTAACAGCTGCATGTGACGCGGATCGATATTCATTTCGCTCATCACGCTCTCAATCTCATTAGCAATGGTGGTTCGCGCCGCTTCTATACCAAGGACTTGGTTGCATTCGACGACGCTGTTGGTTGTGACTCTAGTACCAATGACACCCTCGGTGGTCATACAGGCACGAAGACCGTAGCCTTCGACGTGGACGGTGTGCTCTCCCTTATCCTGCTGGATGATGGCTCGAGTGGCCTCTGGGTAGCCAGAGACGGGGATGGTAGGGATGGTGCGCTTCAGGTGGTTAACGCGGAGGAGAAGATCAGATGCTTCATCTGTCGACTTCTTGGCGGCGGCGCTGCGACCAAAGGTGCCAGTGTTGGAGCCGTGAGCAACACGAACGAAGATATCGTCGCCGATAATGTCGAGTGCGTCGTTAGGTATCTTCAGCTTTTTATTCCTCAGAATAGCATTCGCGATATCCGCTGTGGTGATATCAAGATGCATCTCGCTCACACCTTGAACATCCACTGACAAACAAATTGTTGCGCTCTTGGCTGACCACATATCCTCGACAAATCGTATGCAATCTGAGATATAGGTCTTCTCGATACGGCCCTTAACGACGCGTGCTGCAACAATATCGTGTGGGTTTTCCAGGGGACACGTCATTACAGGCGTACTGATCAGCTTCGAAGCATTGATGATTTCCTTGATACGGGGCACACCCTGGGTGATACTCATACCAGCAACACCAGCAAAATGGAAAGTTCTCAGCGTCATCTGCGTTCCGGGTTCACCAATAGACTGGGCTCCAACAGCTCCGACGGCATGCCCTGGCTCAACGTGTGCCTTCAAATATTTCATCAGGCAGAGCTCAATGAACTTGGCCAATGTAGCCTCCGAAACCTTTGCAACTCGGTCCATTTGGTTTCGTCTTGTTTGGTCTTCAGTGGCGGGGTTATAGTGTGTATCGGAAAGGCTTGGGTTTTCTGCCAGTTCGGGCAAGCCAGCCCTTTTTCGTGCCTGAGAGAGCTTTTGTGCCAGCCTTCCAACGTATTTGCTTACTTCGCTAACAAAGCCTCGAGCACTTTCTAGTTCATCAATTGCATAGTCGCTCTGGTCGTTGTACTCCAGTTTCTCGTTGTGAAGTAGGCCACGTCTCGTAAGCTTTGCTTTCTCCGGTTCGAGGAGTGCCGCGCATTGGGCCGTAATCTCGTATGGCAGGAGAGCAGCGTCGTTGTTATCCCACGTCAAACTCTCAGCATGCGTAAATGTTCGATCGAAATGCACAGGCACAGCGCTGCCTTCCATATCAACGGGATCAAGTTTATCAGCTCCAAACTGGAACTGAACGATGCCTCCAGACGAATTTCTAACGGTGTCGTCATACTGTGTAGACAGATCTTCCAAAGATTTCATTAGACGTCTGGACATGTAACCAGTCTCAGCGGTCTTTACAGCAGTATCGACCAGACCTTCACGACCTGAAATAGCGTGAAAAAGAAACTCGGTAGGAGTGAGGCCGCCAAAAAAGCTATTGCGCACGAATCCTTTTGAGGGCGGTTGACGTGCATTTTTGGGGAAATGAGGCAGAGTACGGTCTTGGAATCCATCCGCAACTCTGGCTCCTGAAATCATTTGCTGACCGACAAGAGTGACCATTTGCGCGACGTTAATATTTGAGCCTTTCGATCCGGATTTGGCCATGATAAGTGGCGAGTTCCACTTGCTTAGTGTATTGATACAGAACTCTCCAGCTTGCTGTCTAACTCTGCTGAGAATACCAGAAATCTTATTCTCCAATGTTTCTTCCATGTTGCAGCCAGTTGCTTTCTCCAGCTTGCCTGACTTGAATTGGACAATGAGATCGTCACATTCGGCATACGCCTTTGTGACAAGAGCCAATTTCTGATCCTCAAGACTTTTGCTTGGATATACGTCACTGATGCCAATTGAGAAGCCCCGGTTAGTCAGATATCTTGCTGACAGCTTCGCAAGTCGATTCATCGCCAAAACTGCATGATCGGGTCCGAAATCTCTCAGGATGGTATAAAATATGCAGTCTTTCTTTCCCGATCCAACGGTCGTCTTGTCCATTCTACCACACATAACCTCTGAGTTACGGACAACGAGCCATCCGTCGTTCGGATCCATATCCGGGGCCTGTCCAGCAACTGCTTTGTAATCTCGACACTTCGCATCAAGATTAACCTTGACAGGAGATGTTTTATTAGGGCGCATGAGAACACTGAAAACCTGTTTTCCCGTCCAGAGAGCTTCCGGTTTTATGATAGCTGGGGGCGGAATATCAATATCCATTTTTCCGTCCACCATGTACATGCACAGATGTGCAAACGTTTTGCGGTCGAAGAAGTTCTCTTTGCTACTGAGAAGGTACGCGGCCGTAATAAAATCTTGGGTGGCCGAAATAATAGGTTCTCCGTTTTTGGGCGTACACAAATTGTTCTTCACGCCCATCAGGTTGATAGCTTCTGTTCTCGCCTCTTCCGTTTGCGGGACATGGATATTCATCTCATCACCGTCGAAATCTGCGTTGTAAGGGCCACAGACGCACTCGTTGAATCGAAAGGTTCTCCATGGTCGAACTTTGACGTAATGACTCATAATACTAAGTTTGTGTAGAGACGGTTGGCGGTTGAATAGAATAATATCTCCATCTTCCAGATGCCTCTCGACAACGTCACCAACGCGGAGAGTGTTGGCCGTGTATTCCCGATCGGCATGCTTCAGTGAGACCTTCCGCCCATCCATCTTCTTTTCGACGATGTTAGCTCCTGGCCATTTACCGGGTCCTCGCTTTATGCATTCCCTCAGCTTATGGATGTTCCTGTCATGAACTCGTTCCGGATATGTCATGTTGGTGGCCACAAGAATTGGGATCGCAACTTCTTCAATGCTAAGGTTGGGATCCGGGGAGATAACGGTTCTCCCAGAAAAGTCAACACGCTTCCCCGAAAGGTTGCCTCTGAAGCGGCCTTGTTTGCCTTTTAACCTCTGGCAGAACCCACGAATAGCTTTTCCAAATCCCGGTTGCTGGAGACCTGGAACGTCGCTATTCACATACATAGCAATTTGAAGTTGTAGATATTCCCACTGCTCCATAATTGTTTGGATGGGCTGTCCTTTTTGCAAGGCACTCCTGATCAGCGAGCTGATGTGAACAATATCACCTAACTTCGATGTTAAATCGTCTTCGGTGCTGGCACCATCCTGGGCCACCGACGGCCGAATGCAAATTGGAGGAGCAGGCACATATTGCCACAGGAACATTTCTGGCCTTCCCTCGGATGGATTGATTCCGAGCAACTCGCAGTCTGTTGGCGTGATCATCCTGAAGAGGTTCAGAACGCGAAGAGGGTTCAAGTCGTCCATTGCTTTCTTCAGGTGTTTATCCAATTCAGCATTGGTCTTCTTTGCCTCCACAAACGACTTGTCAAAGGCAGCCTTCTCTGGGGGGATAACTTTCTTCGCCGCTGTAGATTTGTTGTAGGCCAAAAATTTGTCGTGCGTAAGCTTGAATACACCGGTTTTCCGAATCTGACCGTTGACTGCGCTACAGTATGGGCAAGTCTTCGCCTTCCGGCATTGGGCGTTGATCTTTTTACAGATTTGAGTGCGCTTCAAATTGTCGATATTGGGTCGTCGTAGCTCTTTGAGGAATTGTCGGCGCTCAGTCTCGGTGAGCAACACTCGGGCGCAGTCCTTGCAGATCTCTTGTAGAATAGCTATCACAAGCTTCAAGTAGCCGATATGAAACGCCGGGAGGGCCAATCTGACGTGACCGAAGTGGCCGTTGCAATTATTCAGTCCTTCGCCGCAAGTTTCACATCGTCCCGTCTTGCTTGAGGTACCCTAGAAGCGACGTCAGTGTTGCAGTTATGATCAGAGAGTTGATATACGACTCACCAGCCTAGGATCTACGGCTCCATTCGGGACGGGTTTGCGATTCTTCTCGACATCGTAGAGCATGCGATCAGAGACCTCTAGAACTCCTTGGTTTACAATATCGCGTGTGGACCTAAGTAGTCAGTTTGAGCACGAATATACAAAAACAGCAGTCGCATTATCACTTACTGGACTCCAAATTTAAGCTCTTTAAAGCGCTTGGGGATCTTATCCACAACCTGCTCTTTGACTGCAGGGCCACTCGAGCGAACAGGCTCGATGCCAGAAGAGGTGAGCTGCATCGTGACGCCGTGCTACCTTCTGTAATTCATGGGTATATTGTCGCAAGACTGTATAATTATGCTTCAATAAACAGAAAGTACTGTAAGAATGGGGCGATTGCAAATGGTTGGAGTCACAACGAGGCATTTGGCGTAAATTTCCATGAGCACTAGTCGATGGTGGGGCACGACTCTATCATCTAATCTAATCTGATTGCGAAGGATCATCCGCAATGTATCTTTTTGGTCAAAACTGCACGAGCAGTACAGCATGTAAACTCCGGGTCAATTTGCATTCTCATACTGATAATATACACCGAACAATTCTAGTAAATACAGTTGATTGCTTAGAACTAGGGAGATATTTGGTCTGTCTCAGCTGTTCGAGTTTGCTCGTAATTACTCACATTGACTGAACTCAAGTACGGAGTACGGAGTAGAGTATTTCCGCAAATATGGCAGTATTATACACTAGTCTTCATTTATTTCAATTCACACCGCCTTGCGCCTCCGTCGGTGACAATTTTGAAGCTCTAAATTGAAAGGGACTAGCTACATACCAAATTGCTGTTAATCTCAGGGCAGAACCACTCACCAATTCCTCCATCTTCTTGGTTGTTTGCATGTCATGACTGTAGGACATGGTACCTGGCAGCCGTAGCATTTCGATATGCAAGGCAGCCGTGTCTAGATGTTCGCCAACGCTCCATCGCGACATTCGCGAGCCATTGCTTTTTCTATACCCGACGTGGGCACGAGGATTTAGTTCAAGCGCTGCAGAGGTTCTCCGCAATGAGCAATCGACCCTCCATTCTCGACTGGCACCTGAATCACAGCAAGCATGTTCGTCGTCAGCGGCCTCTTTTGATACCCGCGCCCTTGATACCCGCCCGGTGGCGCCGAGCTCGTCCAGTCAGGAGTATGAATCGATTTCAAAAGCACGGGGAGCACAGCAATATGCTCACGCGACGAGCAATAAGGACACTTGCAACAATAAGGGGCCTCGAGGCGGCTTGTCCCCGAACGGCCGTAGAAGCAACCAGAAAAACCCTCGTCCTCGGCGTTTGCAGATACAGCGGGTGGTGAGCGTTAACGACGCCCTTGACATTCGCCTACGTCGGGTGAAGATTGAGGAAGGTGATACGATGCCAAAGGCTCGCAAGTTCCGTGCTAAGTCCAGCAAATACCCAACTACCAGCGAGCAACAAGGCGATACAGGGGCTACCATGATGCGAAATATTGTTAAAGCATATCCGCGCCCAATTATAAAGGGGGACTCGTTCAGAAAAGTTCCATATGGACAGAAGGTGCGGATGATATTATCGACGACAGAACGTGCCGAAATGAGGTGGTGGTATCAAGACGAAGTACGCAGATTGCAGCACGAAAATATGAACGAGGATAGAGGTTTTCCCCAAAAGGGTCCTCCAGAAGTACTCAAGACTCTTATTCGTTACACTCCGAAACGAGTTGAGAACACTCTTCTTAGAATTTCAGTCCCCGACAACGCTGTTGACTCATTGCTCGTTGGGCCTGGTAACAATATAATTGATATCAAGAACCTGACGGGTTGCGATATCGAACTTCTCGAAGCTGAAGAGGGCAAATCTACTCGGTCATTACTATTGTCAGGGCCGCCGATATGCATCTCAGCGGCAGCAGCACACATTTTCCGAATCGTCCCGGCGGCAGTTTCCAACTCGACAAATAGAGCTTTTACGTTTTCCCAATACAACACCCGGTCATCAACTACAGGCGTAGCCCAGACCACAGATGCAAGAGGCTCGGCACATATTACAACGCAGTATTACCTTGCATCCAGTAAGGTTGACGATATACCGAGGAGGGCAGACAGCATACCTAAGCCTAAGAGACTGACGGAAAAGTCCCTCGAATTATACATACGATCATTAACGGGAATCAAGATGACGAGTCCGCTTCATAAGATGCTCTACAGGAAAAACGAAGACCATGTAGAAATCGTGGCCGAACGGTTGCTAGAGGTGTTTGCCTATGACGAGTGTATGGATGTGATGACGATCACTGCCTTGAACGAAGCAGTGTCATTTCTTGCAAAGTATGGTAGGGTCGCTGCGACCCGGGAGATATTCGACAAGGCGCGTAGGGTCAGATTTCCATTGACACCCGAAACCTACAACATCCTTCTACGAGGCTGTGCGAAGACCCAGAATATCAATACTTTCGCCGCTTTATTGGGGGTAATGATACATAGTGGCTATCGCCCCAATTCTGGAACTTGGAGGGCGTTTATGATGGTATTGCGAAACCCCAAAGCCATTTTGCATGTCTACGAAGCAATGCAAGGCCGAGGGCTTTTCCACGAGGAAGGGCTCTTGAGCGACGTCTGCGAGCTCTTGCTACCCCACGAAATGACTTTTTGTCTGAACAAAAATCAGCTCGTTGCCCCTTTCATCGAACACATGTCATCACGTTATGGAGATGGATGGCTCTCGGTGTCGGGGGCTAACAAAGTTTTGGAAGAACTGGGCAAGCGTGGTCTCCTCTCGGAGTGTTGGTCTCTCGTCGACTACATGGTCGAGCAGAATATCCTGCCTAATGCTGTGACTATCAACACCATCTTCACACACTCAACGGATGCGAGAGACTTTCGAAACAACATCAGAGCTTTAGATCGCGTCTCTGAGCAGGCCAGGTTTCGACCCGACGGAACGACGTACGAGATCCTTTTCAAACTCGCCTGGCGCTGGCGCCTTTACAGTACCGCACGTGTTATTTGGCAACGCGCCTGCCTAGATGCATGCGCTAGGTTCGAGATGCGACAACGGGTTTCTACTAGCCTTCAATCTACATTCATGTTCCAAAGCACAGCCCTTCCGTCTCTTCCTGGCCCATCCGCTCCGGCTGACAGCGTGTGGGATCTGACGGCTGGAGTTTTTGTCGTTAGGGAAATCTGCCCACCAGCTCCCAAGGATGAGAGTCAAACCCCTGACGAATCGTCTCTAAGTCAATGGAAAGCCTTTCACCACGCAGTTGAAACTGTCAAGTCAGAACTGTTGATTTTTAAGGAGTGGCGCGCTGTTGGGTCCCTCACGAAATTACTGGTTGCCGCGGTCAAGACAGATGAAACTGTTTCGAAGCAAATGGACAACAATTTCGAAAAGGGAATGGAGCATTTGTTGCAATATGCACCGGTTGTTAGAATAAAGCGAAGGTTCTGGCGTGACGACGAATAGTCGCGTCGCTTGAAGTGGGAATTAGGAACGAACTGTATAAAAATATTAGAGGCTTAGAGCCATCGTTGTAACTAGAAATTATGTATAGTAGATATATGTACAATACTACACTCTTGTAATATAAACAATGCGCTTCACAGGAAGAGCAAAAATATTTCTCATGAAGCTAAAGTGTGAAGCTAAAGTGTGCTGGTCCCCATATCAACCCTCGGTATCAACCCTCAGCCGTGCACGGTCCTACTTCGGACTTTTGGGCGGCATGAGTAATGGACCGTTCCTAACCGGCACCATCATCAATTGGTGACTGCTGTAAACCCCACCACAAGGCTGTAGAGACAACGCATTTCTCTACACCTTCCTATACAGGTTCTTCCTCCAATGTCAAGACTTCTGGCGCGAAACATCTTCAAGCAAACTAATGCCCGCTTGAGTACATTTACAACCTCTACGATCTGCCACAGTTCCTCTATATATCCTCTCCGATCTATTATCCCAAGACCTCTTCAAAGCAAAACTCCATCCATACGCTCGTACTCATCTCAGCTCTTGACAGCAGAACAACGCCGCGAGCACCAAGCGCAGAAAATGGCCCCACAACTGGACGCATTCTTCAAGGAGGTCGACGCCCAAGCCGACCACTTCATCGAGCGCCTTCGCCAGGCAGTCGCCATCCCCTCTATCTCAGCTGAGGACGAGCGTCGCCCAGATGTTGTGCGCATGGGAGAATGGCTCGGGAAGGAGCTCGAGGCATTAGGCGCTCACGTTGAGCTGAGGCCCTTGGGCCCCCAGCCACACAAGGAGCACTTGATGCTTCCTCCTGTGGTTGTTGCCAGATACGGAAACGACAAGGCGAAGCGTACGATCCTCGTTTACGGACATTACGACGTCCAGCCAGCTGCGAAGGAGGACGGATGGGCGACGGAGCCCTTCGAGCTCACCGTCGATGATAAGGGACGCATGTTTGGTCGTGGCAGCACTGATGACAAGGGCCCAGTTTTGGGATGGCTCAACGCTATCGAGGCTCACCAGAAGGCTGGGATTGACTTTCCCGTCAACTTGCTGATGTGCTTCGAGGGCATGGAGGAATACGGCTCTGAGGGTCTTGATGATTTCATCAAGGAGGAGGCTGGAAAATTCTTCAAGGATACCGATGCCGTGTGTATCTCTGATAACTACTGGCTCGGCACCGAGAAGCCCTGCCTCACCTATGGTCTCCGCGGCTGCAACTACTATTCTATTGAAATTTCCGGCCCCGGTCAGGATCTTCACAGCGGAGTCTTCGGTGGTTCCGCACAGGAGCCTATGACCGACCTTGTCCGCGTCCTCGGCTCTCTGGTCGACACCGACGGCAAGATCCAGATTCCTGGTCTGGCCGACCTCGTTGCCCCCGTCACCGAGGAAGAGAAGGGTCTGTACAAGGACATTGCTTTCACTATGGACAACCTCCACGAGTCCCTCGGCTCGAAGACCACGATCTTCGAGGATAAGGAGAGCACACTCATGGCTCGCTGGCGCTTCCCCTCTCTCTCCATCCACGGCATCGAGGGAGCTTTCTCGCAGCCCGGCGCCAAGACCGTCATTCCCGCCAAGGTTATTGGCAAATTCTCCATCCGCACTGTGCCCAACATGGAGAGCGAGGACGTCACCCGCCTGGTTAAGGAGTACGTTACCGACGTTTTCGCCAAGCTGAAGTCTAAGAACACGCTCGACGTCAGCCTAATGCACGACGGCAAGTGGTGGGTCGCGAGCCCCAAGCACTGGAACTTCAGCGCCGCCGCCAAGGCAGCGGAGCGCGTATGGGGCGTCGCGCCGGATTTGACCAGAGAAGGTGGAAGGTATGCTTCTGACCCCACAGAACCCACGCTAACTTGGCGTTTTGCTAACAGGTTGCAGTATCCCCGTCACGTTGACGTTTGAGGAGGCAACCGGCAAGAATGTTCTGTTGTTACCAATGGGCAGCAGCACGGATATGGCGCACAGCACTAACGAGAAGCTCGACAAGAGCAACTACCTTGAGGGTATCAAGACCCTGGGCGCTTACCTGCATTACGCGGCTGAGGAGCCGATGGTTTAAATGGGTGCGGTGTTGGGATGGAAGCAGCCGAGAATTATGGTGTCAGCGCCACTAATAGAGGAGCATCCGTAGCTCAGTGAAGCTTAAATTGGGGATACAATGGTAGCCACTTATAGCTTATTATAGTAACCCTTTCGGCTATCTTGGGATATCCATCACTTCAGTTCCTGGATGAATGGTATGGCTCATCATATGCTGTAAAATAGTAAATCAAGTGTATATCAGAGCTCTCTTGTAGTAGTTGTTTAATATCTTGAACGTCAGGTATGGCTTTTATGATTAGGGTGGAACGATATAGCTTGAAATATGATCGAGGTAATTTATTAATCTATATATATTTTTGCCTGATTTAATCGAAGAAATATATTTCACATACAGATCATAATTATAATCTACCGTATTATTTTTAGGAACGAATATTTGTTCTAAGAATTATATTTTCGACTCTAAAGATATTTATAGCAATATTCCGCACACATGCATATTAACATTTACATTTGCCTCGCGTCATAACTAATTACTTCTTCTCCGCAAAATCCTTCGACACCATTGCATTGCAGATGGGATGGTAGAAGCCCTTGTTTGCCTCATAAGTCTTGAGGGCCAACTCCCTATCTGCCGATGCAAACTTCCTGTACAACGGGCGCACAAACTTCATGCGTCCAACGCGTCCTAGCAATTCAGCGGTTGGCGCGTACGCGTTCTCATCCTTGGCCAGAAGCCCGAGCTGCAGGAACCTGGCGGAGAGCTCGACGTTTCGCGTCTTGAACAGCGAATACGTGTTGCCCAATAGAGTAGTCTGGCTGGGGAGAAGCGGGGACCTGGAGAAAGAAGTAAGAAGCGACTCGAGGAAGACGACAGTCTGGTTTGCGGAGAAGCCCTCGATATCCTCGGGCGAGGGCTTGAAGTTTGTCGATGCAGTCCAGCGGTCAGCCAGAGCGTAGGCCTTGTCCACCAAGCTTGTGTCAAACTCTGGCTTTGGTGGCATCCCTGGCTTGTAAAACCACGCATCCCAATCAATTTCCTTCACCTTCTCCGCCGCTTGGGCATCGCCAGAAAAGAAGTTGATAAGAGTATCTTTAAACTCAAATGAGTCCAGAGACTTCTGGGCCCACGTATTAAAGTAGTGAGGGATAAATTGATCGAACTTGTCCTTTCCTACTAGCTTCTCGATATAATAGAGGAAGTGGAAGCCCTTCTCGTAGGGAATGGTGCTAAATGCATCATCGGGGTCAAGGCCCTTCAAGTCCGGCACAAGCTTTGTGTAGTCATGCTCGCTTCCAAAGAGATTAACTGCATCCTCCAGAGCCTTCCAGCCGATGATAGCTGAAAAGTCGCGGTACGATTCCCCATGCACTGCAGCCTGGAGCCGGCGCTCCAAGTACGTCGTCCATCCCTCGTTGAGCCAGAAGTGCTCCCACGCTGCTGCTGACACGAGATTTCCGCTCCAGCTGTGGCTAAGCTCGTGAGCAATCACGTCAACATTCTCGCGATCGCCACTGATAAGAGTGGGCGTTGCGAACGTGTAGACTGGGTTTTCCATACCACCATATGGGAAGCTAGCGGGGAGTACCAGGACATTGTATTGACCCCAGACATACGGAGAGATGAGTTTCTCGGCGATTTGAATGAAGTTCTCAGTATCCTTCTCTAACTCCCACTTTGATGCCTCGAGCTCCTTGGGGGAGGCGGCTACGGTGCTCCGCGGTCCGATTTGAGCTGTTGCGATATCTCCAGATGCGAGAGCAAAGAGATATGCGGTCATGGGAATGTTCTGCTTGAAGTGATAAAGCTTCGCTCCGGTCTTGGACTTGAAGTCAACGCCTTGCTCTCCCTCAACGGGGACTCCGCTGGCAATCACGGGAAGAGTTGAGTGGATGAGGAAATCGTAGGTTGATTTCACATCTGGTGTGTCTTGGCAGGGAAACATGCTCCTTGCGTGGATGGCTTGACACTGAGAGAACATATATGGCGTGTCGCTCTTGGTTTGGGCAGGTGTGAGCCATTGCAAAGCTGTACACTTGTCGGTCGTTGAGACCTCCATTGCAAGCTCTACCACCTGGCCTTTGGACTCTCCACCTTGGATCTCAATGATCAAGGCAGAGCCAAGTGGCCCCATCCTCGGAGCAACTGACCAGCTTCCGGACTCTGCGAGTTGGCCATTGACGGTGATAGAGGTTACGTCAACGTAGCTAGTGTCAAGGATAATAGCCTTGGACTCCTTCTCAGTCAACGACTCGAGTTGCAGCGTCACTGTTCCATCGAGCTTCTGGTTCTTAAAGTCAATGAAGAGATCAGCAATGGTATGCTTCGTCGTCCAGCAGTCATAGTTGGACAGAGTGCATTGGTCACGGCGAGTCTTGCTCGCGATTTCAGTAGTAGCCATTCTTCTGATTTGGGTCTTTGGAAATGGGGCTCGAGCAGCTGTAACCGAAATTCTAGTTGGCAATGAGGCTAGAGATCTCGTCAGGGATATCAAAAGCTTCATGGAAACAAGCCCTAACCCTTCCTAATGAGTGTTTTGTAAGTTTTTGGTGACTGTTTTTAGTGACTGTTATCACCGATACGGAAGGTGGTCGTTGATTCTTGTGGTCCATTTCGACGGCTTGTCTCGGCTTATTGGCTGGCGAGTTGGTGCCTCAGAATTGAGGTCTTTTCGTAGTATACATCTGTCATTGGCGTCAAAATCTACCACAAAACAGGTCTATGTGGAATCACCAAATACTCATCTAAGCTGCACGTATTCGTATTTTCATATTTTCTATCATATTCGAAAAATATCCCAGCGATGGTACTGATTAGTTAAGTTCCCTCTTTTGGTAGGTTGACCAGCGGACGTGGACTTGTCCATCCTCTCCCTCATCACATCAACCTTTTACTTCTCCCGTTTCATACCCCGAACTCTTGTTTCCATTCATTTTAAACGTCTAACGCCGGCAAGTTGTTTCCCGAGCTATCTCGTCACGGCGATGCTTGTTTTCAATATTACACGACACAGCCAGGAGCCGCGCATGGCTAGCAATTTGAGACGCGAATTGCGGGATTCCTCCCTCCCGGCCACATGGCTCGTCGCACGGTAGTTGTGTGATGCTAAAGCGAGCACCACGTTCTGGTTTATCTACCATAACGATGATCTACTTGGCACGAGCGTTTCACATCAGCTTCAATGTTTGACTCGGGGATATCAGTGGCGAGTTCCCCGAGTCAAACATCCTGTTAACATCAGATCCAAATATTGCTACTGCTTGGCAGATCGCAGATCGGGAATTTTTGGTAGAGCAGCGAGAAGTTGCCTTGCATCGTGAAACAAGGGGATGCGATAGTCGTTCAGCGCTGGCTCCGGCAGTGAAGACTACCGACAGCTGATCGAGGATCATTGACTGAGTGATGCGTATCCAGCTTCTTAATGATCAACCGATACTCTACCCTTATTGAACCACTTCACACAACATGCAGGAGTTTCCTTACTCCGCAGTTGATCACTTTGATAGAATTCGCGGCCGTCAGACGTTTGCTTCCGTATCCTGGCCAATGGTGTGACTACAGCCTGGCTCTTATATGTTCTGTTATACGCAGGGAAGCTTTTGGCCAGCCACCAGAATGCAACGGCCAAGTGCTTGCATGATCTTACTGAGCAAAGATCAGATTGCAAAATGGTACTCTAGGTGCCGATGAGAAATTACATTGCAACCCCCTTGGGATTTTCCCCACCACAAATGTTCAGAGATACATCTCTTTGACCTCTTCCCGACAAGACAAGTTGGGGCGGGAAGGGCGGGGTCTCGAGCGGGACGGCTTTGGTTACTGAGTTCAGCCTGGGTCCATACAAAAGACGTTACGTTCAAGATACGAGATATTGGTACCCGCTGGCTCTATGCTGAATTGTGACAATAAGCTCCATGGACCAGAAAAACCATGGATCAACTCTTGCGACACACTATGTTTTATCTGCGCCAGCAAGTAATTGGAATCACCAAATAAGCTGCCAGAGTCTATAGCGAACTGATGGGGAAGCTTGGGCTCTATGATAGCTCCGACCCGTGGCACCATGCACTGGGTAATATTCCGCCCTTGGTTTAATATGTCGACCGACTTTGATCGTTTGAGGGCGTGCTGTTCATGAACGTGGTTGGAGGGCCTTATTACTGTGCTCCAAAGCCATGACATGGTAATCCCCGTGAGGGGCTCGAGTGATGTATCTGACGAAACCAAAACCCCTCCAAGGCTCCCGCTCATGAAGGGCAGCCTCCAATCACGCAAGGGAGGCTGCCCGAACTGATAATCAAGTCCGATGGCTATGAGTGCATCTCTTTGAGAAGCACGCTTTTCTATTGAATCATGTGCCACATATGAGCTGCCTCAATGAGCACATCGCATCAGTGTGTGTGCGGGATGCTCTGAAGATCGATCAGGCGGTCATTGAAATTCAGCGGGTGAAATATCGTGAGGGCCGTGCTTTGCATACATGGACGGGATTGCCGAAGGGGTCGATGCGTTGCGTTGCTTTGAGAGCTTGATCAACCCTCCAGTTCAAACCAATGGATTGTCCGATGCCGCAGCTGCCCTTGTTGATCTTGAATAGAGGCAGTAGGGAGCAACATCACAAAATTTACTCTCACATACTTGATTGCTCATTTTCCGCGTGTTCTTTGCATTTTACGAGTGAGGGTGGGGGAGGAGGTGGCCACTCTGCCCCGCTTCTTGCCAAGCCTCATACACAACTTGACACAATACCAAGTGAAGCACAGATGGTTATTTTGTGCATCTTCGTTCATGGGTGTATATCACAGTAGCACTTATCGATTGGCGGGGACTTAGCTGACTCTACTGCCGTGGCCAAGGACAAAAGGAAAAAAAGGTCGGATGAAACCGCACAGATTTCCGAGCTCTTGTAGAGAAGACGCGGCTCGCAAGACAGGGCTGAGGTCTTCACCTCCTTCATCAAGCAATATGATAAGATTATGAAGGGATTTCCTCAATGGTGTCTAACTCGGACATCGTCCGACTGGATGGCAGTCTAACCTAATATTACCACGTGTGACCTGACCACGTTTTTTCGTCAAAGTATACTGGATACACTTAGATCAAGTCATACTGCACGCACATCGTGAGCATTTGTTCATGGACTTCGAAGCCATTGCATCTACCATGTTGACAAGATCAAGATTCTAGTAACAGGAAAGTAACGACAGAGTCTCGAGTATGTTTTGTGCTGCTTGAAACTTCGTTTTAAAACCGAACTCTCCATGAATTCGTTCCACGCCAAGCAGTTCCGTTTCATCTGATCTATATGCGTGCCCAACACACACCGCAGGAACATGCAGTTCACGGGCACGAAAATGGCCCGAGCGCGTGCTGCGGAGGTTTCGAAAAGTGGTGACTGACCAACCCCTCTCCATGACCCTGCAGTAGAAGCAGGCAAGGATACGAGCATCGGTACGAGGAACGATGGCAACTCTTCACGAGAAGGCTGGGGCGCATACGCGCATACGACACTTAGTAGGATGTAGTATAAAGCATGGTTTGCATCGACCAAAAAATGGCCCTAAATGGGTTCCTCCGTCCCGCCGCACATATGCAGGTGCCACTATTGTTGCTGTGCATGAATGAACGGCCACTGTCACGCATCCTCTCTAGGAGCTATGATCATCCTCTGATTGAAGGCATTCGGGTTGTGACCCTGCGTCCGCCCGAGCCGTATCACACCATGTGCCATCCATGCTCCTGGAGGATTTCTTACGCTCACATTGAGAAACGTGCGCGATTACTCGACCCAGAGGATATTACCTGTCTGACTGAGCAATTGGGTTGAATATATTGTTGGGGTTTCATGAGGAAGAAAAGTTGCTACCCGGGTGAAAGCTACTGTTGGATTTGCGGGGGATTCTTTGGAATCGCCAACTGCTTCACCAGATGAGAGAGGCGCGTAGAATAGGCCAGCTTGAAGCAATCGGAATGGAAAGGGGGCATAACCTCTAAAATTAGTCCCCAATGACGAGCAAAATCCAGCGTCTCGGGTCGCGCGCGCCTTTAGCATGGGAATCCTCATTGCCTGGATGCAACCACTCAACACCTACATTATCTGCCATCAGCGTAACGCTTCCTATCTTCGTGTTTTCGAATGGGCGGCTTGCTTTTCAGATGGGAACCCACACTTTTTCGAGCCCCTAGAAGCCCGCTACCGCAAGTCCAGATCTTCTAGTCTGGCCATTAGCCTAAGATGGCTTGGGAAGGTCACTTCCCAGCGCTCAGGTGCTGTAACGGCGGCAGAGATTCTGTACGATACCCAGGTCAACGGCCCGTTTCTCAGAGCTCAAAGTGGGCAGAGCTGGACTTTTGGTAGTATTCAACTTCCGTTTGCTCCTGTTCGCACAGGGGTAAATGTCTGTGCAGAAACATTAACCGAGTTCGCTCCTCCTCATGAGTGGATAGCTCGGATGGCATCCTAGTGCTGCCCATGCATATAGCAGGGAAGAAACGACCACTGCGACCGACCTTTACGCCTGTCACGGTCTTGGCGGGCGTCCCAGCGTACCTTAGTCACATCCACCGAGTTTCACATGTCTCATCTCTAACGATTTCACTCTTCCCGTCATCGACCAATGCCCCGCTCGCCACCATTTCTATACCCTAAACGGTAGGCTTCCCGTCCAAATGTCGGCGGAACAGCGCCTGGAACCGTAGCGTAGATGCTAGGGCGTCCGGGGAAGAGAAGTTTGGTCTCCTATCCCGGACATATATCAAAACAGGGTTGGTTATATATGGGTGTTTATACTGGTAAGCAGGGTCTGATCGCGGACCTGCCAGTCATTATCTTCGCCACATATTAAGGTCTCAATCTCAGTTGTGGGATTGAAACCTCGCTGCGGAATATGTGACGGTAGACAGTGGGGTGTCTCTGTTTCGTCGATTTATATTACGACTTATGCTATATAGCCTTTAATACTGTTTTATATGCCCTTTCTGCCTTTATCTGGAGCAGCGTCTTCCCAACTTGCAGGAGGTATCAGCCTCAAATATGGCTCATATTGCCGACTTAATGATCGACCCCGCCTCGATGCTGGCATCAAATAAATTCTCGTCGCGAGAGTCGTCACCGCACACTACCTATGAACGAGTGAGAATTCCGCAGAATCTACCACTACAATCCTAACCTTCGATAGAGCCAAACGCCAGAAAGAGGACTTATAGACGGAAAGGAAAAGGATAAATATGTGTGGAGAATGCACCAACCATCCCAACCACCCAGATACCAGCTATTTCCGAGTTCGAGTCAGGAGAAACTCGCCATAACCACCACTCTCGGTCGCAAGACTCCTGAACTGGACCAAACATTACCAAATGCCACGACAGCTAAGGGGAACGCGGCGGAAGGGCCCAGCCCTACTAATGGCTTGAAGAGGGAGCCAAGTCTCGGGAGACGACGAAAGCCCAGCGTGACGGATTTGGGACACATGGCAACGGTCCAGGAGGTTGCGATGGATTCCCGTAAGCTGCTTGGTTCCTTATAAAGCATTTGTTACTGACGAACGTTAGCAACTATTCCAGGGAGGTTTCCTGTACACGAGCGTTCAATCAGCGCCCCAGGAGAGCCAAGCTGGAGGCAACACGTCTTTGGGGAGTCAATGTTCTCTGCCATCGAAGGGCCAGTAGTGGACATCGAGCAGCGCCGTGTCTCGAGAATACAGCTCCAGCGCCGCAATTCTGCTTCACCGAGCTCTAAGATGCACTCTAGGCTTGGTAATAGGCTGGCTCCTCTTATAATCCCAACAACTAATATGAATGACTCGCCCGAAAGAGATACATTCCCCAAGAGAGTTCTCAACAGGCTAAGTGAGCAGAGCTCCCTCAGCGACACTCCGCCAGAAGTGCCACCAAAGTCAGCACGGATGCTGCCCGAAGCGTCTCCTCAGTCCGGGCTGGCTTCATCAGTACCTTCGTTACCTTCTGCTGTTCCAACCGTAACTCCATTCACACCATTCACTCCGATGTCCGATTTCTCAGCGTCTACTGCAAGTTTGGTGCCTCTAAAGCTTGCTCCTGTAACAAGCACTTCTTCTCCTCAAGCCCAGGGCCGAGCATCGCCAGCACCAAAGGGGACCCGTAAGCCAAGCCCAACTCCAAGGAACCATACCAGAGGCCTCTCGGAGTCATCGTCATTTTCCGCCGTGACTAGACCAGGCCATAGGCGCACAGAATCAGAAGCTTCAATTATGGACCGTGGACGGCCAAAGAAGCGCGCGGATGGATCATCTATCAAAAGCGCCACTACGAAGGCAAGCGAGCAGAGGGCTTTTATCACATTACCCACCGGTGTCAAAGCTTCTGATGCGTCGTCGAAGTTCTCACCGCAAGATATCGAAGCTCTAAGGCACCAGGCCCAAGGCCAAGCTGCGCAATTCGAAGTTTTAGCTTCAAAGGATGTAGGGGATTTATCAAGGGTGAGCTCGCATTTGTTACCTCGTATTATGAAGTCATCGACTAACATCTCTCTAGGAACTCCGTGCTCTTGATGAACGCTGCGAGTATCTCCGTCGGACTCACCGATCTCTCCGGTCTGGCCGCCGCAACCTCCATGACCGCATCTGCAGCTACCTCCGGTCACCACGTGTTGCGCGCTTCTCGCATGATGCCATCTTAAAACAGGAAGAGGCGCTCTCGGAGCTAGACGCCAGCATCGATGATTGGGTATCGAAGCTGGAGTATGCGGAGAACCGCCGGACGCGTGTTCGACAAAAGCTTCTCGAACATGTTGCTGCCGCCTTGATGATGCCCTCTCAGAGCAATGAGACAGATAACAAAAATGTACCCGAATATGAAGCTATAAATATCCTACAATCCCTCGCGACAGCCGACCATACACCACCGAGGTCGCCCACTAAGGCGCTGTCACCGTCGCCAATTATTAACCCGTCGAAACGACGTGCATCGCCCGAGCCAGAAGCTCCAGCCCGCCTTGCGCGCCCAGTGCCACCTCAGCTATTGACATCGCCTCCTCCACCACACACGCTAGAGAACGAGCCATTTGGCGAACGGCATAGAGATAGTCACAGTACGGCAGGGAGACCGAGTGCCGAGAGCATCCGCATCTATGCCGACTCAGATGTATACGCACTACTTGCAGACGTCGAGCAAGAGATACACAGGATGGGTCAAGGTTGTATAGAGGAGGAGGTTTTACTATCGCAGATGAAGTACGAGGCACCGCCGAGGTGCGAAACGCCCAAGAGTGGAACTTCGAGGAGCGGGACACCGACCGGGATAGAGAGAATGAAGGGGCTGGTGAAGGAGCAGTTGAGAGTTGCGGGATTGGTTGGCTAATTAGAGAGGAGGAATATTCTAGACGATGGCGACGATTATTTACGATTTCGATGTACGTTGAGACAAGCACGCGCGACATGCGAATCACGGCGATTACGATATGCCTTTGCCGGCGCCGAAACGACGGCCTTTCTTTTCTTGGTCTACTTTAAACCTTTTACCATGGCTTCCATGCTCTCGCGAGTGTAGTTTGCTTATATACCTTCTGGCGTGCGCCACACTTTTTTTCATTTAACGGTCTTGGGTTGGTGTTATGGGTTGAGGGGTTTGGGAGGTCTAAATTTGTTCAAGAGCCTGCAATTTAAGAATCTACAATTTGTCTTTGACTATGCAAAATCTACATATTAAAGCCTTCGGCTTCTTTACTTGTATTCGTGACAGTACAAACCGTTGTAGAAACGAAACAACCCTGTCGAAGTTTCAGATTGTATTGACAAAGGGGCAGGTATCCGAGCGAGAACTTTCCTGCTCGGTAGATGAAGTTGGGCTGGGAACTTATTACATAAATTCTAAAATAACCAGTGTTGTAGCACGAGGACTAAAGTCTTTTTGGCCTTAGTGCCGTCATGTAGGTGATGATATTATATATGGTTCTGTGGTAAGAGATGTCGCCATGCAAGAAATACATTCCGGAGAATTGCGAGGCATTAGGTTTTACCGTCGCAGAAAACGTGCTATTTTGTATGGATATCAAAGCTCATGTATTTAGCAAGTTTTCACTTTTCGTCCTATCCTTCTAATGCCCATATGGTTTTATGACATCAATGCCGCCAAATGATGCTTTCATCAAGACTCCGCATCAATCATTAATTCCAAGCAATGCCATGCCATCCGTAGTATGTCCTTCCCGCTCAAATCTAACAGCGGACTTCAACTCCACCTCTGCTCACAGAGAGATATTTAACCCCTTTGTACGGCTTTACTCCATCACCCAACCCCCTGCTCTTTCTTGAGTCTATAACCAGACTATCGACCTTCAGGCCACTCGCCAACCACCCCTTAATCCCAAAACTAACCCTCGCACTTGTCGGCATAAGCAGCTTATTCCTCGCCACTGTTTTGTCATCCTTCTCTTTAACTTTCTCGGCATCCACCTCGGCGGCCCTTGGCGAGGATGCACCCGCAGCTTGGTACCCCTCAGTTTCGTCATATTGCTCAAATGTAAACGCATTACTGCTTCCCTCGTCATCGTCGTCAAAATTTCCTACCACAGAACAACGCAAAGTAGCTGTTCCTGCACCAGCCTCCTTGATCGGTATATGCCACTCCAATGTTTTAGCACCAGGTGCATACGTGGTATCGCCCCTGGATGCCCTGATCTCACTCAAATTGCGTACATCAACTGGAATAGGTACCGTGAGTGTCAGACCCTCCAAGTTCGATTTCGGTGTGCTCCCGCCACTACCAAAGGCCGAACCGGATGTTGATCCGCCGAGGCGGGAGGACCTTGCTCCCAAAGAGGAGATGGATGAGTTGCTCTGACCAGGCCCTGGTGGGGGAGAAAGTAGCAGCCGTACTTCGAATTCCGAGCCAGTCGGTCCAAGGGATGTTTTGACTTCGATGGAGACAGGGAGCTTGAGGTTGGTGTTGCTTGACGAGCTGGTGAGGGAACTCGTAGGCAGGGGAAGGAGGTTAACTTCGTATCCCGCAAGGATAAACCTCCCATCTGGGGGGACGAAGCTCAGTTCGCCTGGGTTGCTCCTCCAATGTGCTAATCTTACGCACGGGTGAAAGACCGGCAGTTCCATTGTGCTGTCGATATTGTGCCTCCCAGAGGGCGAAGAGAGCGATAAGAGGACATCCGGCACGCCGGAGACCTTAGCAGTAAATGCGATTGATCCTGTGGCAAAGGCCGAAAGGGGCCGCCCAGATGGCGCTATTATCACAGACAGAGTTTCCACTATGTCGACGTAAAGTTCGTTGGATGTGTGTTTGACGTTTGCTCGTCGCCAGGGAAGTGCTGGAGTGGAGGTGGGGCCGAGAGAAGATATTCCTGGCATTTGAGTCGGGGTATTCGAAGAAAACGGCGCATTTCTGGAGAACTAGTTAGTATATTCCTCATATAATGACAGTTTGAGGGCCATTTCACCCTGGAAGATTTATGCCACCAAGGAACTTGCCGATCCAGCCTTCTACTTCCACGAGATCCCGGAGCGCATTCCCCTCTGTGGTCGACACCACGCCAGTGTCACACATCTCGTTGAGAAGTTGCGCGACAACATCGTAGCTGCTTTCAATCTTGCTTGCTAGTAATGGCGTCCCTAGAAATTCTTCAAACACGTCTATGACCCGGTGTAGAAACTCGAGGGCGAGGAGAGGCTCGATCTCGGACGAGGTTGTGAGGAGGAAGAGGAGGTTCGCATGTGACAGGTTGAAAAGTAGCGTGGGGGGGTTTGTATTTGGTAGATATATTAGTGACGGTCGAGGTTCGGGGTGTGCAAGATATAGAGGAAGCAACTGTGAGGGCGAGAGTGGGCGACCAGTGTAGGTATGCGACAGGAGGGGACGGCTGTATGAGAGTCAGTTCTGCGAGGAAAGGGAGGCTGGAAGCTGGCAGAAGATGAACAACTTACTGGTGATCTTCAAAGATATGGAGAGCCTCAATAACACCACTCATCCTTGGTGACGGGGAGAGTTTCCAGGGACTCTTGGTCGTGCGCGAACGTGGAATAATGATGTCTCGACTTGGAGCTCCACAGTATATCTGACGTGGGGTTCCTGGCGCGGCCGCATCCCGCCCAAGCTATACTGCCGATCCCCATTTTTGTCGCCCATGGACAGTCCTGAATCGCATCAACACCACCATCGCCAACCTCACCAGCTCTACACTTTCTCAAGTTCGACACATTGTGCCACGATGTTCAATAAATCCAACCCAGTTATCCCACCTGTTGCCTCTCTCGAGCGCCCGGAACCCTTAACAACTGTGCTGGCGAACGATAAGGAGGAATTCCGCGACGACTGTACGCCCTGTCGAGTAACTGGAGCTGCAGCATTTGCTGGACTCGGTATCTACAGTTACTATTCTGGCCACGCACAGCTACTGGCCCAGAAGCAGGCAATTGCAAAAAGTGGGAGCATATTCGGGTTAAAGAGCAGGCAGACTGGAATTACCGGCATCGCGATTACTCTTGTCGGAATGGGGCTTTGGAGATTAGTCAACTAGACAACTTGGACATGGCTAGGGACAATACCAATTCAAGGGAATACAAGCCTTTGCGGGTAAATGCTGGAAGTTATTGAACTGGTCAGGATGGGCCGATGGACAAACTCAACTCAACCAGCCAGTTGGCTTAAGGTTTACCTACTCAGTAATCAGAGCTGTTGCCGAACGGGATTGCTCGACAGCCAATCTTGCACTTTCTTCAATAAAGGCGCGAAGACGGGGTTAGCGCAAGCTTTTGCGCTGTTGGAGATGTCCGAGATGAACGACACCTGGCAAAGGCTTCGATGAGCATCGCAATGGAACTTGAAAGCTCGGGTTTATTGGACGTATAAATACCTGGATACGGCTGCTGCTTTCGAAGTCATGGCGCAAGGGAGAGAGCTGGGGTGTGAAGATATGTGTAATTGTATAATGAGAAACCGGCCTGGGGAGCTTGTAAAATATTTAGACGGACACCCGGAGTGTACATGACATGAATCATTTTGAATACCTATCCCAATCGAACATAACTTGCGCCATGCTTGCTCATTGATATCATTGCAGTACGCTAGTGGAAGCCTTCGAAAACTGCCCAAGGTCTGATCTATATTCCTCCTATGACATTCCCTGCAACATCTTCACCAACCGCTTTCCATGCTCTCCGCCCAAGAAATCCCCCCCAGGTCCATCCTCTTCTCTCTCTATCTCCACTGCAGCTCCATATCCCTTCATCAACATATCCTCATCGACCTTCATACCCGCCTCCACCAAACTGGCCACCACTCCTCTAATCCTCGCAATCTCCCTCCTAGTTTCTGCAGCAATCTCGTCGTTTTGACTGCTGTACACCGTACTGTTGGTACTCTCTTCAATCCTTGTAATTCCCACTTCCGCCTTATCTTCATCGGCTGTTTTGATGTGCTTTGATATCCAGATATACCCATTCACCCCAAGAATCACATCCACTGGGCCCCCTCCATTTGCCGTCTCAATAGTCCACACCTGTCGCCTACTCCTGACTACACCCCCACCCCCTCCCATCCCCGCCACTGACACAAAGACTCCATTCCTCAACTTTCCATACTTCAAACTCCTAGTATGTAAACTCGCGCTCCCATCGTGAAACAAAGACTGCACCTCGCACACAAGCAGGTCACCCTCCGATAGAAACGTCCTGATCTGGAGCTCATCCGTCTCTGTCCTTTTCCGTAGAATTCCACCGGGGAGATTGATCGCCGACAGCGGCAGCGCAGCGAGCAACGGGGCGCCAATGTCCACGCGCCAGCGCCGGGATTGCACCTCGATGATGCGGCCGACAACTAGGTCACCGATTTCGGGGGTGTAGCGCGCCCGTAGGGGCCGCACTGAGAGGAGCTTGTTGGTCTTTTGGATGGTGCCAGCGACGGTGGCGAGGATGGCTGCGGTGGCTGGTTCGACGTACGTTCCGTGACCTCTGTAGGCTGTTAGGGACTATGTGATTTGGGTGGACACTCTGCTGAGAAGTGCCCCAAGTCGAGCAGTAGAAGACCATACCTCATCCATTGGGGATCATCTGTGACTACTTCTCCGGGAGTGACTATGCTTGTTGATCCAGCTCGTCTGGCACGCTTCTTGGGGCGCATATCAAGATCTCCATCGAGGTCGGCGCCTCCGTCGGACCCTGAGTCTGAGGATGAATCGTAGTCTACATCCTGGATCGGAGGAGCGGGGGCGAGTATTGTAATGGCCATTATGCAAACAAAAGCACGGATGTGCTTTCAATTTATGGTGGTATATGATATCGTGAAGCTCCAAGTAATTATTTGGATTCCACTGGAAACAAAGATATCGTAGTTCTACTAGCCAATCACAATGCATATTTTATTTTCAGCCTTGCGCATCGCCCACCATGTCAGCCTTGCCATTTGGAAGCTGTAAATAAAGTCCATGGTAATTTGATCGCCCCTATTTACTGACTACAGTATGACGAAGGGATAATAGACTACTATAGACTTCTCATCCTAGGATATCTGTTTATAATAGTATTATTTGTATTCGTTGTCCGCCAAAATTCCCGGTGTTGTTCGTCTCTTCTTTTCACGAGCTTTGAAATTACGGTGTCAGTACTTCTAATAACATTTATTTACTAAACTAAATTCCGCTCCTAATATATGTTGACTATCCACTTAAATATTATTACCTTCGCCGTTGTCATAAAGAGAAGTTCAGGTTTTGATACCAGTGAGTGAAAGAAGAGAGGGGCAACTTGGCCCATAAATTGTTGATGCGGGGCAAAACCCACAACCAGATGCGATAGGCCCTTGGTCTGGAAAACGATAACATTCGCACAAAGACTTGTTGTTCACTTGGCTAGAACATCCATTGGGTTCTCTTACATCCTTGTGTGCTATTGAGTTATGGTATTAACTACCAACCCTAATTCTCCACCCATTTATTATCCCACAAGGCAACTAGAAATCAGAATAACGGTCGGTTTGAAACGAGGTATCGATATAACTCTGCTCCCTATGTACAGGCCATCCTTCCTTAGAATAAATATACCAGTTCCAACCTATGCCCGACCTAACCGATACCATGGCCCCCAATCAAATCCGTGCAATGCAAAGTACCTGATCCCATCCATCCGTCTATATGTTCATCATATGCAAACTCCAGGGACTCCTGTCCCGCCCCCAGCCTGCCTCAATGCTGATTTGAGTGGCAAACCCCCCTAGAACTGCCTGTAAATGCAGCACCCAAAACTTTGGACCACCGGATCCACCCTTGAACACAACATCTAGGGTATAATGTTCACCTTGGGTATTGCAATCGAACGCTTGATATGCGTGTTCATGGCGTGCTAGAAGCAGCTCAATTTCGAAGTATGTTCGGGTATGCGGTATAGAAGCTGGTGCTTGTGGTGGCACAATAGTAGTCGTTTCTGGCGAAAAGGCCGTCTCAAGCGAACCGCGAGCGCTTTCCACCCCCACCAAACCCATCCTTGGACAAATCTCCAATATCAAAGAAGTCACCGAAATTTATCTTTCGCTTCTGGCCGGCGCTTCCACTGCCATGGCTTCTTGTGTTGTTCCTCGTGCTGTGCCTTCCCCTGCCCACCTGCCTCGAACCTGATCGATTTGACCGTGATATCGTGATTGAGGTTGGCGCAGTTGAAACAACGGTAGCGTCCGCTGCTGCTTGGTTGCCTTGATCGGACATATCTGCATCTTGTGGGTATTGGTGTGTAGATCGGAAAGAGAAATTGCCCGTCGGTGGGAGAACCGTTATTGTGGGTGGCGATGGGAGTTCCTCGACAGGCTCGGGAACTTCTAATATTGGTGGCACTGAGTCAAGGCGTACTGGTGAGCTGTTTCGTATTGGCATGCTGGTGACACTTGGTTTCTTCTGTGCGACTGGGCTTGACCCGCGCTCTTTGTCCATTTCGTCGTCGCTGTCAGGAATCGGATCCCGGCCGTCGAGTCGTGCTGTAGCCCATTGCCTAACTTTCCAACCTTCGCCGTCAGATAAGCCGATGTCTTCTTTGTCGAGATATGTGAGGAGGTCGTCGAGGGCGTCTTGGTAGCCTTCTGCCCGCAGCTTTGTTTGGTCTGAAGCGGCAGTTTTGTAGAGTTTTGTAACAGACAGAGCAGCATCTTTAAACGCCTGTAAAAGTTGTTCTGGAGGGTTTGGGGTCTGCTGCTTCGGCGGCGAAGCACGAGGCAAAGACGTGTTGAGACTCCTCATGGAGTCCATCTTCGGTTTGTTATTCGATCCGGTCGGACGAGGGGTACCAACGGAGGCTGATGATATGGTAGATTATACCTTGCTCGAGGTATTCTGCAGGGCGAAGTTTCTCATTCACGGCGGCCGCAATACCAGTGAGTAGAAAAGTCGATGAAGTCGAGCTTTGAATGTCTTTGTTGTAGTCGAGGGGTACTCGAGTATGACTTGGATAAGACCTGTACATGTGACGAAGCGGCAACACTAGAAGTAAAGTTGACGTTGAAGTTTCTTCCCGAGATTCAGCCGGACACTCTAAACAAACGGATAAAAATTAAACAAAAACAAAGAGACAAAGGTATAATGTGCAGAGATAATTTATAGATATAGTCGGTGGTATTAAAATAAGTTTGTGAATGATTCACATGTATTTCAATCTACTCATTATTGATTTGAATCACCATTCACGTGACTCTCTGTCACGTTGACGCGGCTGTGGATAAGGCTGTGGCGGGCAGGCGCCTCGCGAGATCGAGGTCGCGACTTTTTGGATGTGTGATGGGTTTTCCTCTTTCGACACCAACTGAAGTCCAACACATCAACAAAGAGACTCTTTTTCATCACGCCGCGATTGCGAACCGCCTTTTAGCATCTCGTGAGGATTCGGAGACCACAACGAACCCTTCCGGCTTCTCCTACCCTGCCACCTGGGACTGAGGTTGCGCGACCATGGCGCCTTCACGATCCGGTCGCCTCAGCGGAGCGGATACAGATAGCTCAATGGCTGATGCATCCGATCTGAACATTAAATCGCGTGTGGACGCAATGGTGAGCTCTATTTTATCCAGCAATCCCCTGACGCCATATCCGGAGCGCGTTCTACCCCTGGTTAAATTCTAATAGAGGACCATGACTTACACAAGCTATTGCAGGATATCGATGAGACACCAGATTACACGGAAGACTCCGATACCAACCCAAATACGACTGCAAGCAGTGTGGCCGGCGAGCCGGTTGATGGGAGGAGGAGACGTTCCGAGGCGACACAGCTGCGACGAAGCGTGTTCGGCAAGAAACACGATCGTTTAGGCCAATCCCAGGTACGTAGTGCACAGATGGCATGATATTTTGGAGATCTTACTTATCTTATATTTCAGGAAGATGATTCGATTAGACGATTCCGTTACTTATTGGGCCTGACGGACCTCTTTCGGCATTTCATTGAGACGAACCCAAACCCGCATATTAAACAGATTATGGTAGAGATTGATCGTCAAAATGAGGAGGCTGCAGAAGCAAAGTCAAAGAAGGCTAGCCGTGCTGGAGGAGCTGCCAACGAAAGGCGTCGGAGAACAGAAGCCGAGGAGGACGCAGAACTGCTCAAGGATGAAAAGCAGGGAGGATCGGCAGATACCGTGTTCAGAGATTCACCCGGCTTTGTTAAGGGTGGCACCATGAGGGACTATCAGGTTGCTGGCCTGAACTGGCTCATCTCACTTCACGAGAATGGTATATCGGGCATCCTCGCCGATGAGATGGGACTTGGCAAGACACTTCAGACAATCGCATTCCTAGGATACTTACGACACATTATGGACATTACCGGGCCGCATCTGGTCATCGTGCCGAAATCAACACTCGACAACTGGAAGAGAGAGTTTGCGAAGTGGACCCCCGAAGTCAATGTGCTAGTCCTACAGGGAGCTAAAGACGAGCGAAATCTCCTCATCAATGAGAGACTTGTGGATGAGAAGTTCGACGTCTGCATTACCAGTTACGAGATGATATTGAGAGAGAAGTCACACTTGAAGAAATTTGCGTGGGAATATATCATCATCGATGAGGCTCACCGTATCAAGAACGAGGAGTCATCTTTGGCACAAGTCATTCGACTTTTCAACTCGAGGAACCGCCTGCTCATCACGGGCACACCTCTCCAGAACAACCTCCACGAGCTTTGGGCTCTGCTGAACTTCCTGCTCCCCGACGTCTTTGGCGATTCTGAGGCATTCGACCAATGGTTTTCTGGCCAGGGGGCCGACCAAGATACCGTTGTCCAGCAACTCCATCGTGTTCTTCGTCCGTTCTTATTGAGACGTGTGAAGAGCGATGTCGAGAAGAGCCTGTTGCCAAAGAAGGAGGTTAATTTGTATATTGGAATGTCTGATATGCAGGTTAAGTGGTACAAGAAGATCCTGGAAAAGGACATCGATGCTGTCAACGGTGCCGGGGGTAAGCGCGAATCAAAGACACGACTGTTGAATATTGTGATGCAGTTGCGAAAGTGCTGTAACCACCCATATCTCTTTGAGGGTGCCGAACCAGGACCTCCATATACAACTGACGAGCATCTCGTTGTAAATGCTGGCAAGATGGTCATGTTGGACAGGCTCCTAACGCGACTAAAGAAGCAAGGCAGCAGAGTCCTCATCTTTTCCCAGATGAGTCGACTTCTCGATATCTTGGAAGATTATTGCGTCTTCAGAGAGTTCAAATACTGCCGTATCGATGGATCAACTGCTCACGAAGATCGTATCGCCGCCATTGATGACTACAACAAGCCTGACTCTGAGAAGTTTGTCTTCCTTCTGACAACCAGAGCTGGTGGTCTCGGAATCAACCTTACCAGCGCCGACATCGTTGTGCTTTATGACAGCGATTGGAATCCTCAAGCAGATTTACAGGCCATGGACAGAGCGCATCGTATTGGCCAAACCAAACAAGTCGTCGTTTACCGTTTCGTCACTGAGAATGCCATCGAAGAGAAGGTCCTTGAGCGTGCAGCACAGAAGCTTCGTCTTGATCAACTTGTTATTCAACAGGGCCGCGCGCAGATCGCAGCGAAGGCCGCCGCGAATAAGGATGAGTTGCTCAATATGATCCAACACGGCGCCGAGAAGGTCTTCAATACCAAGGGCGCAACCGGAATTCTGGCACAAAAGGGTGCAGAGATTGGCGATGATGATATTGATGAGATTCTGAAGCACGGCGAGAAACGGACGGCCGAGTTAAATGCTCGGTATGAGAAATTGGGCATTGATGATCTCCAGAAGTTCACATCGGAGTCTGCTTATGAGTGGAACGGCCAGGACTTCACAAACAAGAAGAAGGAGATTGGTATTGCCTGGATCAATCCTGCCAAGCGTGAGCGTAAGGAGCAGTCTTACTCCATGGACCAGTACTACAAACAGGCCCTTTCTACTGGCGGCCGAACCGCAGATGCGAAGCCTAAAGCCCCGCGAGCACCTAAGCAAATTGTCATTCACGACTACCAATTCTTCCCCCCAATGCTTCAAGACTTGCAGGACCGCGAGACTGCGTATTTCCGGAAGGAAATCGGATACAAGGTGCCACTGCCTGATGGACCAGAGGAGGATTTGTCAGATAGAGAAGGCGAGCGAGCTTTGGATCAGCAAGAAATAGACAATGCTACGCCCTTGACGGAAGAAGAGCAAGCCGAGAAGCTGCGTTTGTCAGAGCAAGGCTTCGGTGACTGGAACAAGCGAGACTTCCAGCAGTTCATTAACGGCTCCGCAAAGTATGGCCGCAAGAACTACGATGCTATTGCCGAGGAGGTCGACAACAAGACTACTGCGGAAGTTAAGGCATACGCTCAGATCTTCTGGAAGCGCTACACGGACCTCAATGACTACTCGAAATACATCAACCTCGTTGAAGCTGGTGAAGAAAAGACAAAGAAGATCGAACACCAACGCCAGATGCTAAAGAAGAAGATGTCTCAATACAGAGTTCCACTGCAGCAGCTGAAGGTGAACTACTCAGTGTCGACAACAAACAAAAAGGTGTATACAGAAGAGGAAGACAGATTCCTTCTTGTCCTCTTGGATAGATTTGGGATCGACAGTGAAAACATTCACGAGCGTATCCGCGATGAGATCCGCGAGAGCCCCCTCTTCCGCTTTGATTGGTTCTTCCTGAGCCGAACACCGCTCGAAATCAGCAGGCGATGCACCACGCTGCTCACTACTGTGGCTCGCGAGTACGAGGAGACTCAGCCAAAGGCGAACGGGGCCAATGGCAAGACCAAGCGTGAGCCAGAGGAGGAAGATAACGATGAAGACAGCGTTCATGATACAGCACCTGCGAAAAAGAAGTCAAAGAATGTCAAGGTAGGTCACCAGCATATTGGGCTGCAATGTACACAAGCTAACTTCGTGCAGAACAAGGCAATCGATAACTTAAAGCCCGGGAGCAAGGCTACGTCGGCTGCGCCATCATCCCGAGCCTCGAGTGTAGGATCCCCCGCCCCAGCACCATCAAAGAGCAAGTCGAAGGGGAAGAAGAAATAGGCTTCAGCCGGGTAGGAGTGATTTGAGTCTCTTTGGACCCCGGCATTGGGCTGGGATGGGTTTACACGGGACTACAAGGGGCAAGGCGTATAGGCGGGGACTTTGTACAGCGTATTAGACATGAGGGGTTGTGGAATGGGGGGTGATATTCACAGTTAACTGTACTCTACTATCCAGAAGTAATACAATGAAATTATATGTCAAATTGAGTGTCTGCATTTTTTAGTCTCTTATGATTTTTAGAACTACATATCTTCCCTCTGGTAACAGCTTCACCTTCTAGGGTCAAGGATTGAGGGTTAAAGGCAAATATATTGGAGAAGCTGGGATATCGCCAATTCATCGCCCTTCCAAGCCATCAATTCCCCAGAAGACAATCCGATTGAGGTTGATATGATCCCGGTAGGGCATGTTTCGTCTGCTACATTTCAAAGGGCCAAATTTCCCTTACGTCCCCTTCATCCTTTAATGGTTCGTCATCATCCGGATTTTCGATGCTTAGGACAGTTTCCAGCATCATCCCAAACAATTCTTTGTTAGCCAACTTCGCAGTTTCCCACTCTTCTGCTGGGACCCAGTCGTCGAATGCTGTATTGAGCAAGCCCGTTACGTGGTTTCTCAAGTCATGTGCAGCCTCAAAGTATTTGTATTCCTTTTGGTGGACAGCCAACTCTTCGGCAGTCGGTACGGGATATGGACAGGAACCCACAAGACCAAGCTCCTGCCACCATTTGGAAGTTTTGTCTAACTCGTGGCGAAAAGCCACCACGCCGTCCTTCCACGTCCTATAGCAATAGCGGAACGGGCGGAAAAGGGATTCATCCATAACCCTAGGCCTAGCCAACTTTGGGAGGTGGAACTGAGTGGCAACTTTGAATGCCTTCGCACAATACTCACTGTTGGGTTCAAGTTGGGTCTCGAGAGACGGGTGGGGCAAAGTCATTGCGAAGTCCGGGACTTCGTCTGCATACCAGAATGCTGCTTCAATACTAGCTGACTGCCAATCAATAATGCTTGTAATGATAGTGGGGTCATCATCGGAAACGAATATGTTTCTTTTATGTAGATCGGGGTGAAATAGAGTTGGTGCAGCTGCATCTCGAATCCGATGGTCTTTGCACATATTATTTATAACGGCGCGACCAAATTCTAGAAGACGAAGATGCGTTGAAACAGATCCGTGGTAGCGACGGAGGTTATCAGGCACAGGATTGACTGGTGGGATTCTAGACATGCCGATATCGACGAGGCCATCGCAGTATGTAGTAAGATCATCCCCTAATGAGAATTGTAAGTACTCGGAGGTTAGAGAAGTGGAGAGGCTTCATGACAGGCTTACATGGTCCCTGATTAGGTTTCGTATTATGGTAATATCTAGATTCGCCAACATTGCAGTCCCAATACCTTGAGCTACAGTGGGGCCCGACAGAGAAGTCCTGATCAAGAGGTCGCTTGGATGTAGGCTTGGATGTAGAATCGAGAGAACTGTCAGCAAAATAGATGCTCCCATAAGCAGGGAATGTAATGCGCACTACTTCTTTTAGCTTCCGATAGATAGCATCTCTACACCTTATTTTCTGGCCGATAGCCATAGTCGGCCATTTTTGATGTAACTGGGTGCCGGCAGCGCGTTCCATTATGATGTATTCACTGCCAATGGCGTTTGAGGGATCATCGCTCCAGTCGAGGATTTTAGGAATAGGGACACTAGTATTGGTTTGTACTGAAACATCCATGATGGTTAGTGTAGCACTTTTATTGTGGGTGTTGGCTGAGACTCACGATACCTAATAGTTGCGACTTCGGAATTTGTAGTTAAACTAGGAGGTCCTGCGAAAGCGAAAGGTAATCTTGCGACGACAGTTTTTCCATTATCAGTAGTAAATATGAAGACCCTATTGAACCCGCCTTCTTTCTTGTCATATGTCGCTATAGAAGTAGCTCCTGGAGACAGCTCAATAACCCTCCTACAGAGCGCATCGAAGTCAAACTCAATATAGCGGGAGTCAATCTGTATCTTGTCGTGGCGTAGCCAACGACCGCTGGTGTAGGTATAAGGATCAAGATCTAACCCCATATTAGGACATTGAATTTGCTGTGAGTAGGCACACTTACGATGTGTTTGTAATGGGTTTATTGTCTGGTTTGTAGTATAGAACCTAGGCCGAATGGCACCGAAGTTGGATTGGAGTAGAGAATGGTGATGTAGCAAACAATTAATTGTTTGGGACATCCGCTCTATTTTAATACTACTCATAACTAATAAGTAGCTAGAGTGGATGGAGGTTTCGAAGTCACAATCATATGGGCAGGGTAATTATGGTTGGTGAGGGGTGTATAGAGAATTACAAGCACGATTTCTGAAACATAGCGTATAGGTATAAGTCGTCCCCCAAAGACGATATGGAGCACAATTGGATTGAGTTTGGCAACATAACGATGGCAAGCCCCTGAAACGTTCGGTCGTTGGTTTCTTCTACAAATCAAGTGGGACTAATATATGTAGTCACCGCTTTCATTCTGCCATTATTCTGCCATTAACGGACCCAAATTAACTAGGTATAACAGCTCATATATTTGCAAATATTCCCAACAGTTTCTATAGTTCCTATAATTCCATTCCGTGGTTGGGCGTGGGTCTGGGTCTGGACCACCCATAGGAGCGATCAACTTTTCAGTACCGCAACAGTTAGTTGCTGACTGTTGCTGACATGTGATAGTCGTTGCATTTTTAGAGTGCTCTGAGTGCATAAAGACAATCCTACTTAGGCCGATTGGTTCTTGGCTGCGATGGGAGTATGTCGCCTTGTTGTAAAAGGGAATCCGTACCTAGGTAAACTAATAGCCTCAGACGTATAAAGGGGCCAATGGGGTCTGTAGGAGCGTAGGATCAGGCGTACAGCGTATTGTGGGGCGCTGACCACCTCGGTCTATATGGTAAGGCTGACTCGGCGTAGAAATATATCCAGGGCACGACCAATTGATTTCACCGTAATTCGCCGAGAACTATGTTTGTGTCGTACAGAATTGGGGGCGGCTCTGTAGATAACTAATCGGAGCTCCTTTGGCTAATGTTAAAACTATGCAGATAACTAACCGGAGCTCTCTTTGCACATGTCTATACGAATCTACGTAAACCAGCCTGAGCTGAGGACGTTTGTCTCACCTGCAGCTTATAATATAGTTACACCCTATTGATAAAGCCAGCCGCAGACTTTCACGTAATAGTATCTCGCGCCTACGGGGAATTGGTGGTGGTTCTCTATAAGACAGGGCTACCACTTCAGGAATCTCAGAATTTCAAAAAGTATAAAGACTGCATCAAATCCCCGCCAGTTCTATCATAACACAGCACACTTCAGTACAGATCTTCCTCGCCTCCATTTGCATAATATTTCAACTTCAAGCAACCGCCTCTAAAAAACAATCATGAAGCTATCACTTGCAACCTCAGCACTTTTGGCTTTGGCCAGTGCAGTCGCGGTCCCAGGAACTACCCACGAGGCCGAGAGAATCCCAGTACCAGAAGGCTTCTTTGAGTCCCACATTGGCTCTGTGGGCTTTACTCTTGTCCCAGCTGAGCCCCTCAAGATGGCTGCCAGAGCCATCACCCACGTCTACGTTTGTATCAACGCCGACTTTAAGCCCGCGTGCTCAAACTTGCAAGTTAACACTGGCAGCTGCTGTATGTCCAAGCACTCTTTTTTTTAATTTAGAGTTATGATATTTGAACCGACTTGCTGACTTCGCGACGCAGACAACTTGGTAGGCAATTGGAATGATGCAATCTCCTCCATCGGCCCTGACGCAGGAACGACCTGCACACTTTGGTTGTAAGTTCTCCTTCGCATTGCCATTCCTTTTTTCATAATACAATACTTGATGTCCAATTTATAGAAGACAATGAGTTCTAATATTTAATATAGTGATGCGGGATGCTCTGGTCGCTCAGTCGTTAACATCATCAACCCTGGCATCTGGAATTTGGGCGATTTCAACTTCAACGACGTCGCCAGTTCCATCAAATGCGTCTAACTTCGACTTCACGCATTATCTCACTTCCTAAGCTTAGGCTTGGATCAGTATTCGAACCGGTTATGGACAGTCGATTCCTCCTAGACTTCTATTGGGTGTTGGGTTTATACTAAAAGGGGCGGAGGAAAGGTGATGCACGGTTTATTCGTTTACGCGGTATAACTAGCTAGAGTAAAAATGACACTTCTTTGCCCACCATAACGCCGCATTGCAGTTACATTTTGTCTGAATGGTGTAGCCCACACAGTACAAGCATCCCCTTGAAATGTTTAACATTGTCTGCGACTCCTTCCAGTACTCTTCTTCCTGGTCGACGAGTCTTTTTGGGGCAATGGCCCACGCAAAGCTATCATTTAACACTTTAGAACCGCGTGCTCATAATACGGTCCAGCCTGGGTCTATATAACGACCTATGCCACAGTAGCGAAAGAATGACCATTAACGGCGTACTCATAATCAGGTTCGAATCAATGAAGAATGCCCTATATCTTCGGGGGCCGTTCAAATGCAGCTTATTACAATATGGTTGTAGATGACTGTCGGAAACTTCGCTGTTTCTTTAGCCAGGGTACCAGTTGTTTGCATTTAACGTTTTGATCCTGCGAGAGGGCTGAAAGTTAATTTACGTGGTAAGACGCTAGGCTAATGTCGCATTATGTAACGATATTTTAGGTGCTTTTCTGTATGCTGCCTACTAATCTACATGAAGAAGCTAATGTTTCACTGCAAATATATCGAGGCTAGAGATCACCCGCTTAAAGTCATTGCTAAAACTCGAAGATGCTTACGGGCTCCGTGGTACACCACATTGGACGCGATTGTTCCGTTTAGGAACGCGGGCCGCCTCTATTCATCCTTTTTCTTGACCAAGATAAACCGATGTCCAATCCGGCATTGATTGCCAGGTGGCGCAAAACGCCCGCAGATCATTTGCCGAAAGGCGCTTGTTCCTGGCTGCGGAATGTTCCTTGCCGTAGTTTCTGTCATAACCCATGAAACCATGCGGAGTTACCCCGCATATTGAATACGGTCCCTGTTTCCCTCGTCGTAACTAAAACTCTCCTGGCTCGTTATTCCAGGACATTGGCGGCAGCGGCCGCTTGGGACCGGTTACAAACTACCAGATTGGAGCGATGGCACTGGAGGCTTGATATTTGACCGCCGCTTGCCAGGGTAGGCAAATGTTTAATATACAGGGTCCCATCTGACTGGCTCGTGGGCGACTCTAAGTACGTTCGACTAGATCAGCTTCATATATTTCACTATATCTCACATCGCACTTCTAGAGACTTGACCTCATTCCCACGACGGACGCCGATCCTCCGGCGTCCGGTAGACACTGAGTGGGGGATGTAAATCGCCGATTATGTTCTCTGGAGTAATATAATGATAGCATCGTAGGTATTCTCAAAGAATCTCGTCGCTGGCACTTTACTTCTACAGTCCTAAAGCGACCTCAAACGATCAAAAGATTGTCGTTCTTACCATTCTCTTCAGCGAGCAGTTTCCATTAAAGTCTCGCCATGAAGCTCTCAGCGGCAACCGCTGCAGCTATCCTTGCTGGCCTGTCAGTGGCAGTGCCAGCTGACTACGGCGTTTTCCCGAAAAACTCCAATGCCCTCGTTTCCCGAGCAGCTAGTAACTCCAAGGTCGATGGGTTGCTCTTCAACATCGATGGCGAAACCAAGTACTTCGCCGGCACAAACTCCTACTGGATTGGCTTTCTCACCAACGATGCTGATATTGACCTCGTGATGGGTCACCTGCAAACTTCAGGCATCAAAATCCTCCGCGTCTGGGGTTTCAATGATGTCACGGCCGGCACCAACGAAGTATGGTTCCAATCCTTTGCCGGATCTGAGCCCGTAATCAACACTGGCGAGAACGGCCTGCAACGCTTGGATTACGTGGTCAAGAGCGCTGAGACACACGGTATCAAGCTCATCATCAACTTCGTCAATAACTGGACCGACTACGGTGGAATGGCAGCGTATAACAAACACTACGGCATCACCAAGCCAGCAGATTGGTACACGAATGTTGACGTACAGACGCAATACAAGAAGTACATTGAGGCTGTTGTCAGCCGCTACAAGACTTCCACTGCTGTCTTTGCTTGGGAGCTGGCGAACGAGCCGCGCTGCAATGGCTGTGATACTAGCGTTATTTACGACTGGGCGACAACTACCAGTGCCTATGTGAAGAGCTTGGACAGCGAGCACATGGTCACACTTGGCGATGAAGGTTTCATGAACGGCGGCGGGGATTCAAGCTACCCATACACAACTGGTGAGGGCATCGACTTTGCCCAGAATCTGGACATCAAGGACCTTGACTTCGGGACGTTCCATCTATACCCTGATAGCTGGGGTGTTTCCACCGACTGGGGATCCTCGTGGGTCACCGACCACGCCGCTGCGTGCGCTGCTGCCAACAAGCCGTGCCTGTTTGAGGAATATGGTAAGCTCATCCATCCCCTCATCTACTAGACATAATCGAGCCCCGCTAACTACATTCTAGGCTACCCAAACAACCACATTGCCATTGAGAGCCCTTGGCAATCCGCAGCTCTAAACTCCGTAGGTGTGGCCGCCGACGCCTTCTGGCAGCTCGGTGATACCATCTCCACTGGCAAGACTCACGATGACACAAACACCATTTACTACGGCAGCGATGAGTGGACCGCACTGGTCACCAACCATATTGCGGACATTGACGCCAAGTACGGCGGCAGCAGCAACGGGACTGCGCCGAGCAACGGGATCACCGCCTAGCCGTCTACCTCGGCGCTTACGCTGCCGGTATAGGGGCAGTTGGATAAGGATGTAAATATGTTTGGATGGTTCATGTATATATTTTTACAACGGTATTTTTTTTGGACATGGGGAGAGCTCTGTAGTATATATTGCAATACTATATCTGAAATATCATATTTGATGATTGAGGGATGTCTATAGATTCAATGTTCCTATTTATGACCTCACAAATGTAAGAAATACACCAAAAATACTCCTACCACCCCATCGCAAATCCCATCACAGCTCCCCCGAACCTCACGCCATACCCCCATTAACCCTCAACATCTGCCCACTAACCCACGCCGCACCCTCCCCGCTCAAAAACCCCACCACTCTCGCCACCTCCTCCGGCTCCCCAATCCTCCCGGCCGGATTCAACCCCCTAATCCGCTCCAACACTGCCTCGCTCTTCCCCTTAAGAAACAGTTCCGTCCCCGTCGGTCCCGGCGCTATCCCATTCACCATAATACCCTTCCTTGCCAGATCTTTAGACAGCACACGCACCATCTGCTCCACGGCCCCCTTCGACGCCAAGTACGGCAGGTACGCCGGATCCACTACCGACGCATGCGCGAGCGTTGAGGAAACAAGCACTATCCGCCCCCCGGCGCTCATATGCGGCGCCGCAGCCTGAACAAGAAAGAGAGGGCCCTTGGTATTAAGGCGCATAGTGGCATCGTAGACTTCCTCAGTCAGGTGCGCGAGATCAGCCATGGGGAGCACACCCGCGTTGGCGATAACGATGTCGATTTTCCCGTAGGCGGCGACGGTGTGGGAGACGAGGGCGTGGATGTCGGGGATTGAGCCGGCGTCACCGCGGAGGGCGAGGGCGCGGGGGGGGAGTTGAGACAGGGACGGAGGAGGTGAGAGTCGAGACGAGGGAGTCTGCGGTGGTGGCGTCGGAGGAGTAGTTTAGGACGACGTTGGCGCCGAGGGAGACGAGGTGCGTGGCGATAGCGGCGCCGATGCCTTTGGTGCCGCCGGTGATGATGGCTGTCTTGCCAGATAGAGGGGTTGGAGAAGTCATTATCGGAGTATTTGAGGGTTGTTTTGCGTTGTTAGGTTGCTTCTGTGATGGGGAGGATGGATCTTTAGAGTATTTGAATGCGGATGGAATATGAAATAGACTGCGGAAAGTAGGAGGAAAACAGATCTACTTATAACTCTCTCATCCCATCTCTAGACGTCCCCACTTCACTACTCACCGTCGTGCGTCTTAGGAATCCTACAATATGTTGCTGTTATGGCTGTCTCTATCGCCAACTTCAACAAACGTCCATGCGGCCGACGCGGCCGGCGAGACCTTTGCGGCCGTGCGGCCGCGTCGGCCGCAAACTAAAGCTTAGGTACGACACGATGTGGGGCGCTAGAACTTAATCCCCACAAGCGCCCGCCCGCCTTCTGATGTGAGAACGGCAAACGGATGGGATGAATTTCTCCTATCCTAAACGAAGACAGGCATCCGAACAAAGTGAAATCGTAGGCACGGTTATTAATTGAAAGTGGAAAAGTAGGTGGTGAATGAAATAAACTAATGTTAGGGAGAAACGAGTTGAGAGAAGCTCGAATACCAATAATACGGGGATAGGGCGAAGCAAGTTTTCCTAATTGAAGATGTAGTTTCATATTTATTTGGAAAAAGAGCTAAGGTTACTCTAATTCCAAAGATCAAAACCTATTAAAACCTTCTCAACTTTAACCATGGCCATTTACTTCCCACCCATCACCAGCACCTTCCTCGTACTCCCTGGACCTCGTCCAAGAGCCTCCCTGACACTGCCCACGCTCTCCTCCAGCCTCACTGCCACGGGGATCCCAGTCTGTTCTAGCCCCTGCCCACCACTTCCATTACTTCCCCGATCCCAAACAACCACCCCCCCAACCGCACCGACATCCCTCTTATAAACCTCCACTGGTTCTCCTTTCCCCAAAGCCTCCAGCACAAACACCTGCTTCGTCTCCCCAGTCCCCGAACTGGCCCCACTCTTCGAAACATACGTTGCTTTCCCCTCCTGCGTCGTCCTTACGCGCCCGCTTGCCCCAGTCTCAGCACTAGAATCGAACACGCTACCTCTGCCCTTGCGGTACTCGACCTCACAAACAGATGTGGCGTTGATGGTGAGGTCACCCACATGCTCGGGGTCAACGCGGTACTCGCTATCTACCACGAGTGAGTACTTCGCGCTCGGGCCATGGTTGTACTGGTCCGGGATGAGGGAGTCTATAGCAGTGCGAGAGAGGTTCGTGAATTGCGCGACACCGTAGGCGGAGAGGTCATTGACGTTACTATAAGTAAGCTGCTGAGACCATGAGGCGACGCGAGCCCCCGCCGCGGTGGTGATAGTTGATCGGATATCAAGCTCGCGGTGCACCGACAGCTGGGTGGAGAGCGTGACATTTGCCCCCGCCGAATCCTGCGATGTACCCAACTTCGAACCCATCCCCAACCCATCCTTTGCAATAGTGATAGGCGACCCCGTCGTGACCTTCCCCGTCCCATCAAGCCACAAAAACACCTTTCCCGTCACAAGCCAACTACTACCCACCTCCTGCACAATAGCCTTCCCAGAGAGTCCCACAACTTTGATTTCAAAATCGTGCGGCGCGCCATCACTCAGCAGCCCCAACCATGGCGAGATATCGACCTCATACTCGCGCAGATCAAAGGCCTCAATACCCACGATCGGCCGCCAGAGCCCTGGCACCACGCCCCCTGTAAAAATCACGGGGAACGGCCACTGCACGCCCGCCAGCCGCCCATCGATTAGAATCTGGACTTCGCGCCAGGGCGAGAACCCTGGCAGCTCGCCGGTCGTGTTGGTAAATGTCGATGTCGCGGCGGAGGGTACGTTGCTCCACCAGAACTCCTCAGCTGCTTGGCCGCAGGCGGAGAGAGAGACGGTGGCGCGGTTAGCGTTGCGTGGAAGAACAAGCGTGGTTACGGCGCGTTGCCCAGGGAGAGTAAAAACGCTAGGGGAGTTGGAGGCGGAGCGACGGGCGGAGAGGGGGAGGATAAGGCCGGCTGGTGGTGCTGCGGCGGAGATGGTTGAGAAGGTGAGCGTCAGTGTCGTGTTGAAAGCGCCAGTGTACTTGTCATCGATTAGGTTCCCAAGATCGAAGATCACTTTTTGGGGCTGCTTCCACATGGACAGGTAGGGCGTCATGTCCTTGATATATGTCCATCGGATCCCAGCTTCTGTCGGCTCAGCAGTGGACGTCCGCCACACCTCGGTGTCGCCGAGATACATCAGCGCCAGCCTGTCAAACTGTCGCCCTCGAGATGTAACGGTGAAGTTCATAACCACGCGGTTGAACTTGCACGATGGCGGGTTATAATTCCCTATTCACCAGTCAACACGGCTTAAATATCGAACTCATAGACCAATGTTACGTACCCACGAACGGCTTGCCGTAGCTAAACCCAAACGAATGCTCCATGAGCAGCACTCTGCATTTATCGGCGTCAACAGCAACAGGCGCGTTGACCTGAAAGACCTCCAAAACCCCCTCCGCAAGTGCGGGCAACACCACTAGCTGATCGGACTCCCCCCGTCGCACGAGGCGACCGAGATGCGCGTCATGGAAGGTAACGTACAGCAATACGAAGAGAAGGCAAGCTGACGAGACGATGCGCGGGTATGATGACCAAGGAGAGCGTCTCTTTTGTTCACATGCGAGGAAATCACCGACTTTGGAGGGATGTAGTGATACTCCCCTCTCGGGAGAGAACGCGTCGAGAACGAGAGGTACGTCGCCTTCTACAGCCATATTTGCCCAGTAACCTACCGATTCTTTGGATACAGACATCAAGGAGACAACTCCCCGGAGCTTGAAGAGCTGCGGGCGCAGTGATGTCTTAGTTTACTTTGGTGACGCGAGGGGGATCTGCAAGGCACACATAAGACCTTCCTTTAACAGATGTGATGTATTGATAACACGATAAGCGAACCGCTGATACCTTGGTGGGTTTACCACGGCGAAAAGTATTGTACTGTGAAGCAACACAAACAAACACCAACACATAAATTTAACAATACTGTTATCGTCCATGCGGGAATTCCAAAAAAGGAGAAACAGCACCCATAACCAAAAAAACCCTTCCTTGCAATCCCGAGAACCAAAAAACTCCCAAATCAATAAACTTGCGGTTGTCGTACCATACACCCACCACCAGGTTCGCACCAGATTCCTCTAGCAGCGATAGTATCATCGAGCAAAATTCTTCTGTTGCAAGTCATTTCCAATAATGGCGGGGAATACACCCTTCGCTCTAGTGTTTTGTCTTAAACCCCTAGGTTTGTCTCCTAGGGCTGTATTCGTTAGCAACATATTGCTTTCGAGCTTTTTGCCATAGGAAACGTACCCAATACCAAGTCCGCCGTTGTTATCATCTCCATTAGAGGCTTGCATACTGAAAACAGATACATTGAGCACCTGTCCACTTGGGGCTGGCATCCTTGGGGGTGCTGTTTCATTGGGAGCTTGTACATTAGGAGCTTGTGCATCGGGAGCTTGTGTATCGGGAGCTTGTGCATCGGGAGCTTGTACATCGGGAGCTTGTGCATCGGGAGCTTGTACATCGGGAGCTTGTCCGTTGGGAGCTTGTACATTGAGAGATTGTCCGTTGGGAGCCTGTACATTGAAAACATGGTCTGGGAAACCACTTCCAGCAATAGAAATATATGCATTGGCAACATTGACAAAATTCCCGCCATTCGAGGTCCTTAGAGGATTCTGCATCGGTGGGTCGTATACCGGCATAATGCGATCCCCAACCGGAGCGCCGTACGCAGGCATGTGGCCATTTTGCATCGGCGCGTTATTACCAGGCATTGCGCCATTCTGCATCGGATGACCGTATGGTGGCATTGGAGCATTAGGCATTGGAGGGTATGCCGGCACTTGGCCATTTTGAATAGGATGGCCATACTGTGGCACTGGACCATTCTGAATTGGTAAAATGTACGGAGGCATCGGGCTATTCAGCATTGGATAGATATTCAGAGGCATCGGGCCATTCGGCATTAGATAGCTATTCAGAGGCACTGCGCTATTTTTCATCGGTGTGGCGTACGGCGGCATATGATCATTGCGCATGAGAGGGATCTTCTTACTGGTCGCAGGCACTGGGCCACTCTGCATCGATGCGACAAACGGCGGCACCAAGCCTGCGTGCGTCTGATAGCCGTGTGTTGGCGGGGTGTTCTGCGGCATTGGCATTGGACCATTTTGCACTGCAGCACTGCTCTGAGGCAATGGACCATTCTGCATCGGCGGGCCATACGTCTGAATTGAGCCATTCTGCATCGCTGGACCATTGTGAGTCGTAGACCCGTACATAGATCCACTGTTAGTTGCAGCGCCACACAGCGGCGGTAGATGGTACGGTGCCAGTGGAGCGTTATCCGCAGAAAAGCCGATCACGCCATCCATTATAGCCAAAGGTACGCCATTCTGGCAGAGGACACCGTTGCGAACTTCAAGGCCATCCAACGAAGCTTTAACACCAGATGTGTTATTACTAGCAACCAAGAAACCAAGGTATCGACCTCTGGTGCGGTACCCCTTGGGATTGTTTGAGTTTTCACAAGGACAACTCTTCGAGCGGGACATATATCTCTCACGATAAGCGCTGCGCTTCGCGGCAACGCCGCTGGTCGAATTCTTCCCATTCGCCGCGCGATCTGTCACAGCTGATTTGCTCCTCGTTCCATAGCCGCCAGATGTAGGTGCTGGAGGGTCTTCAGGGGCAGGCGGCGGCCCCTTCGGTGTATCAGAGACAGTGGAGTCAGATGAACCACTGTTCTCACGTGATTTTGACGAAGTTTTTGAAGTGGTGTCGCTGTCCGTAGAGGAGACACCCTCGATATCAGCATTCGATGGCCTTGATGACGGTTCCCCAGTAGGAATGGAAGGAGTGGCCTTAGCCTCAGTGGCCCATTTTCGGCTAACTGGGTTGCTCTTTCCCATTTTGTGATGATGGGCTTGCTTTCCATCCAGGGGAGATAACTCCGGGGCACCAAGATGAACTTGCAGGTTGGCCTTGGTAGGGGTGGCTGCAATCTGAGATTTGGGATAAACACTGGGACTGTGAAGGACCTTTGGCTTGGAAACTCGCTTTTTTGCTTTATCTGGCGTAACAGTGAAGTAGCCACGCTGTGGATAACCGTATACCATGGGGCCTCTGATATTTGCACCGTTCTGAACTGGCCGGTTCATAACTGTGTTCTCGAGAGTCGCGAATGCCCTGAAGTCCTCTTGCATTGTCCCTATATGCTTGTTGGATGTGGCGAAGCCATTTGAGTTATTCGGTGCAGCTGAGGGGCCGGCGGTCGAGCTGCTGTGTCCACTGGTGTTGTTCAAATTCTCCACCGACTTTGAAACGGATTCTTTAGATTCACGATATTCGCGAAGGAAGTCGTCAATATCGCTGTTATCCGCTGGGAAGGTGGGCTTGTTGCTGGGGTCTCTTTCAAACATGCTGTCCTCAGCCCAATCATCGATACAAGGGCAGTTGTCTGCATCTCTCCTCAAGGCGTGGACAACGTCCAAATCTTCAGCGCTGATAGGCTCTGGTAACTTGGGAGCCAAGCGTCGAGGGTTGCCGATTGGGCTGCTGGTAAAGAGAGGTCGCTTGTAGTCCTGCTTCTTGACAAACGCTGTGTCAGGACATTCGTATTCGTCGGTGAAAACCATGACTGGCCAAGAGACAGGATCTAACCCCCTCCCTCTGTAGAAATACTTGAAAAACGACTGGAGAAGATAAAAGTGATAATGTTGTGTAACACTTTTTCTCAAAATTGATATTTTTGTATGGCAAGAAAGGAAGAGAGAACAAGTGCCATACAATAACATACATGGGAAAGAGATGGGCCTACCCCCGCCAGATCATCTCTCACCCTCGAAGGACGTCAGTCTGGAGGAAATAGAGCTGACACCTACAGTGGGTCGTACCTGCCGATTATTGCAGATAAACGTATAGTAATATGCTGGGCCTCTCGCGGTTTATCCTTCTCCATCACTTCCGTCCTGTCCTGTTCCCATGGTTCCTGACAGGGTCCAGTCAGGACAGGCACGTTTGCGAATGGCATGGTCTTGCGTTTTTATCGTGTGATTCTATATACTAAAAGGTTATTTATTTTTTGTAGCCCTAGAATGGGAGCTTCATGCTCATCCAAACAGCATGTAGTTTTGTCCATATAGTAACCATGGCCATTTTTGGAAGCTGTTCGTTTGCTCAGCACAGCTGCCAGTGTTCGGAGTCCTCGATGGTCGAAGGCTCCTTCCTGCCAGGGGAACTTCATGCCAGCAAAGCCGCAGCTGCTCTTCTCAAGACAGCACGCATGGTGGGAGTTATCCGTCATTCTACGCCACACAGTCACTATCGAGAGTTCGCTGGTCGAAGGTTACCGTACTTCCTAAACGCCGGGACGTGGTAGATCCATGGACATTTTATAAGGTCTTTCTAGCCCCGCAGTAGCCGTGACTCTGTGTACAGTGCAAGTTATCGGCATCATCGTATCGCTATCGCTGATCAGAGATCTCAACAGCCAAAAGCTTGATCTCTGGAGTGCGGGGAAAGGCTCTTTTATAGTCTATGAGACCATATGCCCAGAGGGGTATAGTAGAGGCTATTCGCAACAGGTCAGCGGAGATTCTAATTTCTAAGCAAAGTTCAGTCTGAATGGGTGAGGCTTATGTCATGACGGAGCCATGGTTTGGTTGTGACTCAAGTCATAACTTGTGACTTGGAAGTCTGGAGGGAAGCCAGAATTGAAGTCAAGATGGTGGTCAGTCGGTCGAGACCCCAACGTTTGTAAGTGGATCTGTCTAGCTCTGTCACCAAGCGCAGTCGGCACAGACGGCACAGACGCTACCGAGACAAGCGCATATTCTAGGGAGCTATAGCGAATCAGAGCTCAGATTGCGACCATTACAGCAATTTAAGAGTAATGACGTAGATTCCTTGAGTGATTGGCGGGAAAGTGTCTGGTCTTTGGCGGGTGATGTTACAAATTGTATGATTATGTCAGCACGTTTGGCGGCAGTTGCTGTGCCAAAATGGCAGTTTCGACGGCTCTCAGCAAACGACAGCCAATCATTGCAAACTAACTTCCAACCACTGCCGGCCGGGGTGTCATCCCTCAAACACCCTGTGTGTCCTGCAGTCCGTGTCTTGTTTCAATGTTGCTGCAGATATGAATAATGACAGAGTTATAGACGATTGAATATAAATAAATAATGGGATAAAGAGTTACACAGAATAGAATCCCAACAAACCATATATCCCCACTCAACACCCATCCAACAATAAGTCCGCCCATCCGGATCAAACTACCCATATCATACGAACAAATATCTCTCCATCTATTTGACACAACCCTCCGTCATCCCGAGCACTAAACAATACCACACTATTCCCGCCCACACACACCTCTGGAACACCTCTCACAAGCCTATCCCGCCCTCCACCTGCCTGCTTTTCCAACAGCTATCCCTGCGTCATCCTGCCAGAACCCTCGCCGCTTCCCAACTTACAACCCACATCGTCACCCCCCCCCCACCTTACCTTATCATGACTCTCCCTCTCATCATCGACTGAAAAAACCAGCCCTTGGCCCTACCCAAGCACAAAAGCACAAATCCCTTAACCCTGCCGGTCCCCATGCTCCATCTATCTACAACTCAAAACCTTTGACCCTTGAAATAAAAACTTACGCATCTTCACCAAAAACGCCTGAGCTGATCCCCGGATCTTCCACCAAAAGAGCACAGCTTCATATCCCAGCGTGCCCGCCGCCGTCCAGACCCCTCGTCTCGACCCCATCAACCCTCAAACCACCACTTATTTGGATAATACCCCAACACCGCCATCATGAGCGTCGTCCAGATCATCCTCCGTGGGCTCCAGTTCCTCTGGATCCTCCTCATCACAGCCCTCATCGGTAACGTTCTCGCCGGCAAGACCTCCAACAGCCCACCCACCAACTATGCCATGTTCACCGTCGCCTTCTGCTGGCTCGTCTGGATTTACGGCATGGCCGCCGCCGTCATCGAATCCGTCGCCATCCCCATCGTTCTGATCATCCTCGACGCCTTCGCTACCATATTCACCTTCATCGCAGGTGTCGTCCTAGCGGCGAAGCTCGGCGCGCACAGTTGCGACAACCGCGTAAGTTTTTCCAATCCACACATCGCGCCACCCTCCCCATTCCCCACACCATAATCCGCAACTCCCGCCAAACCCCGAACTGAACCCCAAACTAACACCCCACAGGCCTACCTCGAGACCAAGGCCATCCTCCGCGACAACGGCTCCACCACCCGCCACTGCCGCGAGCTGCAAGCCAGCTGCGCCTTCTTCTGGTTCCTCTTCGCCTGCTTCATCGGCTCCATGGTCATGACAGGCCTCAAGGGTGGATTCGGCGGCATGAGGCGCGGCGGTGGAGGTGGGGCTCCCGCCATGTCGCAGGTTCGCTAAGGTGAGACTTCCCCATTCCCCGTCAACTATATTAGATGACAACAGCGCTGACGTAAGTGGGCAGGAGTGAAGAAATCCCGACAACAACCCAGCGATGTCCAGCACGCTGCAAGGGATTTGATATAAGAAACAAGCTGGAGGATGTTGTTGTGTAATTTAAAAAGTATGTGTCGGTGGATTGGTTGTCTAGTGAGTACGGTCTGTGGAGTTCCACATTACGCTCACTACCTGTATCTGGGCGTTGCGTTGCCGCTGTGACTTTTTTATTTTTTTGGTTTTTATCTAGGAAGAACATGGGGGAAAGTGGTGGGAGGTGTATGAGTATTGTATGGGGGGAAGGGGTGTTCCGACTATTTGTTTCTGGATCTGGCGCGTCGGTTGTGTTGTTGAGCAGCCCCGACTGTGTCATGAGATGAACAATGTAATTAGATAAGATGGGACTGATAGGTCGGATGCCTGAGTAGATAATGGATGGGGTGTTTTAATGTATATGTTTCCTAGATCTCGGTTTGATGCTTAAGAGTCCGTCTCTTTATGCCCGTGAAACTCTCTGTTGGATGTTGGAGGAGATGTAATTTCCGCCAAGGTGATGGATATATACGAACGGCTACGTATATAAACCCCCAACGGCCCTCAATACCCGCAAGAAAAACAAATCTCAGAACTTACAGTGATTTTATGGGACATGGAAAGCTCAGCTACCGTACCCACACTCAAACCCCGAGACACCCAGCAAGCAGAAATAAAAGGCATGTGGAAAGGTGGCGTTAAGACCCTTAATGCACAGCTGAAGCACTTGTCGGTAACCGGACAGCAATTCAGAAACTCGATGGCTTCCAGAGCGCATTCACCGCACTCTGTTCCTCTCGTCACTACACTTCTCACCACTTCTCACCACTTCCGCACAACTGTTGTCACAACACTCTCAGTACTAAAGCTCTCACCTCTCACTACCAGCATTCATATCACAGTCAGTTTCGACAACAGCACAGCACCCGCGAACTTGATTCTCGCAGAACGTACGCTGAGCTTTGCCCACACCAGCCATAGACGGACTGATTGCTCGATTTCTTCCTGGTTCTGTAACGTATCCGCACCCCTACCGCTTTTATATACAAAATGAGCAAGCAGAGGTTTCCATTTCCGGCCTCTTATCTCCTGCGGCAAATAAGGGGTACCAGTGTCCCATTCCATAGTGCCGCCGAGGTGTATCTATCGGTAGCTCTTTGTCGGGCCGTGGTCTACGGGAAGCCGACGCACAACTGCCATCTTGGTGGAGAGTGAACAGTCGATGGACACACTCGAGGGAGTGCACAAATTTGAAAACTAAACAGACTTGTAAGTATTGTTTGTAACAAAGGGTCCCTCTCCAAAAATCCTTGAAACAGAGCACATACACCAGCCCACCCCCCCTCTTCTCCCACCGGGCGCTCGAGTAAGTAACCGTAAGCTCACAGAAATCTAAAAAAAATAAAAACACAAAAAAACCAGACAAACGTGTCTGGTAAAAAATCCACCCCATGGTGCCTCGAACCCGCGAATCCGAGAAGATGGTTAATTGCTTAATGTCAGGGTCACTCACCCCTCACCTCCGTCGTGCCAGCAAGGGTCCTAGATTCTATAGCATGCCCGTATCTATTACCACAATTGCAAATAATCACCGCTCTACTCTACTCTACCCTACGCCAGCCAAAAAAAAATATGGGCAAAAAAAGAGGCAAAAGAACATACAACAGTGGGTATTCGCTGGTGGTCACCCACCCAACTACTAATCCACCGATCTCAAGCTTGTGTATGGCAGAGCGGACGGGATGCCCAATTCTCTTGAGTCTATGGTCGTATGTGAGTGTTATGCGTGTAGGGAGGGATATATACGCATTTCCAACTGTCCCCTTGTTTGATATTGCACCGACATGTTGATGTTTATATATGCGACACTACCCCCATACAACTTGTGAAATGAAACTGAACTGAACCATCCCTCATAAAACATCCCTTGAACGACAACTAAAGCTCTGGGAGGAAATGCTGAAGAAAAGAGGATTAATAGTATTAAACCTGACTATATTAACTATAAATTGAGGTATTTCGGGGATTTGGCGTGATTCTAATTAAGACGCAATTCGTCAAGCATGCCCATATAAAACACTCAGGTTGCCCTGCGTCTTAGCCCGTTTGTTGTCAACAGCCCTTGACAACAGTTGGTCCGATGTACATGCTGTTACCTTTGTTTGCGGGTCTCGGGCGAAGTTTGGAATGGGAAGCGTATGATGAGTTGCTACATAAAATACATGGCCAAACAGAAATGTTGTCGTCTCCAATACCCCCACCGTTGTCTTCTCGTCGTCTCCGCCCCCTGACACCGCAGCTTCTCACCACCGTTCACCCTGCCATCACAGACACGGGTTCCGATTCTCTACACAGTACGAACATGCGTATGCCGGATTCTTATCGTTTAGGGGATTCACTGCCTCGTTGGCTGCGACGTGTAGCTTTAAGTATACACACATTACTCTTCAGCTAGGTCTTTTCCACGCCCAATATTCTCCTCCTGATCTTCATGGTCAGGACTTCGATGGTGTAGATGTTAGTAATGATATACCAACCTCACTTTCCTCCGCCGCATACCACATAACATGCAACGCACGGACATCTCCACTCACGACAAGTGAATTGCTCTCAAGTGAACTGCTCTCAAGTGCTCTATTATTAATGCTCATATTATCTCAGTGCTAGGCCATTTTGGAGCATATATTAGTATAAATAGTAATATTAAAGCTCTCCTTATCCCTCCCTATCCCCCATCTTACTCCTCCCATCCACTCCTCTCTTTTCTCTTTCTGCCCGCCCCCCCCCTCCCCCCCGCCCCCTTTCTCTTCCCCATCCCCTCACACCCCCCTTCCCCAACCCATCACCCATAACCCCTGTCCCTCATACCGTCACCCCCTTCCACCCTCCCCAGGACCGACCCAACATCCCCTATACCCCCCCCCCCCACCCCCCCCACCACACCACACAAGCACTTCAAACCGCACTCCAGAACTAAAAATACTATGCAGCTCTATCTGTGGTGCTCCCAGTAGAATCAGCATACACCCATGGATCTCTCACACCCCTTGTTGGCCGATATGGGGTTGGTGTACGGAGAAACGCTGTCGCCGTCATTTCTTGTCACCTCCATCACTTCTATTCCTGGTGTCGTGGGGTTCTCACCACCACCTCACTTTCTCACCACCGCGACGAACCTTCTCACCACCCACCTCCTAATTCTCAACCACACAGCACAGCACACACAACACGTACCCACAACCGCGAGCCCCCACCGACAAGCATCATCACACAGACCACCTCTCTCCATAGTCGTATGCGTGTCTTTTTAGGGAATGAAGTGTGATTGTTCAAAAAGAGCCCATTTCGAGGTATATTTATAGTAATAATGATGATGGTGGTGACTTTTTGAGCGAACTGATTAAATAAAAAGCTATATCTCTCAACCAACCAACCTACAACACAAGATCAACTAACGTACAGTACATGAATGGTAATATGAGACTCTCTTCCCCTCTCTTGTTTCTTCTCTGCCCCATCTCCAAACTCTTCCATGCCCATCCCTTAACCCCAAAAAAACCCAAACCCAAACCCCCAAAAAACATATATAAATCTCAACTCCCTAAAAGGAACCAGTTAAATAAAACAATGAACAAGAATGAAAAGTAAATCAGAACAGACTAATAATATACTTTATCCCAAACCCCGCCACCCCAACCTTCCAACCATGACCCCCAAAAAAATGACAAGACGCCCGACCCAAGAGCAACCAATAACCCCAGAAAAAAAATATGACAAGACGCGACCGAAATCAAAAAACCCCGAATACACCAGTTCACCACCCTCACCCCACCTCAATTCTACCCACCCCACTCATCTCCC